CTGAACGCTGCCCCAGCCAGCCTAGCACCGAAGTGCCCAGAGGATTTCATGGACATTTTTTGTCGTGTCTTCTTTCAGGGTTACAAACGTATGAGCCGAGTGTTGGGATTTTGGGATTCGGGGCTTTCTCTCTGAGAGGAGTGTGACTGTTGTTTTTTCACAACACAGCACCACAACTCTGGGTGTCATGAATAAAAAAAAAAAAAAATGGCAAGTGAAAACAAGGAGTGTCAGGCATTCTGCACCTTGCCCTGCCAGTCCCATAGAGGGGAGTTTTAATTTTCAAAGAGAAATTAAAGAAATCGCGTTTCTCCTGGGGGCAGTGTCGCTGGGATACTCCACCGAGAGAGCCCCAGAATTCCTTCCCAGGCGCTTGTGGTGACCTGATCGCGTTTGGCAGCGCCCAGCACCCTGCGAAACCACGCGAAAGCCCGATTCTGCTGAGCGCCTAAAGAACTCCTGGGTTTCCCGAGTGGGGCTCGCCTGCCAGCCCGTTTTTTTGTTGTTTTGTTTTGTTTTTTTGTTTGGTTTTTTTTTTTTTTTTTTTTTGCGTGGCGCATCGCACGGGAGAAAGTCAGCCGGGAAGCCAGCACCGCTCGAAAAGCAGTCCAGAGTAAAAGCAAAGCGTACTTACTCTTTCTTCAGCGAGGGTTTTCTTCTGAAAGAGCCTCTGAGCCTCCCAGGTGCCTGAGGAACACAAGTGATGTTCCCCATGCCGGCAGCGGCTGGCAGCGGCCCGGAGCAGCGGGGGCCGGGGCGGCGTGGGGCGGCGTGTTTGTGTCACGCAGACGCTCCCCTTCCGCCCGCCGTGACTCGTGTGGGTGTGGGCTGTGCGAGGCTTTCGGCCGGGGCTCCCTGCCCCGCTCCCCCCGCCCCGCTCGGGGCTGGCAGCGCCGGAGCTGGGAGGGGCGAGGCGGCCCCGGGGGAGGGAGGGCAGGGGGTGCAGGGGGGTGCAGGGAGAGCGGGCAGGGGGTGCGGGCAGAGCGGGCAGGGGGTGCAAGGAGGGCGGGCAGGGGGTGCGGGCAGAGCGGGCAGGGGGTGCGGGCAGGGGGTGCAGGGAGACCGGGCAGGGGGTGCGGGCAGGTGGTGCAAAGAGGGCGGGCAGGGGGTGCAAGGGGGTGCAGGGAGGGCAGGCAGGGGGTGCAGGGAGGGGGTGCAAGGGGGTGCAGGGAGGGCGGGCAGGGGGTGCAGGCAGGGGGTGCAGGGGGTGCGGGCAGAGCGGGCAGGAGGTGCGGTGCAGGGAGGGTGGGCAGGGCGGGCAGGGGGTGCGGGCAGCACAGGCAGGTAGCCCGGGCAGGGAGCGCGGGCAGCGTGGGCAAGGAGTTCAGGCAGTGCGGGCAAGGTGGGCAAGGAGTGCGGGTGGGGGTGCAGGCAGCGCGGGCAGGCAGGCAGCGAGGGTGGGGCGGGCAGGGGGGGCGGGCAGGGGGGGCAGGCAGGGCAGCACGGCACAGGCAGGGCAGGCAGGCAGGGCAGCAGCCTCATCCCCCCGTCCCTGCCAGCTCCCCAAGAGCCTCTCTCTCTCTTCACCCTTTCTCTTCTTAGGAGAATAGTTTCAAGCTTGGAGAGTTCTCGATTTACAAAACGGTGCCCTCAAGGTGGGTAAACCCCATCTTTAACTTCATTTTCCCCGTAAAGAGGAATTAACCACAGAATCCCAGCAGTGCTTAGATGCGGTGAGCGACCCCAGCACACTAAACATTTCTTACCAGCAAACAGGACGAAGCTGGAGCCCCTAATAAATACATCTGGAGTGTTTTTCCCAAAGGAAATAAATCATGTTTCAGCTGGAAGAAAAAAAGATGCAGAAAGATAATATCGGTGATTATTGTTTAGGCATTCTCTGAGGTGTTCAAAGGGCTGCACTCAAGACAATGGTATTAGTTAAAAAGAGTCAGCCTGAATTAGAGGTGAAGTGAAACAAACAGTATAAAAATATAAAAAATAAACAGGGGAAATCTAGTATATATTGAAATCTAGAATTTATGGGAAATTGATAAAGGAAGCAAAGACCTAAAGATGTGTATGACCAACAAAACTTACGGGATATTTATAGAAGAAATGCTTTAAAAGGAGGCAAACCAAACATTCCTGACAATGGTATGAGTCCCTCACTGTGTGGAAATTGAAATAATAATAGTGAATAGTTAATGACAATACAAAAGGTAGATGCAGAATAAATATTTCTGTTCTGTCAATTGAAACAAACAGGCAGTTTAGTCATAGGAAATGACAAAGCCCTTTTCATACCATGGTACTGCAGGTGGCTGTTAAAAAGCAAACACAAAAATAGCTGCTCTGGATCAGAAGGTCCAGCGAATTCATATCCAGGAGTTTTACCTGAACAACAAAGGTCTTGGATGGCTGCTATTCATTAACAGTAAGTCTTGCAGAACTATGGAATTTGCAAAGAGATTGCATAAGTTAATGGGGATACCGATATTTCAATGGGTAAAGACCACCAGTCCAGTAATGACAGGTTTGTCAGTTGATGCTGATTCCCAGGAAAATGATGTAACAGCTGTTAGGGAGTTTGATTAAGAATTAAAGGAGGAGAATATAACTAATACAAATCAACTCAGGGTCTATCTTGTCAAACTAATTTAATTGCTACTACAGTTGAAAAAAATAAAATCAGATTTAGTGAATACAAATAATAGCGGTGATCTGAGAAGTTACTATAAAGCATGTGATGTGACACATCTATACAATGTTCTAGTAAGACTCTGAAAGACTACAAAGACTGTAAGATCCACAAATGTATTGTAGCCCGGCCAGCCAGGGAGGATCACTAGCAACTGTGAACAGGGACAGTTCTCTGGGAAGAGCATTTTTGCTGGCTGCTCCAGGGAGCAGATTTGGTCTCCAGACTGTTCCGAGTGACAGTCCAGCAGCTCCATCTTGCTACGGTGGCAGAGAGGCTACAGGGCTGCAGCGAGGCTGGAAGCACCTGCAACAAAGCAAAGAGCTGGCAAGGAGAGATGCAGAGAAAGTGAAGCTCCACGAGTTGAACCCGGGAGCAAGGCATATATTTTTAACAGGAAAGGTTATTTCTTACCGGAACAACTCCCAGAGGACTGTGATGGCTTCTTCAACGTGGGATTTTTAAAATCTGGAGAGGATGTTTTCCTAGAAAATCTATTTGAATCAAATTGAGATTTGCTATGTGAGGTCTTAATGGACACACTGGATGTGTTAGACTCTATTTGCATCTGCCTTGTCTTGAAACTGAAGTCACCTTGCAGTAACAAAATCAGCATATCCCCAAAGAGGTAATAGTATAGCCAGCCAACACTTGCCCAGAGAGAGCTGCTGATAATGGACATGCCATAAAATTTCTCAAAGGCCTCCACATCTTTGACCTTTAAAAACAGCCTCTTTATCCCCCTCCTCTTTCTATTGTATAATCCATTAACCTTCACGGCCGAGCAAAGCAACAGGACACCCCTCCAGAGGCCCCCTATCAGAAACTCCGTAATTTTTATGGCAGGGTGCTTCTGCACGCTCTGTATCTCTGCACAGCTGTGAAACAACTATCCAACAGCAAAGCCACGTCCCAGCACCTCCTGGCAGAGACCAAAAATTACAGTGAACAGCAACAACTGTGTTTTATTCAGGAAAAGTATGATTCCTCTTAAGATCCATGGCTAACACGGTCAGAACTGTGACCAGAAATGTGCCATTCCTCCAACATTTGTTCTAAATAAAACAGCTCAAAATAGTGATATAACTGCCTCTCTCTTGCTGTTGCGGCAGGTCTTGCAAATATGCATCATCTTGCTCTGCTGGGACACTGGGGACACCAGGAGGGTCTGGCAGGGCCGGGTGTGATGGGTGGCTGAGGTCACAGCCCCCTCTTTGCAAGCTGGGCTCAGAGCCTTGCAGGGCCAACAGCTCGCCCGGACCCCCACTGCTCTGCTTCCAGGAGAGTCCGATCTAGGTGGCGAAGCAGCTAGGCTCCAGACTTTGGAAAGGCTTTTACAGCGCAGTAGTTATTTATAGAAGCCCAAAACAGAAGCAAGAGGCTAGAGAGCAGTGAGAAAGAGGACGTGGCAGGGCTACAGCCCAGTCTGGCATGCCTGCTGTGCAGCATCGCAGCTTGACTGCAGGGCTTGCGGTACGCACGCGTGGGAAGGTTCCCTTTTGGGTCCCACGGGATGTTGCCATGCAGCTTCTCATTGCTCTTTTCACCCCACTGCACTCCCACCGCCGTGAAATGGGGTTAATATTTCCCCCCTAGGCAGCAGGGACTGGCAGGAGCAAGGGAAGGCGGATCTGATCAGCTGCAGAGCCTCTCTGCTGCTGAATGGGGCCAAACAGCTATGCCTGCCCCCAGGCAAAATGCATGTGGCAGCTGGGGGTAAAGGAGGAAGTTTCTCAGCTGTTTTTCATTTCCATGGCAGAGGAAAGCTGTCAACAGCACTGGAGATTGGAAGTTCTAGGGAGACCAAACTAGAATTTAAGGGCAAGGAGGGGTGTAAAATCAGCCTGCCTCTAGAGACCTTATGCCTTGGGCTGGGTTTTTCCCAGCGCTCTCCAACACCATCAGCATCTCTGCCCTGCTCTTTCTCTGGTGTAGGGTGAAGGCACAGAGCACAGGGGACATCCCCAACACAGCATCCTCTCTGGAATACAAAGCACCTTGTCCACAGGACAGCAACCTCCCCAGCCAGGAACCCAGCACCAGCCAGCAGCTCCTTTTAGCTCACCTCTAGCACAGCTGTTCCTTCAAAGCTGGCTTTGGCTCCTCTGCCCTCCTCTACTAACATCCACAACGGCAAGGCCAGTATGAAGTGGCCTCCAGACAGTGGCCTGTCCCTGCTCTGTGCAAATGCTTCGAAGCCTGGAGTGGCTGCTCAGGCACTGATGGTCAGCAGCCTGCCATGTGCATCCTCTGCCTGGGGCTCCTTCCCCTCCTCTGCACAGGGCAGCACAGAGAGCAGCTCCCCACCTCCACAGGAGCAGGGCCTGAGAAGTGAAAAGGAAGGATGCAAGAGGCAGGATCCGGTATTCAAGAAAACATCTTTATTGTACATGTTGGCTTCTATTGCTTGTATCCCCTCCCCGATCCCACGTAGTGCAAAAAATTCAGAGAAACAGAGTTCCACATAAATAAGTCAGATAACTTACAGAGAAATCAAAGTGACAACAGTTTGACATGGAGTAGACCGGGTCCGCCTACCAGGAAGGTCAAGCGAACCTCTCCCCGCTGTCGGGGCAAGGGCTCCTGCCTAAGCCTTACCGGCTCCTTGCAGACTGACACCGGGGTCCCTGGGCAAAACACATCAACACACGCAGCCTGGAGCCACCCGCTCCGGGATGCTCCTCCACTGGGAAAAGCTCACATGGGAAATCGCACAAATAACATTTTGGGTGAGACACCGCTAACTAAAACGGGCAGAGAAGCCACGCAGAGTTGACAGTTCTCCTCCCCTCAGATAGGGTACTACGCACAGACAGACAGACACAGACGCGCATCCCCTCCGAGGCCTCCTCCTCAGCAAGGGATGTGCAGCACCAGAAGCGATTCCACCCTGGGATCTCCCCGGGGCAGATGCTGACACCTCATGTCCACACAGTGTGGGTCGGGGTGCTCCGGATCCCAGCAAGCTGCTGGGGCACTATTTCGCCCTTTCCCTCCTTCTTTCTCTTTCACAGGAAAGCAGTGAGCACCTGCATAGTTAGTACGTCAGAGACACGAAAGGCTCCCTCCTCCCCAGGTTTCTGCAGAAAAGGGTCAGTGGTGATATTGCTCAGGACCCAACCGGTGGGTCACAGGAGTCACACTGCCCATTTCCCTGATCCCCAAGAGGCAGGAGAGCATTGCACACCATTTGTAGTGTAAATTGCTAAAGGTCACAACTAGGGCCAAGGGCACATGGCATGAAAATTCTCCTTGGCCTGCTACACTGCTCACTTCTCCTCTGGTTTTCCCCCAAAAAGGCAGCAGCCCCTCTTCGTGCTACAGCAGCCACAGTTGGACCAGATGTTGAGCCGCTGCTGTAACAACTCATTCCTTGTTTGAAATCAGCCCTGTTTCTCCCCTCAGCAGTTCCTCTCCAGCCCTGCCCTGCCCCTGACACGGCCGTGGGGCTTTTGGGCTGATCCTCCACCAAAGAGAACCCTAAAACCAAGGACACCTTGAATGCGCTGGCCAATACGAGTCCAGCAGAAGACTAAAATCCTGATGTTGCTTACAGGAAAGGGATGGAAAGGATTGACACCTCGCTCATGCGTAGGTACATGCATGCCCACACACGCAACAGAGCAGGCTTCACCGATTTCATCGTTTCTTTGAACAAGGGAGATTGACATGAGCTACTTAGGGCAGCTCTACTGTCACGCTGACCAAGAGGCAACCTGCATGAGCAGAGCCTGGACATTTTCAGGATCCTCTGCAATACAGAGGAATGGGAGAGCTGCCAAGCTGTGATGGGCTGGGGCAGAGGCTTGGCAAGTGAGAGGGGGAACAAAAAGAAGATTTAGAGTCTGTTCTAAAAGCCAAAAAGGCCTCCTCAGCCTGAGAAGCCCAGGCTGTCCTTAGAGAGAGGCTGGGGGGAGAAGCAGCCCAGATTTTCAGAAGCTGCTGGTAATTTCAGGTGTCCAATGTTAGGCACTCTAAGTGGGCTTGTAAAACATGCAGGCACCTATCCAGGAGAAATCAGATTGCTGTAAAAATGGTCTTAAGCTGGGGACTCCCTGTCTCATCTCAAACTCTCCTTTCACCCCAAAGAAAAAAGAAGAAATCTCTAGCCACTTGAAAATTTAGGCCAACAAATACCATCACGCGTGAAATCCGAACTCTGTAAATGAGAAATGAGAAGGAGTGGGGGGAGAAAGGATAAAGGAATTAGTTCTAAACAAACAGTTAGACCATATCTCCAATGCTACATTTGAACACTATTGAGGTACCAGTGGTTGAGTCGTTCCTCTATAATGTGGAGAACACCTGATAATACGTTCAAGGCTCATACACACACCCAACAGCATACGCATTGAAAACACCACCCAAGAGGTTCCATGGCACGGGTGGGTCTAGAACAGGCCTGTGACTTACAGTACTAATTTATTCAACCTTTAGTTAATTTAAGTGGTTGCTTAATTGCCAGGGAGTCACTAATTGCAAATGGTCCCTTCCATGCTGTTTTCACTGTACATACAGTATCTCACATATGCACACACCCCCACATATCTACAGAGAACATCTTCCAGGACACAGTCATCATCTCATCAACAAATGAGAAAAATAATTGCATCCCTTCTGCTGCCTTAAAAGCAGATGGGACAGGAATACCAGGAGAGTGTAAAAAATAAAGGGATATGAAGTCATTAAAAAATAAAATATTAGCATTCAAATAAAAAAGGCAAAAAATTAACACCCAAAAAAGTAATGCCAGGAAATCCTCCTCATTTAGAAGGCTGGGCCGTTCTTGTTTAAGAACTGATACCTTTTCATAAACCCAGATTCTGCTTTGCAGAGAGGGGAAGAGCAAACGGGCTGATCCATTCCCAGCCAAACTGTGAACCAGGACCGTGTGCAGAGAGCAGGCAGCCACACAGTCACTTGAACCTGGGACAGCAATGGCATGGATGCAAACAAGGTCGTTCAACCCATCTGCCTGGCTGGGGACTCCCCAGAGCAATGGTCAGCTGGGATCTTGGTGACTGAGGTGCGGCCAGCTGAGCATGGAAACACTGGAGGGGTTCAGGATGCTGCATCCAGTTTTGTCTCCAAACCTCATCTCCTCCAGGCCTTCTCCCTTAGCTGGGCTTCTTTTGTTTGTGTATTTTAAGGCATCAATTAGACACCATTGAGAACCATACGGTGGCCTCAGAGTCTTTAACAGTGCACAGTAGGCTTGGTAAAGAGTTTGGCTACAGTGACATTCAGAGGAGCGGTTGCACATTCAGCCGTGTCCTTGGGAGGAGTGCTGTCCACCTCTGCCACCCCACAGGACTCCTGGAAGCCTCCAAGGCTGGCTCTGCTCGCATGTGTGGCACCAGCTGGATCACATGAATCCAAGAAGCAGCAATGGTTTAAAGTTTCCCCCCTGCCCAAAGAAAATATACGCTCTTTGGGTGAGCGATGAGATGAGTCTGAACGGAGCGGAAAGCAGCCCATCTCCTTGCCCTCCAGAAGGAGGGTGCTCGTCCAGGAAGCACATTTCTAACTGCTGCGGTCGTGCTGATCCGATGTGTGCACCAAGAGTGGGGATAGCTCCGGGGGTTCACAGGAGTGCTGGGGCTGGAGGCAGCAGCCGGTACCTTCGCTCTCCTACAGCGACCGGCTGCCCCGCGGGGCGGGCCATGCTGGCCTAGTGCTCTGCCAAGCACCCCTGTCCCCTTGAGGTAAGGTAGGTCCTGATTCTTTGTCAAAGGCTCGTCGAAGACACCGACAGGGTGGGCGAGGAGGGGGGTGGGAAGTTGAGGAGTTCCAGCACAGCCACCCCCACGCTGCTCCGGCGTGTGAACATGCACGAGGCTGCTACCCACTTGTTGGTACGGGGGTTGTACTTCTCGATGGAGTTGAGGCTGGAGCTCCCATCGTTGCCACCCACTGCATACAGCCACCCATCCATGGCCACCAGGTCGTGGGTGCTCCTGGAATGAGAATGCAGAGACCACAGGGGTGTCAGGCTCGAACACGGCATATGAGGGGTGTAGGGGAGCTCAGCACCTCAGATGAACTGGCCAGAGCTCTGCCACCCCACAAAAGGGAGTGCCCAGCCTCACAAATGCCCAGTGAAAATCAACTACTGGGGCTCAAACAGTCAGTCAGAGTGAAGTATAGAGCCTCAGATCTTCCCTTTCTCTCTGATACCCTCCTCCCACTGGAGAAGTGCCACCAGGGCAGGTGGATAAAAATAATAACAGGCCCTAAGAGCCTAAAATCCTTGGACTTCCAAGCCTTAAACCCTCCCGCAGCCCAGAAACATCTCTGACATGGTCTCAGCCAGCTATACCACCTAGTTCTTTACGGCCACACAGGCTGCTGAGAATAAATCCCTCTGCAGAAAGCGCCTGCTGCAGAACGTCCCTGCCCTGCCCTCCTGGCACACACGCACCAGTCCCTCGCAGTGCAGGCAGCACAGAGCCAGCTGACTGCAGCGTTAGCCAAGCCCAGGGGCATGGTCTGCATTTTATGGTTTGCAGTGCCAAGCAAGGCAAGGCTCTCAGTGAGATGGGATCCCCATTCCGGACTGCAGCAGCTGAGGTTTTCCTGCAGCCCGGGAGCATGGCAGGGGCAGAGCTCCTTACCTCCGGATGTTCATGGGTGCCACGCTCTCCCATGTGTTGGTTTTGGGGTTGTAGCGCTCAACAGAGTTAAGGCAGCTGGTCCCATCGTTGCCACCAGCCACATAGAGCATCCCCTCCAGCACAGCCACTCCTGCACTGCTCCGGCGGCTCAGCATATTGGCAATGGGCGTCCAGGTGTTGACCTGGGAAGAGGCAATGTTTGTTTGTGAGCCAGATATACAAGTCATTTTTCACATACCGCTGCCCAATCAGCCCTGTGAGGTTAGCCCTGCTCTAACCACACGGCTCCTGACATAACGGTCCTCCCGCAAAAGGACTTTTGGGGGGGCACCCCCCTTCTTTCCTTTCAACTCCGCTGCAGGAAGAGCTGTGGGCTGCAGGAGAGGCCTCTGCCGACTGGCTCAGCAAAGCACAGCCGCAGCTGGCAGGAGTCCTGCCATCCCAGGGGCCTGAGCACAGAGATCTGTGCCAGGCCACCAGTCACGTCACAGCTAAATCCCATCCCAGCCTTGGGGGGGTTGAGCTGTATCTATTTCAAATCTGTAGAAGTCACAGCTGTGGCTTTACAGCTCATGAAAAACCTCCAGGACCTTCTCTTTGATCTTTTTGCAGTGGCCTAGCCTGCTCTAACAGCACCGTGAGACCCCAGGGCCAACACATGTCCCCAGCCTGCCACAATCCCCATGAACTGCTCTGGATGTGCATGTAGCAAGGACCTCAGCTGGAAGCTGCAAATAAGCTCAGAGCATGTACAAGAGCTGTTCTTCCTAGAGAACTTGAGCTGGCCTACAGGCTACGGGGATAGAGAGTGTTCTGGTGGTTGAAAATTTCAGAGATATCTCGGATCCTGCATGGATGAGCTTTGGCTCATTTTGCTCTGGATTGAACCCCAGATACTCTGCCCCTGCAGAAGATCTGGAGAGGGGGATGATACCCATTCCATCGTGTAGTCATGCATGGTGGCTTAAGTCTCCAAGGAGGCAGGCAGGTTTGTGCTACACAGGCTCGTGTGGGCACACCTTCTGCTCCACTGCTGCTGCAATTCTTTGCTAAGAAGTGGTCACATCTTAAGCTACAGCAGCAGTTTGCTAAGAGACCACGTATATCTGATGTCTCACTGTCTGCTGAGCTCTCTAGCAACTCGTGTAGCACTCAGCTTTTTGCAGGGCCCTTTCAGCCTCCCATAAGGAGGGGAGAAGCAAAAGGGTTATCAGGCATGCTTTCTCTTATATTTACCTGGGGCTCATACTTTTCTACTGTGGCTAAGTGGGATGAGCTGTCATATCCCCCAACAGCATAGAGGTTGCCTTCTGCAAAGACAGTCACACGTGCACAGAAGTTAGCTAAAGAGCACGGCCCCAGTCCCAGCACAGCCTCCCACAACTCTTGCCCAGGGTGCCCACACAGGGATCATCTGAGCCACAGTGCCTCGTGCTCCCGAGGCAGCCAAGCTCCTCTCGGCAGGGCTCCCCCAGCTCCCCCTCCCCTGGCAGCATGGAGCATCGTGAAAAATTCATCAGGCAATTTCTCTGCCACACTGCAAGCTTCCCAAAGAGCTCGGTCGTCTGCCGCTTCTTGACCTCCTCACGATGGAAGCTGCAAGTGCTCCCTGCCAGAGCAATGGGTTATTTTTAGCAGCAGAGGCTGGAGCAGGGGAACGCCAATAAAGGCTGTGTCAGGCAGAGGGTAGGAGCTGGTGATGGAGGGGAGGGAAGCTCTGAGCCAACACTGAGAGCTGAAACCAGAGAACAGGGCAGGGGAGAGGCACTGCAGGAACACCACACAGCAGTTCTTGGAACAGTGGGGAGCAGCTACCTTGTCATCCCCAGGGAGGTCCAGCCCCTGCCAGGGTGAAGAGTGGTACCTGCATTAATCCCATAGCAGCACTAAACAATGAAGTGGTCAGTTCTCACACTGCATCCTCCTTCAGGACAGAACTCATTCAAAGGAATCAGAAGGCATCACAGCATTGCACCTAATGTTGTGACACCTCTGGTAGAGACAGTTTTGACCCTGCACTACTGCTTGGATCATCAGTAAAAGGACTGTTCTGCTTTCGTAATGGAGTAATAAGGTTGTCTCCTCCTTTCTAGGGACAGGTGATCATCCACAGCCAGCCCTCTTGCTCCAAAGTAGAGGGTAGTTGTTGTTACTAAGTAGAAGCTTAGTAACAAGCTGTGGGTCCCCTCAGAAGTTGTCTCCAGAATGTGATGAAACCCAATTACTAGAGAGACTGAGGAGGAGAGAAGAGGCAGGGAAGCATGTCAGGACGTGGCAGAGGAATGGCTGGGCTACCCAGACTCCCAGATAGGGAATCTAGGTAAAAGGGGCAGGAACTAGAACAGGACATCAAAAGGAACCACTAGAAATGCAAGGAGCAGTCTGCAGTCAGTCAGGTCCTCATGCCATCACCCACCTAGAGTTGCCACCCGGACGTAGCGTCTCCTCGTGCTCATGGCAGCGATGGATGTCCAGGTGCCTGTCAGAGGGTCGTACCGCTCTGCGCTGCAGCAGGCAGGGACACAGGAACATAAGGTGTGACACTGGAAATGCCCAGGTCAAAGCTCTTTGACACGGGCCCTCAGGGGCAGCTCCCAAGGAAGCTTGGGAATAGACAGGGAAAATGGAGGGAAGAACTGACAAAGGCTGTGTGCTGTTGTGGCAGAGGGCTACAAAATGGTTTTTCCCCTGAAGAAACTTTGCCTGGGCCAAAGGCACTGGAAGACATAGCTGGATTGCAAGACATCTACTCTGGGGCCAGTCCATCTGTCAGGAGCAGGCCCTGTGGGCTCCCCGGGCACCCAGTGCTCAGGACAGTGCATGCAAGAGCAGTGGAGGAGCCTGTAGCAAGGCAATCCCCTACCTGTTCAGGCACGAGGCCCCATCGTACCCCCCAGCAGCATAGAGAAGCCCATGAAGTGCTGCTACACCCAGGCAGCTCCTCCTGGTGCCCATGGACACCTCAGGTTGCCAGGAGTTGGTGACAGGATCATAGGACTCCACCGTGGCCAAGTCAGAGGTCCCATCGTAGCTGTAGGGAGAAAAAGGGAGGACATGTAAGAGCTGGGAGGACACGTAAGAGTGAGGAGGACACGTAAGAGTGGGGAGGACACGTAAGAGTGGGGAGGACATGTAAGAGCAGGGAGGACATGTAAGAGTGGGGAGGACACGTAAGAACTGGGAAGCCTGGACTGCAGGTGAAGTTGTAGGACCTACAGCTCTGGAACCGACCAAGAGCCTAGAGAGCACAGCCTGCCTCAGGTCCCTGTCACCACCCCTCCCTGCTCCTCCCTGCCCAGTTTCCTCAAGGCAGAGTGCACCAAAGCACTGCTGGAAGCGCAGAGCCCTTAAGCTGTGCTCTCCTGCGGGGGCTGCAAAGAAAGCGGGTCTCGGAGGGCCCTGCACATTGAGGGGTGAGAGGTGAGCAAGGAGGCTCAGCCTGCAGCACCGGGCTAAGGGAAACGGGAGGAAACAGCACAAGCCCAGGACGTAGCCACAACCACACCAAGAGCCAGCAAAGTCACTGCTCCAAACTGCCAGGACAGGGAAGGAGTTTTCAGTTGCTACTCCTGCTGTTAGTAACCCAAAGATATGGGATTGCTTCATCCCAAGGCTGGCCCGGGGAGGCTCTGTTGGCCACCCCTGCTCCCGGAGCAGCTCAGTGCCGCTCTCACCACCGGCTCTGCGCAGTAGCCACCGAAAGCACCCAAGCTCCCGCGCCCTCCTTACCCGCCCACAGCATACAGCTTGTTCCCGATGGCAGCAACGCCCACCCTGGCCCTGCGGGTCGACATGGAGGCCACCATGTGCCACCGGTCCGTCCGCGTGTCGTAGGCCTCGCAGTCCCCGTGGATGGCGAAGAGGCTCCCCCCACCTGCGCACGGGACGGCAAACAGAGCAAACACCAGCCCAGAGGCCCTGGGAAAGGGGTTTGCATGTCAGCAAACGCGTGGCAGGGCCTTACCCACGGCAAAGAGCACGGTGCTGGCCCCCTCGCAGCGCCGCGGCCTCGTCCTGCTGTTGCTAAGGACCCCTCTCTGCTCCGGCATGAGGTGGTACTTGAGGGCTTCGATCAGCAGGTCCTTGCACTCCGAGTGATGCCGCACCAGCAGCTCCGTGTCCACGTTGCTCATGAGGAAGTCCCGGCTCAGCAGGGGCAGCCGCACGCACTTCATAAGCTGAGGGGAGAGGAGTCGCACCCCCTCGGCAGGGTGGGAAGCGTTCGTCCCAGTGCTGGCCCCGCATCTCCCCTACAAACCCCGGGGACCCTGGCAAGGCTGACTCCACCTGGAGATGTCATCCTGCTCACTTGGCAGAATAGGCAGCCAGCGACAAAGGGCACCAAAATGCAGCAATTCAGCCTTAACGTCTCTGCAGAGCCAGGAGGCCTCCGCCTGGCCGTGACATGTCCCACAGCCACCCCAGATCCCCACCCTGCCCTCTGCCAGCACCCACATCCTCTTCCAGCACTCATGCTACAAGTAACGATCCTTGCTGTGGGGCTGCAGAGCCCAGACACCAGTCTCCTCTGCCCAGCATGGCCCGTGTTGCCTGCATTGCCCACAGAAGGGATGTCTGAGTGCACACAACCAGCAAAGGAGGAGACAGAACTTCTCTAGGGTCAAGCCCTGGGATGAGTCTTCCTCATCCTGCCCTACCTCAGTCCCAGCCTTCAGAAGGGCACCTGGGGATGCTTCCTCCCACTGTTCCCACCCTCTGCCTGCCTGGAAGCAGGAGAGCAGCAAGATGGCAGGAGGACGGGGCTGCTGGAGGCACTGACAGCCTCTACTGCAGTGCGAGGCTGCACCCGTGAGAGGGTGTCCACGCTGTGCCAAGTACTGACAGCCCCGCAGGAAAGGGCTTATCCACGTCTCCAGTTGCACCTTTGGCAGGAGGCTCGCAGAGCCATGCTCCAAGGTGCAGAGGCAGAGAGACAAAAGCATGAGCTACAAGAAGTCCCAGCTCAAACATGGCTGAGCTTTTCATTTGAGGATGTACGTGAAAGCTCAGGAAGGCTGCAGGCAGGGCTGACCTCTCCTGCTGCCCACGTCCTCTCCAGAGCTCCACATGCCCTAGCTGCCAGGGGTCAGACAGGGCATCCCCCTCGGATTTGTCAATAGTTTGGACTTCACTCTGGGAGACTGAACTTTCTCAGCAACATCCTCATCTATGTCTGGACTGGAAATGGCATGGCAGGGACCCGCTGGCCAACCTGCAGCTTCCTTCAGCCATGCATCCACCCAGACCAGGCACTCAGAGCTGGTGGGTAGAACCAGGCCACCTTCCCCAGCAGACTCACCCTGGGAACATGCTGTCTTCTGCTGTCCACGTCATGTTTGACCCAGCTGAGCACAGCCCGGTACACCTCCTCCTCCGATGGCACATTGAGGCTGTCACTAGAAATAAGGTCCAGCACCTGCAGAGCGGGGTGAAAAGGGGAAGTGTCGGTTGGTATGGTTTGGGAGGAAAGGACACATTCAGACCCAGCAGAACAGCACTGCCAGAGGCAGAGCCCCTGCCTCCTGTAGATGCTGGTGGTTGAGGGGCATACAGCTAGTCTCTCTCACTGAGCACAGAAGAATCCAAAGAGCAACCAGGTCCCCCAAACCAGGCAGGTGTAGCTGTGCCTCCCCTCACCTTGCAGCACTGGTGTGGAGACAGCTCTGCCCTCGATCATTCTCCTTGGCTCATTCCCCACCCCACTGTGTCTGAAGCTGCTGCAATGCCTGATGCTTCCAATCAACATCAGGGAGATCAGGCAGACAACTCTGCTCACACGCATCCCTTCAGTATTTCATGGGATAGAGCCAGCTGCCCTGGCTGTTCCCAGCACACTCATTTCACGTGCCAAGGACTACGGAGCTGGAGCAAGTGGAGATACATACCCCCCACTTGATGCCACGCACCCCACTGCCCAGAGAACGGACACAGGGAGGTGTCTGTACCCTGGTGAGGCACCACACAGGGTCGGGTGATGCAGAGCAAGGACTGGGAATACGTGCTGGGCAGGGCACAGCACCCTGCAGACAGTGATGAGCCAGGGGCCACACTGGCACCCCATGAAGAGCAGCAGGAAACATTAGCTGAGCTCTGAATCAAACATCACAGCTACATGACTGGGGCAGCCAGGATTCCTTCCTTCAACTGTGCCCCCGGAGAGAGGGCAATGTGCTCAGAGCTCATGTGGCAAGCACCAGCGACAGCAATTACCCTCCATGCTATGCTCCCATCTCTATTTCACATGGGATTAAGCTCGCCGACAGCACTCTTCCCACGTATCGTCTCTCCATTGAACAGAGAGGACCAAAGCACAGAATGTGGGTACGTTCCCCTGCCAAACCCTGTCCACTCAGTGCAGGTTCCCTGGGCTTCTGACACACAGACTGTGCCTTCCAGGACAGACCATGAAAAGCCTTGCAACACTCGTACCTTCACGTGCCCATCAGGACCTCACCTGCTTAAGAGGCAGCAACATGAACTCCTCTGTCTTGGACACCTCCACGAAGTGTTGGAGGACATACTTGTGCGCAGACTTGAGGAGGTCGCTGCAGGAGTGTGTGTCAGCAAAACCCCGGATCCCCAGGCAGTTGGATGGGTCGAGCTGGCTGAGTAGGAATTTGCAGCAAGCATCCCGCACACCATTGAGCTGAAGCAGGCTGGCAGCAGGAAGAAGTGTCTGGCAGTGGAAAAGAATGGGGGAAAGGAGAGTTTCCAGGGCAAGGAAACCATTTTCACCCTCATCTCACTGCAAGTCGATAACAGAACAAGCTTACGGAGCACCTTCAGGCACACAAGCGCATAAAGGACAAAGCATTCTTCTTTTCCAACAGGACTAAGGTAAAGAACAGCTGAGAAGGACACCTGTAACTCCCCACGGGGTCAGGAAACAGCAGGAGAATGGCAGATGCTCAGGTCTAGACCTGGCCATTGCGCAGTGCTCTGAGGAGCCATTCCCAGCTACAGCAGTCACAGGAGCCACACCTCTGGGCACAGGGCAGGAGGTGAACTCCCTGACCACTGTTAGAAGCAGGTACCACCACAGAACAACAGCTGAAAGTGTTGAGCAGAAGGAGAGAAGAGTCCCCAGGAAGCAAGTCACCTACAGAACAGCTTTGTGGAGAAGAGAGATTTGGGGGGAAAGCTCCTACCTGCACATTCCCCTCGCCCACCACAATCTCAGCCGTGTAAGCGTATTGCACCAGCTGCTCCAGGGCCTGTGGGTCAATGTCGTGCAGCGTGACGTGGGTCTGGCGGCTCTCACTCATCTCATCTGGGGCAACACAGATACTAGACATGAACAAAGTCCCACAGCAGGATTGTTTTCCCACAGGGAGACTTAGCCATGCATGGAACAAGGTGCTTCCACCTCCATGGCCCAGAATCACATCCCTGGAAGGTTTCCTGCCCACCTCTTAGCGAGGAGGAGCAGCAGTATACTCTAGGGAGTGGGGTCCATGTCTGCAGGATGGACATCAAGATACCTGGGCAGGGGGTTACGGGCAAAGGGCTTCATGGAAAGGAGCCAAATGAGGAATATTATGGCACTTACTCACAGAGGTGATAGACAGGCGCTGTATTCTGTATGGTAGGGCAGTGAGAATAGGGAGCAGGACAGAAAGGGAAGGGGTTTGCAGAGAGGAGAGGGTTGGAAGAGCGGGGAGACCCTGGCCACGGGGAAGAGAGGACGCTACTTGCTTGTGAACATGGCGTGGAAGTACGGGCTGCACGACGCCAGCACCACCTTGTGGGCCTTGATCTCCTTGGGGCCCACGTGGAGCACGATGTCGCAGAGCAGCCCACGCTGACGCATGCGGTTCATGCACACGAAGGCGTCGTGATAGTGCCGCTTGGAGTTGTGGGAGATGCTGTGGCCGTCGCGGTTGAGGAGCTGCACAGCCCCTTCCATGGCTGCGGGTGGTCGATGGTGGGCTTTGCCTTCTCACCGGCACTGACATGGGGGGAAAACCAAAGCGTTACCAAGGCAGGAACAGCCCCAGCCCCAGACAATGCCCGTGGTCCCCAGGTACACCCGACACTGCTCAAAGACCCTGTGTGAGAACAGCTCCTGTCTCACCAGTCCCTGCCAGGGAAACATCATCCTGCTCATAAACCAGCGACCGGGAGGAAACAGTGCCTGAAGGAACACAAGTAATACCAAGCCATGCTGAGATTTCTCTGTTCTGTGACACTCACTGCTTCCCAGCTGTGTTTATCTTTGGACCGATAGATGCTTACCTGCCTTCAGAAGGGTACTGCTCTACAACATATGCACTCAGACTGGCTTTCCTTGAAGTTGCACCATCTCCAAATCTGCCTAACAAAGTGCATTTCCGTGCAATATCAGCAGAAGCATTGATCTTAGAAGTCTCACCGGGACATGCCAGTCCTGCATTGATCAAACACAGCTTAAATTGACCACTAGAGAGAGTGAACACATCAAACTTGAGTAGCCTAAACAAAAAATAACCAGGGAATCCCATAACATCACTCTTGCCCATATCTTAAAAGGCAAGAGTGACATTATGGATCACAGCTTTTCAAGTGCTGGCTGTTCCCTTCTCGCTTCCAGAAGATGCTAGGAGATTTTTCATGAATGTACCTGACTTCAAAAGTTAAGCCCAGAGAGCTTCTGGCTTTCCTGTGCCTACACAATTCAGGAGGGTAAGGCAGAGGGCAAAGGCAATTGCATCACAGAGCTCCACAGCCCCAGTACAGAATTCCTGCAGACCATGGGCTCAAGTCTTCCTGCCATTTTACTTTCAGGTCTCTTTTTGGAGAGAGACTGGGGATTCCCAGGTGGTCAGTTAGGGAGCAGGAAACACTCACTTTATTAATCCTGATCTCCACTTCCCTCCAGTGTCCTCTACCCAGGCACATCCAACCTCACCACACAACAGTCCTGCTCCAGCACCGCAGACTCCTGTCCTGCACCAGCCTAGCAGGCAGCTTGGGCAAAGCAGAGCTCCTAGGGTCTCCCTGGAAGCAGCCCCAGCTGACACCCTGGCTGTCCTTCAAGAGGTAACTTGGAACTTCAGGTAGTTTTGCTTTGACAAGGCTGACAGGAGGGACAGACAGCAAAGACTAGAGATGCTGATCAGGCGGCTGGAACCCAACGCAGAACTCGGTCTGCACGCACACATACATGCCGCTGAGCATGGAGTGGAACAGTCCTTCCACACAGTCTGGGACAGCCCAGGCAGGGAGCAGGAGTATAAACTCGGCTGGCTCATAGAAAACAAAATTGCCTCATCAAGGAATAAGGACATTTATTTGTGCAAAGATGTTTTCTCTTTCCATGCTGTCTGCATCTAAGCTGCTCACGGTGTTTCAAAAGGCGTTTGACTGTCTCCCTGCCAGCAGCATCCAAAGAAAAGGTGGGGGAGTGAAGACAGAATGACTGAGCAGCAGGATGAAGAAGGGGGAGGGAGCAGGAGAAAAAGGCAGCTTGAAGGGAAAAAAGCCTGTGTGCTGCACTCGTGCGCCTGCCCCCGCATCCCTGCGGCGAGAGAATCCCCTCAGCCGCTGTGCTCCTCACAACACCTACACATCGCCAGCCGTGCTGAGCCTAAAAATAGAAACCCACCATGCTGTGCCTGCTCAGCCACGAATGCAGCCTTCTATTCCTTTTTAAATAGCAGTTGTATCATATACTAGAGTCTGGGGGCGGAAAAAAGATGAATAAGCATCTTTCCTGAGTGGGAGAAAAGCCTGCAATGCCCTCTTCTATTTGCATCATCCCGCGTGATGTGAAATTCCTCATCTCACTGTCAGCAGGGAAGACTCATAGGCACACAACAAAGGCAATGCCTGTTGATGCTTTCCAGTAACGAGAGTAGGATGCTGTTGTGCACTTGACAGGAAAGAAGAGCCTGTGAGTTAACTGGCCTTCTCCTCCCACACCCCTCAGCTGAGCTTTTCAGAAAGCTGCAACGTCGCCAGGACAGCCTTGGTGTGTTAATTCACGTGTGGACACTGCTGGATGAGAGGTGCCTGCACAAAGGTGGTTTATAATTATTAGCCTCTCTACCTGGGTTCAAAAGCTCCTTTCCCAGACTTGGTTTAGTGGCAGAGAGCAGACAGTGTTTTCTCACCTTTATTCCCTTCCCTAGCTGCAAGCCTGAGGGTTCTCCTGATCTGCTTGAGCTGGTTTATCTTTTCAACACACAGCTGAGCGTACTTCTCCCCGTTGGTGTTTAAGTCATGCCCCAGCTCTAATTAAGAGCACTCACCTCTCCCCTCCTGGGTGCTGGTAGCAGGGGATAAGAGCTCCCAGCTCCACAGCAGAGGAAAACCCAGGAAGGACAACACAGGACAGGACAGAAGAGCAGGAAAAAGATGGGACTGCATCTCTGTGTGCTTTCAGAGACTTGTGAGGAAAGGTTTGCTGCCCTGGCCAGGCAGAGGGTAGCACGCAACTCGTCTCCAGCGGTCAGGGAAGAGACACAGAGGGCACTACGGACTGAAGGTTGCTGTAGCTGATGCATTGGCACCACAGTAATCAAACATATTTCCAAAGAGGGTCAGAAACACTGGGCTCCCTTCCCAGCCCTGCCACTGAGTCATTGCACAACTCTGGGCAAGTACAAATGCAGAGTGACAAGGGTGACATTATCTTTCCTTGCAATGATTCCCATGGCCAAAAGGTAGAGACCAGCTATTGCTCGCTCCCCTCTCCACCCACACACCCCTGCTGCCACCAGTGCGGGCTGGCACGCACCTCACAGAGCTCTGAAGAGCTCCACTGAAACGTCACCGGTGCCTCCCTTGCCCACGCCGCTGTGCAGCACCCTGATCCGCTGTGTCACTCGGTCTCGGATGTGGCCGAGCAGGGAGCAGGGCCAGAGTGAGATGCCATCCCAGCCACCGCACTGCCACTGGGCTCCCAAGAGCATCCCCACACTGGAGGACAACCTGCAACTGACCTGAGCCACCAGCAGCCCGAACCAACTCTGCCTGATGTTTTTTTGCTACAGCCACACTACAGCCTTGGCAATCCCTCCCCTGAAGGGCAGCTCAACGTCACCCTCCTAAAGCACAGGGAGCACTGGCATGGGTCTGGCCCAAGGCTCACAGGGGCTACAGCCCCTTCAGTCCCACTTCCCAGTGTCCCCTCCACTCCACAATAACTTGTTCCCATCAGAGCTCTTTTGCTTTAATGAGTCAGAATATAATCAGTGGGGGAAAAGGGAAAGGACACCCCACTGCTGCTTGTGCTGCTCCCTGTGCCTGAACTCTCACTGGCAGCACTAAATATTTCCTTGTAAAACTCCATTCCCAGGAAATGAAGGTCTATGAGCATTGCTAAGATATAATTAATGAGGAACAGTGCCTGGACCACAAGAGACAGTAAAGCAGTGTCCAGAGCTCCAGCAGCGGGAAGTAAATACAAGCCCACTTTTGTGGAGCACGCAGCAGCACGAGTGCACGTGTTACACATCAGCTATAATGGATGCGGTGGCTGACTTGTAATAACTCTTAGGTTATGACAAAAAAAAGAAGGCGTTTGTTTGGCTCCTATGAGACAGAGTGTGGCCATGCATAACAGCTCTGTTAATTAATGCAAATGATCCCTGCCCAAAGGGAGGTCTGTTCTCTTTGCACAAAAAACCATATTTTGCCGACAGTGAAAAGAAGCGTGCTGGGCAATAAACAGGGAACAGAGTATCCTCCAGGGAAAAGTTCAGAGCCTGCCCTTTCCCCAGGAAGGCCCTGGAGAATGGCTTTTTGTTGACAGCCTGGATGGAGATTTTGTGTCCGCCAGGCTAGCTAGGAGACTGCAAAGACACATCCTGTACAGCTGGTCAGATGTTGGGGATGAGTCTTTGCTGTGGATAAGGTGACATCCCCTACTCTAAGGCCTGACACACAATTGTGCTTAAATCCATCACTTCCACATGTGCCCTACCTCTATGTTGATATTCCAGTATCTGTTTTCTGGTAAATCAGCTATGAAGCCCTGTTTTGTGTGCAGCACTGTGTCTCCCATAGAAGTGCTGCTATTAGACCTTCAGGATAAGACATTCAGTCCTTCACTCACCTCTACCCCAGTGTTTCACAGCACTAGCAGAGCAGAGAGCAGCACAAATTAGGTCAATAAGGTGGCACCATGTTGCCAATTTCCCTTTCAGGGAAGTGCTTTCCCCCGTTCCTTGGCGCTAGGGGTCCATCTCCCAGCCACAAAGTCTGTTTTTTGCCTGCAGACCTCCCCTGGCTCTGTCCCCAGGCAGGAAGGGGCTGCTGGCAGCACGACTCTGTTGTGCCCAGCAGCTCCAAATCTCCGTGCTGAGCAGCAGAGCCGAAGCAGTGCCCTCTAAAACAGCACAGCAAAGCTCATCCTGGGGCAGAGCAGCAGCACGGACCCCTGGGGAACGAGGAGCTTGGCAGTGGAGTCACAGGCAGGAATCGCTGCTTCCACGTGCATCTCCATCTCCCCTGCACCAGAAATCAGAATTTTTATTTTTAACCCCTCCGAGAGGAGTCACGGGCCATTTGACAGTAAGCAGCCTCCTGCAATTCAGCATTCCCCCAAAGAACTGAAACGTGCAGTACACATTAAAGCTCAGGGCAGGACTAGACCCCGGCAGGCTGGGGAGGCACAGGCAAGCCCCTGCCCAGCTGCGTGGGTGCACACACAGCACAAGTGGCTTCTTTCCTCCTGGGAGCAGGGCTGGGAACGAGATGTGCTCCTGTGCTCTCTTCCTTCCCTTCAACAGTCAAGGGACACAAATAGCTGAGCCGGCAGGAACAATAGCGGCTGTTGTGCTGTTGCAAAGTAAGACCACTAACACAGCTCGTACCAGCATCCAGAGATGGAGCCGAGTACTCTGCAGGCCTGCAAATGTTCATCTTCCTTATTGCTTTGTGCAGACCCCGTTAATTTGGCTGAGCTATCCCTTTTGTCGAACCCTGTCCGTAGCTCTGAAGCCAACATCTAAAGAGAAGTTATAAAATACCAGACTAGCAGTATTTTTGCAACACTAATCCTCTTGCAGTAAGCATGTCTAAGACACCAGGGCTGTTTTCACAAGCTACAGCAGTTATACACTACCTGCCCTTACACCTCAAACTTGGATATCCCAAATTCTTGCTTCTTTCAGAGGGCCTGGCACTGCCCATTACAAAATATATTGCATCCCTACCTTTCCTGCTCCCTTCCCCACAATATGGGGAAATGAAAAATGGAAGAGGACGGGAAATCATCCAGTTATATATGCCCAGGACTCAGATGCAAAGCAGGCACTAAATCTAGGCAATTGTCCTCACTAGGATCTGTTCCATGCGCATCACTGATACAGACAGAAAACCATCCCCTCAATACAACACTTTGGGGTTCAGTCCCTTCTTAGCCCCTATAACACTTTACCTGCATCCAGGGAATTCAAGCAGACACCGTCAGTGTGCAGCAGCTCAAATTCAGTCTTTTTAATATCAAGTTAATTGCGTGCTCAGCCTAGAAGAGCCAGAAATTGTGAGGAAGCAGAGGGACCTAATAGTTCAGGACTAGCAAGTGAACTAGATGCTCTGAATTGCAGGTCCAGTCATTGTTACTGTGACGGCTGATTTACAGCTGCACCTATACAGAGGTCAGGACTGCAAATGTTGATGGAAATGTGACTTAACGGGGCAAGGGGAGCTGTCATTCCTGGCACCAGCTCTGCCTTCAGAGGTGGCAAGAGGGACAATAGAATTATGAAGCTGGCAGTTTCAGACAGCCAGAGTGAGGACTCGGACACCTTGTACCCCCCTGCCAGCTCCCAACGGACACAGCGGAGGACGCCAAAACCACACAGCGGGGGTGAGCCGCACGGAGAGGTTAGGAGCATGCCCCTCAGCCCCCAACATTTCTCTTCACCACCTCTCCTCCCTCTTCTGCTCCCGCTGCCAGCACTGCCCCTGACCACGTCTGCCTTCTATTCCCCAAGCCCCTCTGCTACGGATGGGAGCGCGAGGTGCGTGCTGCTCCTGACAATCCGGGGAATTAATCTGCTCTGAGCTGGCCTCAAGGCAGCACAGGGCACCGCAGACAGCGCTGAGTCTGCAGGACTGAGAATCCCCAGCTCTCGGTAGGGTTTGGGTTTTTTTAATGAATTAGGCATAACTGACACGCACTGAATCCTCCTGTCTAGACATCTGCAGAGAAGTGACAAGCTGCCAGAGAGGATGTGGAGCCTCGGCAAGGGGGTGGGGAGGATGGGGAAAAACTGCACACAGTTGCCAGCTCTACAGCTCAGAGACAGTGCTGGCTTCAGGCAAGAAGGGCATTCAGCACATTGACCTAGCCAGTGTCTTTCAGCAACTCAGTGGGTTGTAATCAATCGGCTCTGGTGCACACAGAAGGCTGGAGGTCTTTTCTAATTAAAGCCTCTCTCCCCATTAGTCCTGGGGAGTTTTGTTTGGGAACTCAGCTCAAAGTTGCTCTCAGTCACACCATTTCATGCTCAGAAGTGCTTTAGCTGTGAGAGGAGGGAGCATAAGGCAGAGCCTCAATACCTGCACCTGGACACTCCCACACCTGAAAGAGATAAAGGTTATCCAGCCTGCTTAGCACCTATCTGGGTACTCAGTCTTCTCCCTCTCATGCACACTTCGCACAGGCAGAAACTCTTCCTGCAGACATCTTCAAATTCAGCTTTTGCCTTCAGTGTTCTGCACACAGGGGATCGCAGCAGCTCCAAGCAGCACTCTGTGGTTGAGGGATTTAGAGGCATCTGTGCTAACATTTGGGTCACTTTAAATAATTGGTTGTAAGGGTCAGGACCCAAATAGGTTTGGGACTGCTGAATTCCCAGGTTAGGGAGAAACAAGAAATGGAAACTAATTCATGTCTTGAGATGCTTAGCAAAATGTGCAGGTCTCTGGCTGCACTGGGATTAGACAGCAGGTCCTACAGTCCAGCACAAAGCACACCAAAACCTAAGTGAAAGGAGCCCTTTGCCAAGGACTGGAAATGTGGGTCATGTCCTAATTCCCCCTTCCCAGTGTCCCCCAGCAGACACAGGAGAGGAGCTACTTGTCACATCCAGCACTATTTTATGGCACAAGCAGTGCCAATCCTCTACCCATAGGCATCGAGCAAGTCTCCTCTCCAGGCAGCAGAGTGATAGTTAACAGCTTCAGCTGCACTATCCATCACTGTGGTATTCCTGATCTCCCTCTAACCTCCCCCGTGACAGACATCTCTGTTCCCAACTCATTTTTATGACAGGTAAACAGAGAAGATGAGAGCACTCAGGTCATTGGAGGCAGACCACATCAGAGGATCTCAATATACCTGGCTCCTGGACTTGCCCAGGAGCTCCCTCCCTGCAACAGCCTCGACTAGCAGCTATTCAAAGAGGGATTGTGCCCTTTACCTGTCTGCTGTGCAGGGTCATGGTGTCTCGAGTAGGTGGCAGTGGGCCAGTTCAGAACGGGTCTTTGCTGCTCAGCAATGCCCTTACATCAGATGAGAGCGATGAATATGGCGGGACCCAGCACGAGCTACCACTTGGCTTCTAAAGGGAAAGTTGACTCCATGACGTGAGGCGACATGGCCTCGAGGCTCCAGCACTAGACCAGGAAAGAAGCAAAAAGCACCCGGGTCTGCTGGCTGCAAACGGGCGAGCAGATCTTTCACAGACGGATAAGCCAAGGAACAATGCTGCTGCTGATGCCCGGTGAAGCGCTGCTCGTGAGTGATTCTCCGAATCAGGAGGTCACCAGCGGAGGTCACCACCTGCACCCTGGCCTCATCCCTTTCGCAGAGACTGCACGACCCACACCACGTTTATGGACAGCTTTACAAAGCCTCCTACCAGCCTCAGTCATGGAGTGGGTTGGCAATGTAGACGTGCCGGACCACGTAAGCAGATCTGCATTTCCTCTTCTGAACAAGCTCAATGTTTCACGCTGTGCAGCAGTGGAAGCCTGTTTTCAAGCCAGAGAACAATTAAGAGAGTTTCCTCACATCTTCTTGCAGGCAACAGCACAGGCCACATACATGAAAACTGAGCTATGAGGAACATATGACATAACGGCCTTGAGTTTGCTGGTACACTGGGGGCCTGCCAAGGCCAGCGAGTCCTGGACCCTGGGAATTTCAGCTCAAATTCCTGTCCCTGAGGAGTCACATCCTCTAGAGAAGGCAGCGTGCTTTGCAGCCAGTTCTAGCAGGCCAAGCACAAAGGGTGAAACCTCTCAAGTCTACCAGCTTGCCTAAGGGTTTGGAGGCAAGGCTTCAGCACCTGAGAACATACAGAAGCCAGCATTGAGACTTCAGCATAGCTGTTTGATTTTTTGAGCTGCTCAGCCTGAAATGCAGCAAAGCAAGACCACAAACCAGAACAGTCTCCCCAGCAGATCTCCAGTCTTCAGAGCATGACTGCCCTGATTTTCACATGCCACTCCACCTACAGAGACCCAGCCTGAGGCTGATGAGAGCAAGGGCAGATGGTCACCAGACGGGCTGGCAGAGCAAAGAGGTTCCATTGCCACCCTCACCAAGCTGACCTTAGCTGACAGAAAGCATAAAGGACCATCCTATCTACCCAAGATGCTAAGGAGCGACTCCATTTGGATCCTAGACTGTCAAGCCAAGAGAGCAGGTGACTATTACACCTGCCAGCTCCTGGTCTGCTCTGAATTAGATGCTATTTGCTGAGATTCATGAATTAGTCAGTTCTCAGGAAGGAAACTCAGGTCTTTAAAACCCAAGATCCCTAAAAGTCTTCCTCACTGCCACGCTGAATAAAGGATTTCCAACAAGGGCTCATGAGTCAGGAGAGAAACTTGGGGTGCAAAGGGGAGAGATTCCACAGGGGTGACTGCTTGGCTGTAGTGATTGTAACCAAAAGGCTATTGTACATTGAAGTGTTAGCGAGCCACATAGCAGTGAACTTGTAAAAAACCAGCACCTCCTGGTATAACATGCTAGCACACAGACATCCCAAATCTGTTGTGGAGGCCCCATCCCACCTCCCATCCTTAAATGCAACTCATGCTTTTGGGCTGTCCATAGTGAAAAGGGGTAGCAGCTTGCTGAGCCTCATTTCAGCAGTGCCCAGTCCTAAGGGGCAACAAGTTACCTGCGTCAGCCTGGCACACCTGGAGACCGTCAGATCAAAAACACCCAAATATCCACATGTTGCTGAATCACTCCAGAACTAACGTCCTTCCTTGTGGCCTCCAGCAACGGAGAGCACCCCAAGATAGCGCTCATCAGACAGCGGCCACTGAAGTCCAAGGAGAAGTGGGCTTCCCTTGCAAAGAGACCCCATGAAAGCAAGGCCACCGTTTCTGCAGGTAGCTTGGCACAAAAGCCTGGTCGGTCGGTGGTCGGATGCTGATGCCAGAGAGCAGGGGCAGCCACCCACCCGCTGCACTTCTGAGGTCCCAGGGCCGCCACTCCTCGGAGGGGGAAGGATTTGCTCAGCCAGCAGAACCGACCCAGCGGCCAGCCCTGGCCTGCTGCTCCCCGCGACCACCTCCACACACGGAGATTCTGTAGCTCGAGGAGGACTGGTCACTGCAGAGGCCAGCAAAAAAAGCTGCCTCCCGCTTCCCCCTCAAGTTAGCAGAAAACCTGAGGCAACGTTTCTCCCCGTGCCCTTCAGCTCCCTGACAGCCAACGACACCAAACAGCCTGTGTGCCTGCACGGGGGGGTTAAGCAAACCCGCAGCTGTCAGAACCCCCCTGCGGCTGCTCCCCCCGGGGCCCCGGCATCTCGCAAAGCTCTAAACCTGCAGCTTTTTGCCTTTACCAAAGGGACCTGGCAGAGGATGGAGACCACGCTCAGCACAGAAAGGCCGCCGGCCTCAGAGACAGGGCGATGCCAGGATAGAGGCAGCCGCTCAGACACGGCAGCGGTTCCTCCTCCTTTCCTTTTTCCAAGGAAACTTGCTCTCCGAGGAGGGACGCACCACCAGCACCGCAGGAGCAGCGGTGGGGAGTGATGGAGAGCTCCCGGAGCGAGGGGTGGGTCTCCCTGCCACCTCCCACCCCCCAAAAATCAGGTAACCCCTCAGGCTCCCCTTCCTTCCCCCCCATCGCGGGGGATGCCCGGCGCTTGCCCGGCCCGGGGAAAAGGAAGGGACGGGCATCAGGACCGTGCCCCAGCGGTACTCACGGCTCCGGCGCAACGACGGCCCGGCCCGTGGGATGCTGCGGGGGCCCCGCGATACCCGGCACCGCTCCCCCCGGCCCCGCGGCGGGGAGACGGGGCGGGGCGGGGGCGGGCGGGTACCCGGCTCCTCCCCGGGGCCGCGGCGGGACGGGGACGGGAGCAGGGCGGCCCCGCGGCTGCGGCTTCCTCCCTCACCCGGAATAACCCCGCCGCGGGGACCTGCCCACGCTACGGCTCGCCGCTGCCTTGCGGGTTTCGGTTCCCCCCCCCTTCCCACGCAGTGAAATCCCGCCGCGCACGTGTGTGTGGGGAGGGAAAGGGGAGAGGGCTCGCCCAGCCCCCCCGCCACGCCGCTCACTCACTCACCGGGCGCGGGGGGGCCCGTTATGCGGGGGGGGGGGAGGGGAAGGGGGGACACGCGTGGCGGGGGGGTAGACACGGGGAGGGGGCGTGACTGTGGGCGGTGAATGGGGCGTGGTCATGTCGCCCCGCCCCGCCCCGCGGCACGCTGGGAGCGGAAGCGGCGGCCGCGTTGGAGTGAGGTGGGCAGCATGGCGGCCGGCGGCAAGAGGTGAGAGTCGGCGGGTTGTGGGGAGGGAGGGCGGATCGGGCTGAGGTGCCGCCGGCGGCTCGTCAGCCCCGATGGGCTGCCGTGAGCCCCGATGGGCTGCCGTGAGCCCCGATGGGCTGCCGTGAGCCCCGATGGGCTGCCGTGAGCCCCGATGGGCTGCCGTGAGCCCCGATGGGCTGCCGTGAGCCCCGATGGGCTGCCGTGAGCCCCGATGGGCTGCCGTGAGCCCCGATGGGCTGCCGTGAGCCCCGATGGGCTGCCGTGAGCCCCGATGGGCTGCCGTGAGCCCCGATGGGCTGCCGTGAGCCCCGATGGGCTGCCGTGAGCCCCGATGGGCTGCCGTGAGCCCCGATGGGCTGCCGTGAGCCCCGATGGGCTGCCGTGAGCCCCGATGGGCTGCCGTGAGCCCCGATGGGCTGCCGTGAGCCCCGATGGGCTGCCGTGAGCGGGCGGGCTCGGCGCTGCCGGCCTGGCTCCCCGCTGAGCATCCCCCCCCTCTCCCCGCCGCCCCTCAGGAGCCTGGCGGAGCTGAGCCTCGACGAGTTCCTCGCCGCCGGTTCCGAGGTGGAGTTTGACGGTTCGGAGGAAGAGGAGGCCGCGGCGCGGGGACGGCGGAGCGCGAAGGCGAAGCAGCCGCTCCAGGCCCGGCCGGCTGCCCGGTAAGGCCGGCGGGCCCGCTGCGGGGGAGGCTTGCTTGATTGCACCGGTTGCTTGATTGGTTGGGGGGTTAAATTTTTGCGCGTTTTTATAAATAACCGCAGGATTTCATTGCAGCATTTGTTATAGAATGAGCTAGGTCTGGTACAAGCCCGGTCATAGGTGCTTAAAAGGGCAGTGATCAACACAGTAGTGGGCTTATGGGGTACAGGACACTCAAGTTTTCTGTTGTATTTTTTTTTACTTTTGTAACTGCAGTGGAGAAAAGGTGTATGGTTTTCATCTTTTACAGGTCATATCAGAAGCAAGCACAGCCTACTTTGTTTTTCTTCAGTTTGTGTGTATTTGCTCCTACTGAAAGACATTGCAGTCGTGGGAAGATAGGAAGTGATGAAGTAGTTCTTGAGCACTACTAATCATCAGAGGGGCTAATTAAGCTGGCTGGAGAGTGGCTGGAGAACAGCACTTCGGAGAGGGACTGGGGGTGTTGGTGGGGGAAAAAACTGCCCGTGAGCCAGCACCGTGCGCTCACAGCCCAGAACCCACCCGTGCCCTGGGCTGCAGCCAGAGCAGGGGGGGCAGCAGGGCCAGGGAGGGGATTCTCCCCCTCTGCTCCGCTCTGGGGAGACCCCCCTGCAGTGCTGGGGCCAGCTCGGGGGCCCCCAACAGCAGAAGGACACGGAGCTGCTCGAGCGGGGCCAGAGGAGGCCACGAAGATGCTGGGGGGGCTGGAGCAGCTCCCCTGGGAGGCCGGGCTGAGAGAGTTGGGGGGGTTCAGCCTGGAGAAGAGAAGGCTCCGGGGAGACCTTCGAGTGGCCTCCCAGGGCTTAAAGGGGGGACAGGAAAGGTGGGGAGGGACTCTGGATCGGGGGGGGGGGGGGGGGGGGGGGTGTGGGGCTGGGGGATAGGATGAGTGGTGACAGGTTTAAACTGAGAGAGGGCAGATTTAGATGAGATCTAAGGCAGAAATTCTTCCCTTATGTGGGGGGTGAGGCACTGGCCCAGGGTGCCCAGAGCAGCTGTGGCTGCCCCCTCCCTGGAAGGGTTCAAGGCCAGGTTGGGCGGGGCTGGGAGCACCCTGGGCTGAGGGGCAGGGGGGTTGGGACTAGGTGATCTTTAAGGTCCCTTCCAACCTGTTCTATGATTATTACAAGCCAAAACAATTATTTACTACCAAGTAAGATTTTACCGAGCTTTCATTGTCAGATTTCTCTGGCAGTACAGCTTTTAGTATTCTTTATAAAAGCTTGTGAGACTAATTCTGAGAAATGAAGGAACAGATTTCTTCTGTTTTTTCGAGATGTTTTCATGACCTCTCGTCAGTATTCCAATACAACCCAATAACTTGCTATCAAGATCTTAGTGCTGGATGAAAATAACCTTTTGTGGTTTCTCTAGAGCAGGTGTTAAACAGGACACAGGCCTGTGACCACAGCCCTGATAAATCAATCACTGTTGAAATTAGTCCCAGGTGTGCTTTAGTGTTCAGAAGTTGTGTGCTTTTCTTACAGCATCAGTGGAAGTTGGAGCAATGAATAAATGCATGTTAATTCTTACCTACCAGGAAGAAAGGAAAGGCATCTGAGCACAAAGATCAGCTCTCTCGGCTGAAGGACAAAGATCCAGAATTTTATAAGTTTTTGGAGGAAAACGATCGCACATTGCTGGATTTTGATGCTTCAGACAGTTCTGATGAGGAGGAGGGATTGCACGTACCACCTGATACACTGGAGGTACTGGACCCTATTTTGGAGTGCTGAAATCAATTATTTCAACTACTTGTTAAGTATTTGACTTCCACTGCAAGACCGAAGTATATTTGGGCTTATAGTTGCACAGGTGGCTGGGGAGGAGCTTCCCCAAAGATCGTTTGCAGGTGTACAGGCTTCTAATCCAGAAGTCAGCTGTGGATTTGAACTGAGCATGAGGAGTTTGTTAAAGATTGTGAAAGCAGACCCTTAGAGTGCGTTTTCTCTGTGGCTTTGGTTTTTTGGTCACTTTTTCCAATGAGAGTTTGTTTTGCCTCAGGTGATATGCTTTCCCCTTGATGCTTTCTTATTGCATATGGTATTTCTGTAGCAAAGCTGCAGGGCTTATGTAGCTTTATTTATTTATTTATTTTATAATACCTCTAACTTCATTACTGCTTTACACAAAGTGCTGATAACAGCATTAAAATTCACTGCTGCCTGCCTTCCTCTTCAGTAGCTACTCAGCAAAAGAGGTGGGGCCAGAAAAGAAGTGTAGAAGCTTTTTCTCAGTCTTGGTACCAACTTCTCTAGGAAGCAAGTGATGAAGATGAAGAACATGAAACAGTCAGACGGAAGAGAGTTTCTTTCATCCCTGTGACCTTGAAAATGGTTGAAGAATGGAAAAAAGCTGCAGAGGTGAGCAGGGAGTTGGAATACAAGGCACTTGAGTGTTCTGCTTTAAACATTCTTCCGCACATGTTGCTGCCTCTAAACAACTAACTTTTGATTTGTTCATCTTTCACAAAAATCTACAGAGAAGATGTATGTCCTACATACAAGGTCATACTCCTAGAGCTCTTGTTACTTCAGCATGACTTGTCTTTGCAGTTTTTCTTGGGCTGCAAGATTAGAGTACTTGCGCTCGATCCGAGGGAGAAGCTAAAGAAACTTGTGTGGCTCAGAAGAGGTCAAAATGGTTAACTTCTGATTATTCACCCTCTTGCTAAGCATTGTGCCTTTGGCAGCTCCCAGAACTTTTTTAGTAATATTGTGAGTAGTGATGAAATGGCTTGCTGCTTCTGACTAAGAGGGGGAGGAAAAGGTCAAATTGGATAGTTGCTTGCAGCTGAAGGATTGCTTCTCAACCCCCAACCAATTAAAAGCCCATTTTAGAGCAGGTGGAAGCCACTAGCACTTGTTAATGCTGTCTTGACATTTTTCCTTTGTGTTATAGGATGGAGCTATTTTTGCAATCAAACTTAGGATGAATTCCAATACTCCTGTCCTAGTAAAGTGCTTTAGAGTTTCAGAATATTTCCTTCCAGTACTTACAGGGGGGACAGGAAAGGTGGGGAGGGACTTTTGATCAGGGGGGTGGGGATAGGACAAGAGGTAACAGTTTTAAACTGTAAGAGGAGAGATTTAGGTTAGATCCAAGGTGGAAATTGTTCCCTGTGCGGGGGGGGTGAGGCGCTGGCCCAGGGTGCCCAGAGCAGCTGTGGCTGCCCCCTCCCTGGAAGGGTTCAAGGCCAGGTTGGGCGGGGCTGGGAGCACCCTGGGCTGGGGGGAAGGGGTCCCTGCCTGGGGCAGGGGGATTGGGACTGGGTGATCTTTAAGGTCCCTTCCAACCCAAACCAGTCTGTGATTCTATGAATATTGCTTGCTTTCTCTCCTCAGCAATCCTTTTTCTTCTTTCCCTAGAGAAGGCTAACACCAAAACTTTTCCATGAAATCACTCAAGCATTTAAAGCATCTGTAGCAACCACCAAAGGAGATAGTGGTGGGGCTGATCCTAGCAAATTTCAAGTCACTGATGCTGCAGGTGAGTTGGTCACCACACTACTTCTGTGAGAAGGGAAGTCATTTGGTAGGGAATGTTTAGCTATTGGAAGAGAGTAGGGATAAATACTGGCAGGAGTTAACTTACCCTTTCATAGACTTCATTTCACTTAAGTAGCTTATCTGCCTGGCAGTGAGTCTGTGCAGTGGTATCTCTTCTGGTGTCCCAGTGTATACTTGTACCTCCTGGTGTGCATGCCTTGAGCAGCTGGGCTTGCAGGCTGCTGAGGAAAGTACACTTCGTTTACCAGACTTCTTAGAGTGAAATTGAAGCTAGGTACTCTTTATACACTTGTAGTGCATGGGGGTTTTTTGGACAATTTTTGCTGCAGCTTCTTGCTGATCTCTCTTAGAACTAATCCTACAAGACTATTTTAAGTCTTCTTACCAAATAGCATTCTATTACCTCACAACAGTTCAGAGTTCAGTTGCACTATCAAGTTCACATTCCCCTAGCCGGAGTGTCTCAAAATATTTCATGTCTAGATCTCCTTCTCTGCAGGATTATCATGCCTGTAGAATAAATGAGATGCAACCTCTCTCTTCCACCTAGCCCCCTTTTGCATAAGCTCCAGCCTTTGCAGACAGTCCTGTTTTAGACTCAAAACAGCATGGCTGAGCAGGAAACATCTTTGTTAGTGTTTCAGAGGATGTGACCTGCAGCCTGCCTACTTTTACCACTAAATTAGCAGGTTAGCAGGTGCTTTCTCACTGTTTAATGCACTTGTTACTGTGTGCCATCTGGAACTGGCACCACGGGGTGGGACTACTTAAACCCACATGTTCTCCTTAATCCTTTCTTGCCTGGCATAGTGCTTTTTATATCTCTTTCATTGCTTTTGGTAAAATCTCATTTGTTAATGTAAGATATGGCACAGAATTTGCATGTCCATTTCAGTGACTTTTTTTATTAAAAAGTGCTTTTAATTTTCATTATGGGAGATTGGTAGTGTAGATTCCTAGTTGTGGGTCAGGCTGCTTTTGTGCTTGATGCTGTTTACTCAGAGAGCAAAGAGATGGTCCCTGTGCTAGAAAGTTGTCAGTTGTAATCTTGCTCTTTAGATAAAGTCTAGGGTAAGACAAACTGATGTTTTCTGGAAGCTTGTGGAAATGCAGTAGTTCTGCTATGGGAATTACTGGCTTCAGTTCCTTGGGGAGCTCTTTTCAGGTTAGCTGAGAAACCAGGAATATATGGAAAATAACTTATAAATGCTTTACTGACTTTTTTTAACCAGTGTTCAATGCACTCGTGTCCTTCTGTGTCCGGGACCTCTTCCGCTGCCTGCAGCAGCTGCTTCTTCTGAAAACCCCGAAGAACAAACTAAAGTAAGTCTGAGGAGAGTTGAGAACTGCAGGTGAGAGAAAGCTGGTTGAGGTTTTTCAGAACTACAACCTGGCCGTGACGTTGAGAAAAAAATGGCAGCTCTTCCCAAACACCAGCAAGTTGCCTGATTGTATTCACAATTGTCTTAGCCAGGTTCATTGTTTCTTCCCTAGAAGTGCATGCTCTGTAATATTAGACTCCAGCCACTTGCAGAGGACCTGTGGCTTCAGCAGGAGATCTGAAATTGCATATGCTTGCACTCAGGAGTACTGTTAAGGCATTGTGAGTTGTTTTTTTCAGAGAAAGGGAACAAGCCTTCTGCCTGTATGTAGGCAGAGTATCACAAGTATGCGACTTTAAACCAGGGCTTCAGCAGCTGTATTATGCCCTGGAGTCTGGTGGTCTGAGGGCTGGATCATCTACTGTTAGAGCATAGATGGACTGGAAACAAGCACACAACTGGGCAAAGAATGGTACAATTAATTGTTTTCCAGAATGGCAGCATTCTGTATCACATCCACCGATGCAATTTGATATGACTATAGAGAGGGGGAATGACAGTTTTGAAATCTAGTTGCTGCCTGGGAGCTGGGAATTTTCTGGCTGTTGTGTGGGTTGGTGCTCAGAGAGTTCCAGAGTCAGGCTGGGCCCATAGTTGAATAGGTATCATCATGGCTTGCCCAGGAGCAACTGGAAAAGGTGCTGGGAGCTCAGTAAGTACCAGTCTGAAGTCTTGCTGGATGAACCAGTACCATTTATGAAAAGGGACTGTGAGTCCAGTTTCATAAAACAAGCTGTGAAGTTCCTGGTCTGTTTTGCAAGCTGGAGCAGCCTTATTTAGCCCCTGTGCCTGTTTCCTATTAGACATTCACAAAAGTCTTTTACCTCACTCCTCTCTGGAGTTTCAGCTGGACATGGTTTTATTACTTCCTTCATCGTCTGTGCGCTCTGTTTTTTTCATTGTTGGGTAGCGTGAGAACTGGATGCCCTTCAGAAGTGCTTTCAGTTCCAGGGTAATTTTTGTGGCAGTTATTTTTAATTTCCCTGCCACAGATGAAAGGAGGGGTGGGCTAAACTCTAGATTCCTTCTTGACAGTGGTGCCTAGTCTGAGAAGTAAATACCAGCCTCTTTCCTCTCCAGGCCTGACTTGTACAGACTGTGTCTGAATTTTGGGATGGCCTGGGGGCAGTACTTCAAATGCATTGTCAAAAGTTTAGAAGAGACTGAGCAAATGTCTCATAACTAGTTTGATCCCCAAAATAGACTTTCTTGCTACAGGCCAGCCTGCTCTGTTCTCAGGCAGTGGCTGCAGAATGCCTGACTAGAAGATAACATCAGTGTGAGAGATCCAGGTCTCCACCAGGCTTTCTGGCTGTCACAGCTCCCTGTATCGCACTTCCAGAGATCTGAGTACTCTGCTGGGAAGCTCTTAGAATTGAATTTTCTAATGCTGTGCTTCAGGCAGTTTTTACAGAGTAAAAGTACTTCTTTTCACCCATGACAAAATTCTTGCTACTTCTCTTCTTGCTTTGCAAGCAGTTACTTTTACTCACTGGCAATATCAAGGAAGTGAACTCACTGTTCTTTGTGCTGCTGGAATCTAATTTATTTGGTGGAGTGGTTTTTTTTTTTAAATCTAAACCCAATTCTTGCCCATTTTCAGAATGGTCCTCCCTTCCACCAGCCCGCTTTGGAGCAAGCTGCGACTGGACATAAAAGTGTACCTCAATTGTACCATACAAGTAAGAAATTTCAACATGTTTGTGTTACTGGGGTCAGTCTGTGCTGTGTGTCTCTGAGCTCTTACTCAGAATATTTTGGCATGGGGCAGATGGGCTTTTGCATCTCTAAACAACACTGCTAAAAAGAGAGCCAAACAATCAAGAAGATAATTAACAAAGCAGATAATGATGTAGCCTTGGGTGCTTTTCCCTTTGAAAAGACAGTTACTCTAGTTTGAGGGTGACTTTCTGGTGGTCATAATACTGACAGCCTTGGGTATTGGTTTCTATGCCTTCTGTAGCAGAGAATAAATAAGACATACTGGCTGAGACTGCAGCAGGCAGAAGCAATCTCACTGAGTCTCAAAGCTTTGGGCATCTGAGATTGTGTGTCTGTCCTGTTGCCTGTCTTGTTCTGGAAGTATATGGTCAAACTAACAATTTAGAGGTCCACAGGATGGTTGGGTCAAAATAGGTAGCCTATAAAGAAGAGCTGGGTTAACATTCTGGCAGTTCTTCCTGTCTTAATTTGTCTGACAAATTAATATTTAGTGGGCTTTAAAGTAGTTTGCAGTGCTGTGCTCCTGAATTCTGCATCTGTAATTCAATTTTTGGTACTATGATCTTGCCACTCCTAGTAAATACGAAGAAGATGTTATGTTGATAATTTCACATATGAGATCTGCAATTATGATTATGCTCCATCCCACTTGGCTCTCCCATCCATCCGAAGTTGCTGATGTCTGGTGTTGCAGAGGCAATTCATGGGTTATTTCTGCAGGAAGTTTCTGCCCTCAGTTGATTTTTTTGAGATTGCTTCATCATGCATCCCCAAATCTGGAATACTAAAAACAACAATAACATTGAAATACTTATTCTTCAGAAGCTAAGGAAAGGGGATATAAGGAAAGAAAAAAGGTGCTGATGTCTCTTAGCCGTAAGTTGGCCGAGTGACCTAGCAGAAAGAGCATTTTGATCAGCAGAGCTTTTTTTTCTCAAGTCATGCCTCTTGCCAGCAGCAGAAGATTGCAGTAGAAAAGGAAAATCTGGCAATGCATTCCCATTGAAGTAATCCCTGGTCCTGTGCTTGCTTCTGAGTTCCATCAGTCCCAAGCTTCACTACAGTGCTTTTCTGGCAGAGTAGTTTCTCAACAATATCTTCTCCTTTCCTTTTGGTGTGTGAGGGTCTTTGCAACAGAGACCTGCTCAGTCTAGAATCTTTGCAGTGCAAGGAGGAGAATGAGGAGGAAAGTTAAAAGTAGAAAAAATGCTTCCACTTCAGCAGCTGAGACTGCAGGCAAGAGTGGGCACTGTATCAGGCAGAACCTCTCTCAAATTGAAGTGACTTTGAGCTTACCATTGTCTTCAAATGAGAAACTGTAAATGTCTCTGGGTTTGGTTCCAGGTGAACTGAGCTGAAAAACCTGTAAATTCAAAGATACTGTTTCTGAAGAGTTTGCCTAACCTTTTCCTTGAGCTAGAGTTAACCTCTTGATACCAAAGAGCATTCCAGCTTCACATTAAAGAAATCCTAGTGAAAACCCAGTAAGTTATCAGATAGCTCAGATGGTCTGTTTCCAAGCCTTGTGGAGACTGAGGGTGTCTTCATTGTGCTCAGACCAATTGTGGTGAGATGAGAGGTGCGTTGATGTGTCTGCTCCTTTCTTGATACAGCTTTTGCAGGTTTCTTTGATCTTCTCCCTAGGGAGGGCTGGTCTTCCAGTCCTTTGGTAGAAATACTTGGGAACAGCAAAATACAGTTGCTTAATGCTAAAGAAAGAGGTGATGAGGACTACACACTAAATGAGGTTGTGTTTTGTTTTCCCTCCATAGCTCCTGTCTTGTTTAACAGAAGCCTCAGTTGGCGCCGCAGTCCTTCAGCATGTCAGTTCCATAGTGCCTTATTTTTTGTCCTTTCCAAAGCAGTGCCGTGCTCTTCTCAAGGTAAGGTGACATGCTGTGATGTGTCATTTAGATCTGAGGTACGTACTTTACACCTTCAGATGAGCCTTTCCTGGTGTTTGGGCTGGATCTCATGATGGTTCTGTCTCTTGTACTCCTCTTCCCCTGCTTTTACTTTGGTCCTGGAAAGGACTCCTGCTGCTCTAACAGGCCTTCTAGGTGCTACAAAGCGCTCATGCTGAGGTGAGTGGGCACGTGGCTCTGAGTGTAGCTACCACTAATCCCCATGCAAAGTGACACGGAGGTGTTCTGGGGAAGCTGCCTGCTTTCTCATCGCAGATGGAGTAATTACCGCCCGTGTGCTGAGTCTGTGTTTATGTCTGTGGTAGTATTTCACTCAAGAGCTGGGGGTGGAATATTTTTGCAGAAGCTTAGTCATAACTGCTGAGCACTTAAGAACAACAAAGGAGGCGTGGAAGAGGGTGACAGGGTGACATTTAAATGAAAAGCTGCAACACAACATTTAAATGATGCTGGGAACCCTTTGGTGATAAAGATGACTGCTATACAGTGATCAGAGGCTGGTACACCTCATAGCTGAAGGTGTAGCAGTCTGCTCGCTGCTGTAGTAGGGACTTTTGAGTAGACTTTTTCAGCTCTGCAGCTCTGGAATCATTCTGATTTCCTGTAGAGTTCATTAGTGCAGAAAAGGTAACTAGTTTTTGGAAGTATCAACCATGATTGTGGTCCTACTGTACCAGATGCTTCCTGACAGGGCCAGCCAGCCATGTCCAAGTGAATCTGTACTCTGAATGTGTGAATGCAGGCAGGCCTGGCAATAAAGTCTATTTTGGGCATCAAACTAGTTGTGAGACTATATGCTTGCTTTATGCAGTGAAGAGATATGTAAAACTCAGAGTTTACATGTCAGCGGTGGGCTGTCTGTTAGCTCAGACCTCTACACAGACTAACCTACCCCTCTCCAGCTGGTGTAGGTATCTTTATGATGCACTGGGTGCTTGTCATTATGTCTGTAGCAGAGTGACTAAAGATACGTCTCAACAGCAGTGCTGCCTTACACAAGTCTTGTCTCTGGCTCCAAACCCCTGCTGCTCTTCTGTCATTTGAATTAATACAATGAATGTCCAGGGAACTGGAATTAAGTCAACTGCCATGAGGAGATGTATCTCAGGAATTGCAACCTATTTGCCCACAGGGAAAAAACATTGACAAATTCAGAAATCAAACCCTGGTGTCCCCTCTCCAGACACAAATGCATCTTTAATAGCATTCTTTGAGAAACTAGAATTTGGTATTTGTGGCGAACTGGAGTGCAGTTGCAGTGTAGTTGCATTCTGCAGAATTTGGTGCAAGACATAAAAATTACTTTTGTTGGCTGGAGGATGTATTGGTCAAATACGTAACGCAGTATGGTGTAGCTTGTAGGGGATGGTGAGGAAGCTTTACAAAGCCTAGAAGATTGTCACATGCTTAGGTCAGTGTCTATGGCTCAGAAACTTAAATGTGTTTTTAGGCATGTGAGTAAAAGTGCATGTATATTTCAGAGATGCTAGTTTTGGACAGTTTCCTTTATTGTTTGTGGCAACATCAACCTTGTCTCTTGTGTGGTCTTGCAGCTAGAGTATGAGGACAGAATGGCTGCCAGTGCTGTTGTGACTGATTCTGTGACAATACAGCCTGCCAGCTTTGTCATCTTCCTCCTTACTTTTTTTGGGGGTGAAGGAGGGAAGCTCAGGCCTGTCTGTAACCAGGAAGGGGCTCTTTGTCCCCTGACTTACCTGTATCTTTTTTTTTCCATTCCAGCAAACAATTAATTTGTGGAGCACAGGTGAGGAAACTGTGAGAGTACTGGCCTTCCTTGTGCTGAACAAGATCTGCCGCTACAAGAAAGAGGTGTACCTAAGTCCCTTGCTCAAGGTAAGGCTGGTACTTGCTGTACTATGCAGCTTTTCTTATGCTATATGCTAAGACCTTGGAGCATGAGCTGTAGCCTGTTAGGCAGGACAGGTGCTGGAGATAATGCTGGCTACCTGATACCCTGCTTCCTATTACTGCCTTTTCTGCTGGAGGCACATGAGGTCTTAGCAGGTAAGACGTCTAGTACTCATCTGTCTACTGAATGAATACTCATCTTCCAAATTCTTGAGGGCTTTTCTGAAGTGCTGACACACTACTTGGAGCTACTGAGCTGCTCTGATCTTTCAGCTAGTAGCTTAGGCTCCCAAGTGTAGTTTGCTTAGGTACCACTGTTACAGAAAGAGAACTGTGACAAACCACAAGGGTGTATGGCTCAAAGCCGTCCTGCAGTTCTGGTAGTAGCATCTCCAAGCTCTGTGCTAAACAGACTCCTTCCCATCTTCCCTGAAGAAAGAGCAGGCTGGATTATTATTTTTGTGTATTCCTTTGAAGTGACTTGCCTTATAGAAGGAACACTTCGCCCCTGCTTTGGACATACCTGGGTGGGGAAGGTTAGTAAAAGAATGCGTGTGTTCTGTTTTCTGTGGTGGTTGTATCTTGTCCTCTCTCTTCCACAGCAAATGTACATCGCATTTGTGAAGAATTCCAGATTCACTTCTCCCAATGTCCTGCCCATGATCAACTTCATGCAGCGCACACTGGCAGAGATGTATGCCCTGGACACACATACCTCATACCAGCATGCCTTCATCTATATCCGTCAGCTTGCCATTCACTTGCGCAGTGCAATGACGATAAAGAAGAAGGTAGGTACCTGTCAGTGTAAGACTTTGTGATGTACTTTCCATCTTCTGCCTTGGGGACCCTTTTTCCACTCTGAAGCTGCTATTTGCAGTCTGTCACAAAACCTCAGGGTAAAGAAGATTAGGAACCACCCTGGAGTGTGTATCTTTCCAGTGAAGTCCATATTATTTAGAGGACTTAATTGAACAAAGCAGCTCAGACCTTTTGGGAGCAGCCCTGATTTCAGCCACCTCCAGTCTGACCTCGGAAATCTGAGTCAGGTTGCTAATCCTGGCTTTAGTCATGTTTAGCAAAACAGACCCTTATAGATTAGTAGTTCATCTGCTCCCAAACATTGCAGGATTGGTGACCAGTTAAATCTCATGACTCTTCAGACATGGGGATAAATGAGCAGATAAATGAAGTCTGGGCTGCATATGCCCTAATTGGATTGCATTGGCCTCTTAGACCCTCAGTCCTGGCCCAAAGAAGAACTAAATCCACTTGATTTCATCACCAAGGAGGGTTGTAGGAACTTCATGTGACAACAACACAACCAAAATGTACAAATAAGTCAGTTTAAACTGAGCAGTGGGTGGTTGTGGAAGGTGGTTACAAGAGCAAATTGCTTATGTCTTCTGTACAAGAGAAGCTGAGAACATCTCAGTGACCTGGTGAGAGCTGGGAGAGCTCTACCATTTCCACCTGTAGCTGAAGTCCCTACTGCAAGGTTTGGTCCAGCAGCTGCAATTTAAGGGCTTCTGTCCTTGTTTCAGGATGTGGGCATCTAGTTTCATTCATGCAAAAGAGGTGACCTAGGCCTTGAAAGTCTGTCTGAAACACAAGCTGGAGCTGAGGCATCTTACTAAATGCAATCTCCTAAGTTCTTGGTGCAATTCTGGGGAATACATGGGTCTATAGAACTCTTTGGGAGGGGTGCCTTTAAGGGACTCCTCCACTCTTCTAGGCTTTTATTTACTCTGGCACAGTGAGCTACTTAAGCACATGGCAGGGAGAGTGGGGGCTTGCCCAAACATTCTTGAAAACAGTGCCTCTTAGATTGGTGCAGGATTTGACCCACACCTACCCATGCTGCTGAGGCAGCCTGAGATGCTGGTTCAGTGTGTAGTTGCATGTCAGGCACACTGCTGGCTGACTGCATTGTTTTTGCTGGTAACCATAAGGACTGGCTGAGAAATAGCTGAAAGTTTGTTCTCAGCTGTGCTGCCTGTCATTTTTACTCTACATGTCCTGGGTAGTGTCTCTTCCAAAAATAGGGCGGAGTGCTGGGTTGATCATTTGGTCCCTGCTTCAACAGTGAATGTTTATAGGAACAGTTTTACAATGAGCACTGATACTACCTGACAGAGCTAGTGGGGCAGTAGTTAGGGGATTTTGATTAATACAACTGAGGAAAGGGAAGCCTCAGGTAGGAAGGACAAGCTGCTACACCAACCAAAGGAGTTTCAGTGCAGAGAGAGGAAATCCAGATTTATTTCTTGCTAACTTGAATCTGTAGTGTAGCTTTACATACCCTTTTGCCCCCCTCCCTCTGGTCTGCAGAGGCCAGAAGGCAATTTATAAGGGCATCAGATGTGGGTACTACTTTCTAGCCTTCCTACCTGTGGGAGACTAAGGACTGTCCCAGGGACTGTGGGTAAATGGAACAGTTAAAGGTTTCCTAATGCTTGGCCACATCCCACCATCTGCTGTGAGCTGGGTCATTAAATCATCCTTCTCTCATGAGCCAGACTTGTGAAGAAAAGCAGCCTGTGTGTTGCTCATTATTTCCTTCAAGGCACTAACTAGTACCAAAACATAATGTTGCCAGTGCAGCATCTGAACTTGCTGTATGGTGGGTCAGCCACTAGCATCAAAGTGATGGCTAGAATGTTAGTTGTTCCCCTCTAAACAGTACACAATGTCCTCTTAGAGAATACTGAGTAAAATTAGTCCTGTACAGAAACGAAAGCGAGTTCCTCTCAAATGCCACATTTTCAAGTTTGTGCCTGTGTTTTTCCCTTTTCTGCAGGAGAACTTCCAGTCTGTTTATAACTGGCAGTATATCCACTGCCTACATTTCTGGTGTCGGGTTCTCAGCACAATCTATCCCAGTGAGGTCATGGAGCCGTTGATCTATCCTTTGACACAGGTCATCATTGGGTGTATAAAGTAAGTAAGATTTTTTTCTTTGGGCTATACTTCTTTCTCTTGCTTGATGTGGCAGAGCAGTTACTTAGGGGTGTTACTTTTTATGTGATTTTAAGTTTGCATTTTAAGGAGTTGTCAGAGACCTGCTTTCAACCAAAGATGTGAGCACCTGTATGTTTAGGTGGTGAGGAAGTTATGGTGTAGGTTATTCTTTCCCATGCTAAATTCTCTGCTTAAGAGAAGTTGCAGTCTGAATAGCCTGGACAGATTATCCTCCCAATTGTACAAAGTGGCAAGGAAAAATATACTCACTTGCCTCAGGACCTAACAGTGCGAAAGTACAGAATCAAGTCCTCATCCCTAGCTCTGTAAATACAGTTAGAAGATGCATTTTTATGGTGCATATTTGTTAGAGCTTGAAGAACTAGGACACATTTTTGCTTTTAGTGTGTCTCTGCTGCGAATTTCTTTCTCTTTTTCCCATCAATATACATGTTTGTTTATGAAATTTTTGTGCTTCAAAAGGGCTGTTAATAATGAACATTGAGGGAATTTCTGAATCTCTGGTGACCTCTGAAATCCTGTTAGCCCTGTTAACCAGATTCTCAGCTTTAAAACAACACCCGCCTGGTCTTGAAGAACTCCCAGGTGGTGATGAAGATAAGCAGATTTAAACGATCATTAGTGTATGCATACATTCCTCTTCCCATCCCCCATGTGCACAGGCTGCTTCCCACTGCTGTTGTAGAGCTTTAGTTGTCCTGCAGATGGATCTAGGCGGTTTTCTACCTGTCCAGGCAGATAAATCAGCTGTTCTGGGGCCAAGGAAAGGTGAATTGGGTGAGTCTCAGCAAGGGCAGCAAAGAGAATTTGTTAGCATCTGTGATGGACAGGGCTGCTTGGCATGGACTACAGTTACTGTCTGATAAGGCTTTAGAGATTTGGGAACCCAACAGATGGATTCCAGGGTCAGGACAATAGAAATAGATCCCACCCTGGCTTCCTTACTGAGCCAAGGCAGTGCCTGGGGTATGAAAAGGAGGGAGGTGGGTTAGCTGATGTGGCTCCAAGGGCTTCAGACTATTCCTAGGAAGGATCTTCTCAGTGTTGGTGGCTGTGCTGCCCAAACTGAGAGCTGGTCAGAGTCAGTCTCTGTGCCACATCCCTGGTGTAGGTATGGCTGTAGCAACTGAGTGTTACAGAATAACTTGGATTGTTTCTGTTTGAGGTGAAAGGATTAAATAATCTAGCCTGCTGGTCAAGGGTTTTTTTGTTTTGTGTACCACTGTGCATTTCTGGAAGGCCCATTTAGGGGTATGCATATGCTTGGGTGCTGCTTATTATCTGACTGCTCCCAGCAGACTTTCTGTGGTGATGGTGTCAATGAGCTGGACCCCCCCCTCTTTGTTTCTCTGAGCTGCTCAGCTCGGAGAGGTGTGTATGTGATCAGGTGGTGGGGCAGGACACTGTAACATCTGGAATACCTTCTTTCACTTCTCCTCCTGATGTGGTGGTGCTCTGGGCATATCGGAGGGTGGTAGTTCTGGGAGGAGACTCCCCTTCCCCAGTGCCTGTGAACCGGGAGGTGGCGCCTGGCTCCAGCACAAGGACAGTGAGTGAGCCAGTGTCTGTCTGTCTGAGACCCGATTGGCTCCTCATGCCACCCTGGCCTCTTATGTCAGGGGAGTGGGGAGAAACCACAATCCGTCACAGCCTTTTTGCTCTAGGTAGGGACCAGGGCAGAGTTTGAAAAGTGATCAACCACGATAACTAGTAGAAGAGGGTTGCCAGCTAAAATCAAAATTCAGTCCCTCATTTCCTTGCTCCTTCTTCTTGCTTTCCAGCCTATAAAATGCATTGAAACTATTTTTAATAATACATATTTCAGAAATGGACCTCGTGTGTGTCTGGAAGTTACCTGTACTCAAGATGTGGTCCAGGGAAGTTGGACTACTGAATGGAAGAGTGCTGGAGTTGATGTTTTCTGACTTTTGTGATGCTGGGAAGAGCCTCATTGCTGAGTTTGCTCATGAAATTGCCGTGTAATAATGAGTGATGCTGTTCTCACAAACAGCTGAAAGGTTGCAGTTAGTTTGACCAATGGGACAGTGTTGTAGTTATTGCAGAGATAATAGAACATGGAGATTATTTCCCCCTTCCTTTCCTGCCCTGTGCTTTTCTCTGCCTCCATAGTCCATAAGTTCCTCTGTTTGATCAGTGTACTTGCACTTGTCCAAGTTAATGGTGGTTTGTTGGATTTTTTTTTTTTTTTTGCGGCATAGTTGTTGCAGAAGCTCCTGTTCTGTGTTATCCCTTTTCCCCTCATCCCATAACGTCTTTTTCTGACCGTTTCTGCTTGAATTTCTACCTTGCTCTAAGTTACAAAAATGAAGTTCTAAGCTATAAAAATGAAGTTCCTCCCTGGCTTATAGTTAAATGAGGACTTCTGGTACCTCTAAGTTTTGGTTTCTGGCCTCTCAGCACGTATAGGGGAGAAAGCAGGTACAGCCTCCTACATGGAGAAGCAAACACGGCTTTGGTATACCTGAGCAACTTCCCTTGGTGACCTGTCCTGGTGGGGTGGAGGCCAATGTTGAAAGAAGCTTTGTCCTATTTGCCAGAGGAAGATTGTGATCACCCAGGAGTATAACAGAAGGAGCTGTAGTGAGTAAAAATAAGCCTTGAGAAGCCTGTAGGCTGTTCCCTACACCACAGCTCGTGCCCAAGAGATAGTGGTGGTAAGACATTAGAGAGCACTCTCTTCTGAGATGAAATGTGAGTCAGTTTGAACACCTTGGCTGCACCCTGGCATGGCTAGGCAGTTGGACCTTCCTCAGCAGAGCTGGGACCCAGCTGTGTTTTGTAGTCCCTGTGCATCCAGCCATTGGGAAGTTGAACAGATTGTTGCATCGCCACGCACTCTAAAATTAATGGTCTTGGTTTACAGTAAATCTATACACTTAACAGGTTTATTCCTTGATCAATTAATTCCTGAGAATGGCTTTCGTCATCTCCAGGGGTACCAGATCAGGGGTGCAAAGTAGATTTATTTATATAATGGATCCAATGATAATTATTTCACTGTTTGAGGCGAGGGGATGCAGGTGATTTATGGTGCCATGTCAAGGTTTTGGTTTTTTTTTTTTTTGCTCTCCTCGATTGCTCAGCAAGCTCTTTGGGGAGGCGAGTGGTTCATTTATCAGACTTGAGCCTGTTGTCTGGGAACTGTTTTTTAAAAAAAATAAAATTAAAAATCCTTCTTAATGCTGGAGGCATCTGTGTCTTCAAGTACATATCATTCAGCATGAGAGGTTTCTAGAGTGGTACAGTAATGAGGTCTGGTGTCTTTTAGGGATAGCTCTGCATCCTCCCTGCTGCTGGCTTACATGGTGCTGGGGGAGCTGATCTTTCTCAGTCCCAGCCTTGCAAAGGGAGTTGGCTCTACTTCTTTCCTTAACGCCTGAGTGCATAATGGTTTGAAGTGTGGAGCAGAATGTGTGGCCTCTTCCCCTCCACACTGGTTACTGCCTGCTCAAATGTACATGTTGCCTCTCCGAAGGAGATGGGAATAGCTCAGGTGCTTCTCTGGATTGGAGAGGGCTGAACAGATTTGGCTGAGAGGTCAATCTCATTCCTACTCTGTCCTTTCTGATATACTGGTCATTGCCAGTCCAGCACTTTCTGCCTCAGTGACATTCCACACTAAGAGGGTAACTGTACAGGTGACAGCAGGAACTCTGTGGGTACACAGAGAGTACTTAGCCTGAAATGGGAAACATCTTCTTCCTTGTAGTCCCTCTGGTATGCTGAAGGAGCCCTTTTTGTTGGTCAAACTTGCTGTTTTAGATAGGCATTCTACTGTTGGTTCCTGCCACGTTTTCCTTGCCTGTACTGAGGGCATGAGAGCCAAAAGTGTTGAACGTGACTAAGGATCATGAGTGATAAACATCATCTGCAAAGCTCTTGTCTTGTAGCACTTTCTGCCAGCAGAACCTGGAAACCTAGTGCTTTGGTTGCAGGAATTTTTGTGTTAGTGTTATAGCTTTAACATGTGTGAATTTTATTTCCAACTGTGGGATAGCTTTAGCAGCTCAGAGTTTTCTGTGCAACGCTAAAGCTGTCTTTCTTTTGTAGAGTAGGAAAGGCTCTCAAGTGTCGCTGAAGGCTGCAGGTGCAGTTCCTGTATAAGCTTGCCCTAATATCCTTTTTTTTTTTAATTTCTAGGCTGGTACCGACGGCTCGTTTCTACCCTCTGCGCATGCACTGCATCCGTGCGCTTACACTGTTGTCTGAGAACACCAGGACCTTCATCCCAGTGTTGCCATTTATCCTGGAGGTTAGTTGGTTCCTGCTGACCTAGCAACGGCTGATGCCTACTACCTAATAAACACACTCACAATACCTGCCAACAGCTCCCAACATTACCCAATTTGCTTACTCCCTAAAACCGCTGGCAAACAGCATCAGACAGAATATATTGTTTGGTTAGCAAATAGGATTAAACTTCTATTGGCCAGTGAGTGGAGAGTATCTGAGATCAGCTGGGTGCGAAAATACATTCCTAGATGGTTTAACTAATGCAGCTGGAGTAGGCAAAGAGTTTGCCAGAGAAGAGATTCAGAGGCTTGACTGATTGCAGTAACTCCCCAAGCTGTTGTTACTTGATCCTGCTGATGTGTTCATATTTTAGCAAAAGGAAGAGTTTCTCCTAACTGCAGACAAAGAGAAATAGAAGGAAAAAGCGCTTCAAGAATTAGAATCTATTTCAAATTTAGGAAAAAAATCTCCGTGGATGTAATCTGGCAAAATGCAGTATGTTTGGTAAAATACTGATGCTTAGAGACCATCCAGCTTTACCACATATCAGCTGCCTGACATCTCTCCACAGAGGTCTTTCTAGCTTTGCTGCTGTGAGAAGGTAGTACAGAAGTGATGCAGCCAAACTTTACTGAAGAAGCATGAGCGAGACAGGGCAAGGAATGCTGAAGCCCTAGTAGATTGTCATGGGGCTGGATGCTGAAGAGGAGGAGGGAGGGAGACTTCTATAATAAATGACCTGAGTCAGCCACGCTCATTCCTAATCAAGTTCTGTTGAAGCAAAGACTTTTGTGGTTTCGTGTTGTTGTGAACGTCCTTTGCAAACGACATCCTCTGAGCCAGTGGCAGGCGGTGGCAATGTTTATAAATCTCCTCCTGCTCTCCCACCTCCTCCACTGCTCCCTGGCCGTGGCCTGTGTGGCTTTGCCATTTGCCTGCTTCCTTCCTCTTGTTCATGCATATTTGAAATTCTGCCAGCCGGATTCAGTGGTAGAGACATCTCCACTCTGGGGTAGTGGAGCTTGGGGTGAGGATGGTTTCTCTGCTTTTTGCTTTTTAGTTCTCTGAGATACAAAGCCTTTTTCCCCTCAGGGCCTTTCCCCCCCCTCTTTACATTCTGGCCCCAACACCTCGGCTCTAATCTGTGTGTCAGGCCCCAGCCAGACGTTACCACACTGCACACTGAGCTTCCTCCCAGCTTCCACAAGCTCCCAGCCACATCCGATCCTGTTTGGTGTGTTTGTGAGGCACTACTCAGTTTAGCTTGTCCAGGTGTTGGTGACAGGGGAGAAATGGGGGCAGGGTAAATGTGTGTATGTGCATTGCTTGCATATTCTTTCACATTACTGTAACAATTATTTTCTTTTAACTCCTATAACCCAAGGTGATTAGTGTGATGTTAACCCCCCCAAATCTCCCTGCAGCTATCAGCCTTACCCTTCCTGCCTATCTCCTGCAATGGATTCCTCAAATACTGTGTGGAGTTCCCAAGAGCATTCAGGGTTATTACCTTTGTGCTTCCATCTCTTCCCAACTCCCTTGTCCTCTCTTACAGAGGTATCTGAACACCCTTACAACCCTTTGTGTGTTTCCACAAGCTGTCTGCAGGCAGGAGATGTGTTCCAGCTCTGCAGATGATATGGTAGGAAGCTTTAGCACACAGAAGGGAAGTGACCTGCTCAAAGTCCTGAAGTGGCTGTGGTGTGCTGGGTGGAGAATCTGCATTCTGATGCCCAGCCTAGTGCTTTAACTACGAGCCTGTTTTTATCGGCTCACAAATTCAGCAGTGACTTAGTCAATAGACATTAGTCCTGTGCCACACCATGTCATGAAACAAAATCTGTTCTAAGCCTGTTACCCAAACCATCATGAGATTGAGGGATGTGATCAGTGTGTTGGTATTAAGCAGGGGTAGACTCGAGTGGCATGACTGGGATCAGAGGAGCAGAATGAGACCTTCCCAGCATGAGGTATGCTCCACTGGTAGGAAGGGGGAAAGGCAAAGGCTGCTTTGTCGGTCACCATTACAGCTGAATCCAAGTGCAGTACAAGAATGGCTGTGGAGTTTTTGTGTACTTTCTGGAGAGAGCTTTGCAAGGTCTTAGAGTGTAGATTCTGTGGAGCTTCTTGTGTAAGAAGTGACACTAACTCAGTGTTTCCCTTCCCCCTCTCCATCAAAGAAACCCAACCCTTGCTACCTCTTGTCTCAGGCCTGTCGCTGCTGTGCTTTCAAGAGATGGCAGATTGAAAGTTTGTGCAATTCCCGTAGGCACAGGAATTCCCCAAGCCCTTGCCAATAGAAATGAGAGCTGGCTGCTTGATTCATCTTGACAAGGGCTGATGCTCCCCAGCGTGGGCATCTAGGGCTGTCTTTTCTTTGACTCGGCTTTCCAGGATAGAGCAAAAGTAGCAGCTTGCTAAAGTTACATCTTGGATAGGAAGAGGTGGCTTGGGAGAGAATGTAAAGCAGGCAGGCTTTTATTTTTGTGTTGTTACTCCCCTTGAAGGGCCTGTGAGATCCAAGGCTTTTTTTTCCTTTTTTTTCATCACTTCAATTATTGTTTGACAGACACTAGTTTCTGCAGCAGGAAAATTGGTGGCTCATCTGCTGAAAGGCAGGTGTGGATAAACAAAGTGGAAGTCTCCCCACAGGCAGACTTAGCATGCCAATTTAAAATTGGCTTCCCCTGTGGAGGGATGGGAGAGGAGGTTAACCCTGACATGCTTAGGAAGGTGTGAGTTTTTTCGCTTTGACACTTAAATGGTTTGAGTCTTGATTTGGATAAAAGTCCCCAGGGCCTTGGAGTACAACATATATGGGAGTAGGTAGTGGATTGTGTCAGAGGAAATCGTCTCACGCAGAGACGGTAGTTGGAGAATTAATAATGTCATTGTCATACATTTAAACACAGATCTGAAATTAGTTTGCTACAAGACATGGGCTCTTTGCCTCCCTTACACAGAGGGAAAACTGGAACTTGAGACAGGCTAAGCTGAACCACTGCACCAACTGAAGACACATATTTCCTTTTCCTCATTCTCTTCCCTCCACCATTATATTGCAGCTCTTAAATTCTGGATCGCAGCCCTGCAGGTACCAGGGGTTGTTTGAGTGAAATCATGCATGACCAATCGAATAGACTTCTACGATGAGATGATTGGCTCAGTGGATAAGGGGAGAGCAGTGGATGTTGTTTATCTTGCCTTTGTCAAGGTTTTGGATACTATCTCCCATAACTTCCCCACAGACAAGCTGGTGAATTGCAGACTAGATAAGCAGGCTGTGAGGCGTATTGACAACTGGCTGAACTTCCAGGTTCATGCTGTGATCAGTGGCATGAAATCTAGCTAGAGGCTAGCGCTAGCCACTAGTGATGTACCCCAGGGATCAATACTGGGGCTGGTAGTGGTTGCCATATTCGTTAATGGTTTGAATGGTGGGGCAGAGTGGCACCATCAGCAAGCTTGCAGATGTTACAAAGTTGGCAGGAGTTGTTGATATACCAGGTAAGTGTCCTGCAATTCAGGGGAACCTTGAGAGAGGTGGAAAAAAAAGGCAGACAGAAACCTTACGTAGCTCAACAGAGAAATGCAACAACCTGCGCCAGGGGAAGAGTAACCCAGTAATAATGACAGCCTGGGGGCTGACTGTCTAGAAGGCAACTTTGCAGAAAAGAACATGGACAACAGGGTGACAAGAGCCAGCGATGCACCCTTGCAGTAAAGAAGGGCAGTGACATGCTGGGCTGAGTTAGGCGCAGCTTTGCCAGCTGTTTGACAGTAGTCCTTCCCCGAAGCTGAGCACTGGTGAGACCACAGCTGGAACGCTGTGTCTTGTTCAGGACTCCAGGGCAAGAGACATGGATGTACTGGAGTGAGTCTGGTGAAGAGCCACAGAGACAAAGGAATTGGAGCATCTGTCATGGGAGAAGAGGATGTGAGAGCTACGACTTTTTAGCCTCAAGAAGGGAAGGCTCAGGGAGGATCTTCTTAATGTATATAAAATACCTGAAAGGAGGGTGCATAGAGTCTGGCTTCATCCTCTAAGTGATGTCCAGTGAGAGGATGCAATGCACACAAGCTGAAACACTGGAAGGTCTGTCTGAATATCAGGAAACTGTTTTGGTTTTGTTTTGTTTTTTTTTTTTTTTTTTCCACTGTGAGGGTTATTGATCACTGACAAGGGTTGTCCAGGAAGGTTGTGGAGTCTCCATCCTTGGCGATACTCAAGCAATCTGGACACGGTCCTAGGCAGCTGGCTCTAGGTAGCTCTGCTTGACCTGGGCAGGTTGGACAAGATGACTTGCAGAGCTCTCTTTCATCCTCAATCATTCTGTGACTAAAGAGGTTGAAGCCAGATTTTTTTCAATGTCAGTACACAGAAAATTAAATATGGGAGGTCCCACTTAAGCATTGTGAGGGGAAAAAAAAACCCCACACACACACTCCCCCCCCCCCCAAAAAAAAAAAAAAAAACAAAACCAAAAAAACCCAAACAAACAAAGCCAGCCAAAAACCACAACAGTTTTATATGGTGAGGCTAGAACAGGTTGCCTAGATAAATAATCGAGTGTCTGTCCTTGGAGGTACTCAAAATCTTCCTGGACAAGGCCCTGCACAACCTGCTCTAGTTGCCCTGCTAGCTGGCTTCCAGAGGTCCTTTCTCACCTTTGCTGTTTTGTGAGTGCTTCAACCAGTTTATGCAGAAAGTTGAGCAGCTTGTTGTCTGAACTTTACAATAATCAGGCTCTGCCTGAGCAGCTTAACTGGGCTCTCTGTGCACTTCCCTCAGTGAAGTGGGGGGGTGACTGGGAGACCTGAGGGAAAGCTGCGGGCAGGCCCAGCAAAGCACTGTATCCCTGCTGTGAGCTGGCCTGGGGCTTTGGGGTGATCAAAGCAGATGCCAGGAGGCTTTTGCTAGAGCTTGAAAGAAAGAAGTGGGCGGCATACGGGGTGATATATTGGGAGTGCTATGGATGCAGAGTTGGTTCTCTGGTTTGTGCTCAGGCAGTGTAAACTTTATCTGAGCACCCTCTGACTAGCCATGTGGAAATCGTCTGTGAGCTTGAGATTGCCAAAAATCCTTCTCCTTCCTTCTTGTGTTGTCCTGTCCTTTCCTCTGTCTGCTAGTGGTTATCACTTAAGCCAAATTGTTGGCTTTTGACATTTTCTGGCCCTCTAGTCCCTCATTATCACCTTTCCATTCTGCCGCAGGATTCCTAGACATTGGTCGTCCTCTCCTTCAGTCTGGCTGTTAACTGTTCCATTTTGCACAGCCTTGAGATGAGAACCACATTTTCCCCCCTTCCTACACATCCTGACCAGCTCCCTAGAACCTCCTGGAAGAGTTTCAAAACCTCCAGTTGCATTTCCCCGCTTGCCTAGCGGCATGTTAGGATCCCACAGAGCCTGACGCCTTTTGCTTTAATGCGTCTGACCTCAGGGATCAATACTACTGTTTTGGCCAAAGAAATAACCGTGCATAACGAGGTTTATAGCATCGATTCCCCAGGCTAGGGCTCTTTGTTTTCACAAGCCACCAAGCTTGTCCCTCCCTTCCAAATAACCTGGATTGACAAATAAAATGTAAAAAAATCAATAGTCGTCTCCATGCTTTTCTGGCCTGGGGGCATCTATGTGACCCGAACACCCTCCCTTTCCTCCTCACCCTCTAGCAATCAGTGTGCCTCATCCCTACATTGCTGGGCTGGTTGGGGTCTGATGATGAATGTGTTGCTGCTTGCATAGAGGGAATAGAAATGATTTCCTTCTCAGGAGTGTGATTTAAAAGTGCTGGGAACAGGGAGGGGAACTGTAGGCTGCTTTTGAGGTGTTTAAAAGTATGGGTGGGCAGGATGTGCTTGTCATCAGCCCCCCTCAATTGCCTTCATTAGATACGCAAATGATTACCAATTGTTGGCTGATTTATTTTTTATTTTTTTCAAATGAGATCCTATTGCTAGTGAACACCTCCCTTTATTGCTACTTGTTATCCCTTAATGGGGGTCTCTAGGAATCTGCCCCAGATCAAGTGGTTTTTGCAGTTCTTGCCACCTTTCTCATAAGGTCTGCCCCTGCCAGAATGGGAGAGGGCATATTTATATTGCTGCTCATTTTAGAAACCTTTTTCTCCTTCCTGTGTCACAGCTTCAGGCGAAGAGCAGCACAGCACACAGGTTTAGTGGGATAGTGTACCCTGTTGCCTGATGTCTGCCTAGGGCAGTAGGGACCAAGACAGATTTGGGCTGTAGCTAATTTTGACTGAAGATAAGTTTCCTGTGTGCCAAACATAGTCTTTTGGGGAAGTGAAGAATGGAAATTCTCATTGTTTCACGTTACCTTTCCCCCAGTGAAGGTGGGAAGCTCGTCCCAAAAAGGAGAGAGTGGGGAAAAGGCTTTCACAGTTCTTGGTCTTATTACAGTTTGTTAAGTTTAAGGCAATAAGGGCTCTTCTTAATTAAAACCAAACTTGAGATGCCACCCTGGAGAGCCAGTCACACACACATATGTAAACTTCCTCTCAGTTTTTTTCTTTTTTTACTACGTAAGCTTCATATCTTCTGTTTCAGAAATACTCCTCTCCCCAGCCATTATCTTTAAACAAGCTCTGGAAAAACACAAAAGCAGAGATGCAGGTCTGCCTTTTGATGTTACATACTAGTCTACTGGGCATCCAGCTGTACCCTAGAGCTTGTGTGCGCATCATTTTGATGAGCAGGGTGCATGGTCTCCTCTCAAACTCTGTGAAGGGGCCAGTTTTTCTCTATGTCCCTTGCTATAAAACGAAATGTGTCCATGAAGAATAATAAGCACTTATTCAAAGGCTGTTCAGTTATAAATGGTATAAGGGACACCAATGGGAAATGCATTAGAATAGAAGCCTTGCCTGGCAAGGGATTGTGAAAGGGACTTACTGGTCTCTCTTGTTTCCTGGGACAATTATTTCAGTGGCAATAAAAGGGTAATGGATTTGGTGTAAGCAACATTTAGTCTTGCTGTTGAAAAGCTTCTCACCTTAAGGGACAGCTCCAAAATACACTCCAGCTTTGTAGTACAGTCTTTCTCACCATTAGCAACATGGATCTGAGGAACAAACCTCTAGTTTCTTGTGCTGTTGCTTGTGTTGGTTTCCTTTCACCTTATACTTATGCTGGCATCTTTCATGTTCAGGTCCATAAAGCTTGAAGTGTGGTTAGTCTTTGCTCCCTAACTGTCCCTTGCTAGGATATTTAAGAAAGCTGTGGGACAGCGATCACAACAGGCAAGCAGGAATCAGGATTTCTGGTTTGTCTTCTCAGCTCTGCCACCAAGTGCATGATCTTAGTCGAGTCATGTAGTATCTGTTTTGTTTTGCATTGTGACCTTCTTTACGCTGTTTTTTCTGTTGTAGATTTTCCAACAGGTGGATTTCAACAAGAAGCCAGGACGTATGAGTGCTAAGCCTATAAACTTTGCAGTGATCTTGAAGCTTTCCACTGCCAACCTGCAGGAGAAGGCCTTCCGAGTAAGTGGAATGCCAGCATACAGCAGTGCAGTTTCTCTGTAAATAACAGAGTTGCCCTAGCAATATGCTTTGTGTTCCTGTCACATAAGGCTGGAGACTTATTTCCCAGGCTGGGTGCTGTCGGGTTTAGTTCCTACCTGATATCTCTATTTTTGCTTCCTCTGCTCAGGACGGACTCATTGAACAGCTCTATGACCTGATGCTTGAGTATCTCCATTGCCAGGCCTACAGCATTGGATTCCCAGAGTTGGTCCTCCCCACTGTCATTCAGGTAAGGTGTAAGACGCTTCTCAGTCATGCTGTGAATGTGCACACAGGGGGTTAAAGTCATTTAAGCTAACAATGAGCTTAAGATAGTCCTCACAATATGAAGGGAGAGACGTTTACCTTTTCTTAATTAGTTTTTCTTTTAATTTTGGGGAGAAACAGAGGCATCACATCTAATTAGGAGGCTGAATGTTGGTGGAGTTGGCCACTCTTTTGGGAGCCAAAATGGAACAGAGGGCTGCTGTAGAGATGTGGTTTTGACTAGTGAATGCAGATGAGTTCTTGGCAATTCAAAGTTGTCCGAGTTGCTGTATTGTCTCAGAGCAGTACCTGTGCTCTGTGAGCCCCTACTTTTCCTTGCCTTACAGCCTCCCTCACGTGCTTTCCACAAGATGGCAATCTTCCCTCCTCTCACAGTATCTCCATCAGCTGGGGCACTTTCTCCCCAAGTCCCTCCATGCAAAACCGTACAGTTCTTGTCTCCCTCCCTCTTCCTTGCTGCAGCTGACAGCAGTGCTGCAAAGTAGTCTCCTTTGCCTCTCCCCTGACATTCCCCAGTGCAAGGTGTTCTTCCTAACGGCTTCATGTTTACCTACTTCATTGTCCGCAATAAAACTGCCAAACAGTGCTGTGCATCTGGGTGTATTGTACATAATCCTTCCCTAATGCCTTGCAAGCTGGGCAGCTTTGGTTCTGAATGACCAGCGATCTCTCTGCTTCGAACAATAAGATAGCTCAGTGCAAACCTGTTGGAACTTGTTGCCTCCATTCCTCCTAGTCCTCTCTATTTTTAACTCGGGAGTGTTGGGTGTCATACAAGTCTGGCAGAGGGCTGCTGTCGGATCCACCACGGGGGCGTGAACCTCTGCTTTGCTTTTGGTGTCTGCCGCGAAACCCTGTGTCTTCATACCTTGTTGCTGTGATGCCTCTGGTGTGGGAGCAGCATTTCAGTTGGGACCCATGGGCTGCTGGCGAGGCAAATCTCCTTGTTTCTGCTGTGTGTAACAGCCTGGCATCTGTCAGGCACATGACTTTTGGCTGGGTTGCTGCAGCCTGGCACAGACCATTGCTTAGCTGGCAGTGGGCTGCTTTGGCTAATGTGAGCTGACAGGCACTCTCGGTGCTAGGAGAGCAGCTCCTGTGCTTGCTCTCGCTTTGCGTGCATCTCGCTTATCGGCAGTGAACAAAGCCCTTTCCTCTCAGCCAGCAGCTGTTGAGAGCATCGAAGCTGTTGGAGCCGATGTTCTAGCTGGAATGAAAAACGGCTGACGGCCCTCTGGCACCAAGCGCCCTGTGGCTTCCAAACACACCCTGGGACCAGCCTGTATTTCTGCAGAGAATTAATGCTATCGGATTCCTATTTGGCTGCCACTAACCACAGCCTCGTGGCGTCTGCTGGGCTGGGGTGCTGAGGTTAGCTTCCCAAAAATCTCAGAGTCTTCGGGAAAGTGTGGGGGGGGAGGCTTTTCTCCTGGAAGGGTTCCAGTTAACTGTAAAAATCCATCTGTCCCGATTCTTCCTCCCTGATGAGCTCACGCTTCTCTCAGTGCCGTGTCGTAGGGGCTGTGTTCCAGCTGGCGAGGGTTAGGTTCCTCATCTTCTGGTCAGCGGCTTTGGGAGAAGCTAGGCTGAACTGCCTTCAAACTGAACTTTAAAACCTCCTTGCCTGGAAGGCAGGAAGCACCCTGGCAGATCAAATGAGAGGAGAGCCAGTAGGGACGGGAGACAGTTCAAAGGCGTCTGTCCTGCCCAGCTGCTGGGATGACCCCGTGGTGGTCACTGCCTCCAGAGGCTGGGAAGGAGCTCAGAGTAGAGAGCTGCTGCATCTGGGTGCTTGAAAGAGACTGCCTCTTCTAGAGCCCTGACAGTCATCACAGAGCGGAGATGGGAGGTTAAAGGGAAAAACTGGATAGGCATCAATAAGGGGTAGGTCCTGCTGGGTGGAGGCAGGGGTTGGCATGCTCTAGACATGACCTGCCGCTGGACAGAAGGGCAGGAGGTGCCGGTTTGCTCTGCCAGCAGCCACTCCCACTGCTGTTCGCTCTCTGTCCTGAGTTGTTCCTTCTGCTTTTTATAAGTGGGGGATTGGGCTCAATTTGGGTTCTCTGCAATACGCCCAGCTGCTTCAGATCATTTCTAGTTCCCTGCGTCGTTTACAGTAAGAAGAGCTGGGTTTTTGCTGTGGTCTCTGCTGGTATAAACCATTGGTGTTTAAGGCTGGCAGTTTGACAGAATCAATCCCACTAATCACAGAGCTGCTTAGCTAGGAACCGATGTGAGATGTTAATGACACATATGCACACACACACACATGTTCTGATTGCTTTTATTCTGGAGAGATGTGGTGGTTGTATTTGGCAGAGTGGAAGAAGGCATACACAGAGTACCTTCCTCCCTCTCTCTCTCTCTCACACTTTCTCTCTCCTATCTTCTTTTGCCGCCTTGGTTATGTTCCCTGCCTCAACACAGGACTGAGATCTCATTACATTTTGTTAATATCTGTGGCAGATAGTGGTGGGACTGTGAGGGATTGCAGGGGTAGGAGAGAGGAGGGGGAAAGAAGAAATGAAGCATACAGCTGTGAGAGTGAACACACAACACCAAACTGCACAGATAGAGCCTGAGATTTTTGCAGGATTTCTGGTGACACTTCTGCAACGAAAGAAAAATGATAATGTATGTGGCAGCGGATGAAATGGATCTGGGGCTGCAGCTGTGGGGATCAAGTGAGATAAATTGAATGACAAATGCATCTCTCAGTGGAGATAAATATGCAGCACCTATAAAAAATAAATATTTTAGAAAGGGGTGGGTGAGGGTAGGACAGGCTTCACCAGCAAAAGAATAGTTTTGCTGATGGTTTCTTTGTACTTGTTTGATGGGCTGTATGCTTTGTAGAAAGCGGGGAAGGTATTAATTTTAACTCCCATTTTTTAGTGTTGGATGTATGATGACAGGTGGGCGTATGCTGGGGATAATGGGACAAAAGAAACCCCTGCTGCTAGGTAATGGGGGACATTCTCCATGTGTGTAGCAGACAGCAGATCCTGCACCAATATACCCCTCAGGAGAGCAGTGTCCTGACAGAGAAAGGCCTAGGTGTGACTGTCACCTCCTGATTAACATTTAGTACTTACTCACTTGGCATGTAAGATCAAACCAACATGTAGGCTTGACAGAAGGGAGACATCTTCCTTCCCACAGTTCTGTCTTTTGAGGCAGAACATTTGAAGCCATAAGTAGAGAAAACAGTACTGTATTTGCTGGCTAGAAACCCTTTATCTCTATCCTGATAACATCTGGAAGGTTCCATTGTGGTTAACCATTTTCTTCTGCCTTGTTGGATCTCTGTCTCTAAATCAAGTGTCTACGTAGCGTGTGTGTGTGCATATATAAAGGTCTAGCAAAGAGCTTGGCCTGCAGAATTTGGACAGCACTCCATAGGCTTGTCTTGGAGTTGGTGAAAACTGTTAGCAGACAGGGTAATAAACTAGGATTCAAGCCATGAGTCAATCTGGACACCCTCATCTCTCTCTCATCAAGAGCATCCACTGCTGCCTCAGCTTTTAGTTTGGAGGTGTCAGAACAGTGCAGTGGTATTGGAGGGTGGTTTGTATTGGAGGGGGGGGAAATCTTTGCTGGGGAGAAGGGAGGTTTGCTTGAGTACAAGGCTACTGAGATAAAAAAAGAAAATAACACAAAATGTGCTCTGTTTGCAATGAAGTCTCATTGTCTGAGAGTAGTAAATTGTGCTTTGGGTGCAGAGAGGGGGCAGGAGCAGATTCTTTGTTAAGTTGGATGGTCCTCACCCTTTCAGGCTGCAGTAGGGTTTGTGGTTTCCTGGCAGACTGGCTTTTGTTCTGAGGGTTACATGTAAGGCCTTGGGTCTAAACTAAAGAATTATCTAGGCACATGCTGCACAGGTTGTTCACAGAGGGTTATTTTGCCCATTTTGGAGTGGTGGGCGTGTGGGTTTGCACCCTTGAAGAATCAGTGGTGCTGGAAGGGGTTGGGTTGGTACAGTGAGACATTAAACAGACGTCACCCCATGTGACTGCAGGTGGCCATCTGTCCTGACCCACTGCTCTTCTGCTGTAGCACCACCAAGTTTTCTCACCAAACTGTGCCAAAGATCCTTACTCCCAGTCCACAGACACATCCACCTCAATATCAAGTCTTTTCTCAAACTCTGCCTTCCATCCCAGCTGTCAGTCTCATCCACAGCCTCTTCTATTTGGTGTTCCCACTCCCATATTGGCTGGTGTTCTACAGTTTTAATCAACAGACACCTTTCCCCATTCTAATCCTGGCTTCCCTGTGCTTTTGGCCATCTAGCATCCACAGGTATCCACTGTTATTCCTAGTCTCTGCACATCTGATTTTACAGTCCCTCTTACTATTTGGTGGAGCAGGAGTGATACTATAACTACAATGGTAGCTAGGAGCTGAGGCCCCAGAGAGTGTAGACTTTTTTCCTGGTGGCTGCTTGAACTCCACTGATACATTTTTTTCAGAAAGAAGCAGTGTTAAAGGGTGAAAAGAGCTGGTTTTGAGCGAGGCCCCTGTGCTGGATTGCACACAAACATCTGGCCTGTCGCTGCAACCCTTTGCATCCTCCCAGCCTGGGGTGGCAGGGCCCCCAGGGCTGAATATGGGTGATACATTGAAGTATGGTATGAATTGAAGGGAAAAGGCGCCCCATGTTGTCTGTCACTGGGGGTGGGAAATGTTTTTTTGCTGATGGGATCTGTTTATGGAAACTATTACATTGCTTTCATTCTTCCTCTCTTTTTCCTCCTCCCAGCTAAAATCTTTCCTGAAGGAATGCAAGATTGCCAACTACTGCAAGCCTATCCGGCAGCTCCTGGAGAAACTGCAGGAAAATTCTGCCTACATCGCCAGCAAGCGTCAGAAAGCTACCTTTGGCGTGGCCAGCAGGGAGTCTGTGGTGAGTCTGCTACTTCGATTTGGGCTTCCTGGAAAGACAGGCAGACTCCGGCTGCTGGGGTTGAGCGGGTGGCAGGGGGAGGAGGGACGACGAGATCATGGAAAGGGGAGCGTGCGGGGTGGGGCAGATGTTCACAAACAACTGAACTCGGCAGGGCTCTGATGCTATAGCTGGCAAGACTCCGCAGCCAAGAGCCTCATGGAAAACACGGTCCGTAAATTATACCCTTCTATTATTTATAACACACACGCATGCATGGAAGTGCCTGGCTTTGCTGGGGCATCTCCTTTGCTGAGAAGTTTCTTCGTTTTCATCATCACGTTCCTGATATGTAGGTGCTAGTTCATGCCTAAAGTGATAGAGGGGATTCTGCCGCCTCTGTAAGTGTGTTGTTTCTTCCTAGTCTGTAGAGACCGCTCTCCAGCAGTGTAGAACTGAGGCATCAGCAGGCTGATTTGTGGCAGTTTAGGATCCTGAGGCAAACCTTTCCCCATTTTCCTGGGCCCTTGTGTAGACAGCACTATAGAATCAGGAAAGTTGTGAGCAGTAAGAACAGTGAGCAGGCATCCTGGGCACTGCAGTTGCTTCTCAAGAGAGGTGCTGGTATATTCTGGTGTCTGCAGCCTAAGCGTCCAGCCTGCTGAGAAAATGCTGAGCACGTTCGACGCCTAGAAAAGTTGCAGTGGCTCTGGGTGGCTCATAGCACCTGCGGAGCAGTTGAGTTAAACGTCAAGATTCTACCTGAGTGATGAGATGAAGAGGAGTAACTAAGGTGATGATGGAGACCCCTCTCATGTTAGGAAATGAACTGTAGCACAGCTAGAAAACAGTATATTAGAGGGTGTGTGAGCTAATAGTTGGCCATCTGGCTAACAGGCTGAGGGATGCTGCCTTTCTCCTTATTTCTTCTGCTCCAGGAGTCTGCCTGCTCTGAGCCAGGTCCTCTGAGGAATGGTGTAGCATATTGTCAGGACATTCATTTCGGTGTCCTTGCTTGAAGCTTTTTTTTCTTTTGCTTTGCTCCACCCTTCTTTGGGGACGTGTTGACCTGACCTAAACTTTGAGGTATTTGAAATCCAGGCCCTATGTAAATGAAGCCAAAGGGAAGGAAGACTTGTTAATGAAGCTTGCTTTGTGTGTCCTTTGGGTTGAACATTTTATCTTTCTTTTTATCCAGCACAGCAGCCTTTGCAAGCCTAATAGCAGATGAACTGTGTGTGTGCATGCCACTCTGTGAGAGGAAGCAGTGGGTCTGAGTCTTCCTTGCCTGGCAGAAGAGAGGTGAAAATATCTCTGTCTGCAAGGTAACTGATGGGTCAGAGTGGTCTCTCTGGCCACATGGTATCGTTAGAAAGTCTGGAGTTCTGCATCATTGAAAGCTTCACCTGTTGTCATGGAGCTGAGCACAGAGCAGAAGTTACAGTGCAGGGACTGCAGGAAAATTAGCCTTTGAAATCCTGAAATATCAATGCCAGGAAGCAACAGCGTTATTCTGGGATTAAGGGGTTGATGGAACTGGGTTTGAAGTGACTTAAGTAGTCTTTGGTTCTGTAAATGCCATTCTGGGTTGGACTGTTTTGCTAAAGGAATTATGCTTTCCAGCTGGAGTGAAGTGGTTAGGGTTTTGTTGTTTTGTATTTTTTGCGGGAAATGCTGTGACCACCCACCCACTCTGCAGAGGTAGAGATTTCAGCCTCCAGGGCTCTCCGTGAAACAGATGAGCCAGGGAAGGTCGTTGGCTAAATAAAACAGGGTTTCCAACAACTCTGCCTCTGTCTGCTTTTCCCGGCAACTCTGGCTGCAGTCTCTCGTGTAGGAACCAAACGATTATTTTTAACATCTTCCTGCCTGTATGTCTCCTGGTTGATATTGGTGCACCTGGTTTCCCAAGGTGGTGGGCAGCATGAATCCGGCAGGCTTGGCTCTGGAGGGGCAGCAACAGGCAGCCTGCCTTAAGTGAGGGAGATTGGTTGAGGGAAGCAGGCACCAGTTTGCCAAGCCTGCTTGGAGATGGCTGTTCTGCCATTTAAGGGCAGGCTCACGGAGGATGCCTGGATTGCCTGTGCAATCTGTATTTTTTGCACCATGTTGTCCTGTGGGAGAAGGGAGCCTTTCTCTTCCTTCCGTTCATGGGATATCAGCACTCCTGGGAGCAGAGGAAACACTCCACTCCATACTTCTGTGGGGTGGAAGAGCTGTGGTGGCTTATCTTTTGTGCCCAAGTGGCCCTGTGTTTTCCCCTTATGCTTTTGCAAGCAGATGGTGTAGATTCCCAAGAAGGGCCAAAGCTCCCACAGAGACTGGGCTTCCCAGAACGATTTGGAGTGTCCCTCAAAGTCTGGGTTGAGTTTGCCAGGCTGTCTCCAAGATATGTGGGGCATTGGCACTTCTCGTGAGCTAACACTGCCAGAAAAGGGAAGGAGGGATGTGAGGGAAGGGGAGGTATTTGCATGTCCCCCTTGCCAGCAAGAGCAATTGAAAGCAAATGCTCTCTGGTTTTCACATGCATGCATTTGTGTCTGCTCCCCTGTAGGGAGCAGAGCCCAAATTCTGAGCTAATTCTTCCCATGCAATATGCTGAAGTGTGGCTTTCATGGGGGGAATTAGAATAGTGGGCATGCTTTAGGAAGGTGAATTTTGCCTGAAGGTCTATATTATGTAATTTTAAAGAATAAACAGTCCAGGGATTGAACTTAGTGTTGCAGGGGAGCATGGTGGTGCAATGCTTAACTTAACATGGAGGGACTGTGGAGGGATCCCTTCACGTCCCAGGATCTGTGGTATGGAGGGATAGGCACACCAGATGTGTTCAGCCTGACTTCTTCCACATTATTTTAAAATTGAGTACTCACTTCTTTTTTTTTTTTAAATAAGCAGCAGGTTAATATTTGAGAGTCAATGCTTTTTTGAAAGTACAATGCTAATAGGTTACTCTACTAATTAAGGTGTCTGTGAGGGGAGCCAAAAAAAGGGGAGCGCATAGCTGAAGTTGAATCCAGATGCATCATGTGCAGCTCTGACTTTAGGTTCACCTGCACTAGTGTGGGCTCTGGCTTGGCAGGGGAAAATGCAGGGAAGGAAAAGGACCTGCAGCGTGTGTAACACAGGGCTGTGTTACAGCTCTGTGGCTCCCAGGCAGCCCTTTGTGCTGAGCTGGGAAACCTTCATTTAAGAACAGTGCAACCCAGCAGGCTGTCACACTTAACGAAATGCGAAGTGAGGGAATGAGCTGATGGAAAACATTGCTTCGTGTCCATGTTTTTTCCACATCTTCTGCCTTCATCCCCATCTCACATGTCAGATGGGAGGTTTTTCTGGAGGGAGGGTGGTGATCTTTGTTACACTTGTACAGGTGCTAGCGCTGTGGGCTTGGTCCGTGCTGGGTGTTGTCTGACAGCACAGTGATGCTAAAGCAGTAATAGGAGGAGAATTGCAAATGGTTAAAGTGGGCATGATGGCATCCACGCTCTCAAAATTCCCGTTGAGGTGTTCTGACTAGAAAAATGGGAGTGTTCTAATGGTCTTTTTTATCTCTGGATTCCAGCACGCTTTAAAACCAAAAGAGCCATATCAGACAGAACAAATAGACTTTTGCCCTCAGTAAGAAGAGTCTTTCTCAGAAGTTGTCCATACCAAGCAGCATCAACAAATTGCCTAATTACAGCTGGCAGCCTGATATGAGCCTGATCTATAAATGGGGTGACTTTGTACTCCTTGGGAATTGCTCCTCGTGCCACAGTGGTGGGTCAGATCGACGGTGAAGCTGTGCTGTCTGCTGGCTGGCGTCTCCGCTGGCGAGTGCTGCTGGAGCCGGCGGTACATGAGCTGTGCTTTCAGTCAGCGTGCCGGGGAGGAGAGCGGAGAGCAGACACAGGCTGCAGCCGTGCAGACCTGGAGCCGTGCTATGAACAGTCCCGTGGGGTTTGTCAGCCTGGGACCCATGATTACCAGAAAGGGCCTGTTTGGCTCGATGCGGCATCGATAGCGCCTGTTGTAGGATGTATAAATAGATTCTGCGCTATTAGAGTGCAAGTGACACAAGCTGGTTGCCATTTAATTGCCAAAGTTCAGCTCCTGGTGCCAGCTGCAGAGACCACAGATCATCTCCACTTCCCTCCCAGTGATGGGGCAAATCAAGAGCTGGCATACACTGATGTATTTCACTTTGCAATATATACTGAGGACTTTGCTTATTTGTGTAAGCTGGGAGCTCTGCGCTGCTATCCATTGAGGGGACCTGCTCTTTAAACAAACTTCTTCCCACGCCTTGGCTCGCAGGCTGCAGCCAGCACACCATAACTCCCTAGTTTTGGGGCTCAGCTCCCCAGAGCAGTTGATTTGAGATCTGCTGAAGAATATTTGAGCTGCTGCTGTGTTTGCTGTGAAAATGGTCTGGCCTTTTGTTCCCCCCTTCAAACAGGAGCATCATGTACATTCAGCTGCTCGTACAGAGCTCTGGATTTGTTCTGATGTGGATTTGGGATATTTTGTTCCTGTTTCAGTTCCTACTTGTATGTCATGTCTTTCTGCTCACGTTAGATTGACTTTTTACTGTGGGGTGATGCAAAGCCTCTGGGCATTGTGGTAATCCAGTTAACAGGTACAGTTCTGTGTGGGTTTTAAGTTAAAGGAATGTTGGCAGATTAAGAAGAATTGTATTTTAATATGACATGCCACCACCCTTCTTTCAGCACTAACATGCCAAATGATTGAAGCATAAAAGAATCTTTAACCATCTAATTTGCTTCCCACCATTTACGGTATTTGCACCTCCTTATTCTTCCTGCTTGGACAGCAGAAACGGGCTGGGCACTTCTTCATGCTCTGCTCTCTGAAGGTTGGGATGAGTCCAAGGCCCTGCAGGGGAATGTTTGTTTCAAAAATAAACACTTGGCTGCAGAACAGGGGGAACGGGCAGTCAGACATCTTTGGTACTTGAGTCTTGTAAATGCTTGTGTGAGGTTTTTCTGAATTAAAAAGCAAGAACCAAGCAGGTGATCAAAAGTCTCCACTGAAGGAGCAGGGGACAAATTTTGTCCTGATGGATCCTCTGATCTGTCCCTTTGATTCCCACCTTCAGGTTTCAGTTGAAGTAATTTCTTTTTCATTACAGTAGGCTGCATCATCTGACTTGAGTTCTGTGACAGTGTCTTTTCACTAGAGCTAGAGTAGAAATGAATGTTCAAGGCCAAGGTAGTAATACTGGATCCCAGAAGGCATTGAGCTAGTTTTAGGAGAGCCTATTGTGAGTTCTCGGTAATTCTGAGAATCAGGCCTCATCTAGAAGGGACAAATAAGAATCTGTAAACTCAGATTTCGGGCCACCATGCTGAGAAAATTTGGTGATCTTCCATAAGCTAAAGCACCTTATGCACCACCATATAGATGTTCCTTTTTGAGGACTTTATGCTGTCCTTCGGTGCCAGTGTTACCCAGTGCTTTGGTATTGCATAAGCAGGCTGTTGCATTGGCCAACCTGTCTGTTTCATCTTTTGGCTTTTTTTGTGGATTTCCCTGCAGTGCCCAGGCATTGCTTTTACCTCTGGAGAGTTGTCAGTCACACCACTCCTGACTCAGTAGTTGCTTATGTGACTCTGCCTGAATTCACACTTGGTCCTGGTTGCATTCTCAGTCATGGTTGCCAATTTCCTACCCAGAAGCTGGGAAAAGATGATTTGGGAAAGAGTCTTGACTGCCCACATTTGCCCAAAGTTGTATTGGAAAACTGCTTTGAAAACCTTTCTTAAATCTGCACCTCCTCTCTCCACAGGAACAATGGGAGAAGCAGGTCAAAGAGGAGGGGACGCCTCTGACCAAGTATTATACTCAGTGGAAGAAGCTAAGAGAGAAGGAGATACAACTGGAAATCAGCGGCAAAGAAAGAGTAAGAATGAAACACCTCACTTACTTGTCATCATCTGTGCCATGGGAAGACAAGAGAGCTGTGTGCTGGCAGCAGGATGGCTGCTGGTCAAAACCAGCTCCACTGGTGTGAGCTGAAATTGGCTCGAGCTGCGTGAGTGCGTAGGCTGGGCATTCTTGGAAAGAGCCTGAGTGTTGGCTGGGCAGCAGCCTAGCCCGTGTCTTCAGCTCCCTGCAGATTTGTCTTGCTGGGATCTCGAGGAGCAGCATCTGTGTCCCCTGCCCATAGCCTGTTCAGTTGCCCAAGTTAATAGAGAGTAGGTGAGAGGGGGTGAAGCAGCTGTGGGGTAAATGTCCCTCTGGCCCTGTTTAGGCTCATGCTCCTCAAGACCCATCGGTCCAGCAGCCTTTGTAATGCTAGGCTAGGAAGCTGCAGACAGTAAGGATACAGCAATTGGGTGCACTGGCAGGGGTGAGTTGGGTAACAGATTTCGATTGTGTCTGAGCAACTGGGTCAATAGCTTTATTGTGGATGTAACTTTTGGAACAAGCATGTGACATAGTTTTGACAGTTCCTGTTCTATGTGTTCATCCCCACATTCATGGGCCTTCTCACATTTGCTTTGGGCAGTTTGCATAATTTTCAAATTGCATTGCATTGCTTTCTTAATAGTAAAACAGAGTGGGTTGAGCTCATGTAGGCCTTTAGCTGTTTTTCCAGCTCTGCAGAATGTGACTGGATTGCCATGCTAAAACCTGACTGCAAGAAGGTAGGGAGGGGAAGATGCCTCTCAGGAAAAGACATATCAGAGATGAGTTCTGGTTTGCATTTTCTTATTTCACCCAGGTGGGGGTGGCTGGTTGTCAGGTGGGACTTGCTGTCTGGACAGAAGTGCTCAGACTCCCATTTCCCACTTCTCCTGCCCAAGGGAAGGCTCCTTGGCCCTCATGCACTACACTCCAGGATGCAGAAGGTGGGGGTGGGAACTTGCTCACATTAGGAGGCTAAAGGAAAGCTGTCTCGATGCTAATGCAGTGAAAGTGGCTGAGCTAGGCTCTTGGCCAGGGAGCAGGAAATAGATATAATTGGTGTCTCCAGCGTATGGTGAGGTACAATTAAAATAATCGATGGGACATGAGGATGATTGGCTCTGATACAAGTCCCAGAGCGTGGTAGAAGACCTGGGAGATCCTAGAAATGCTCAGTATCTTATACTAGGCTGATATACGGACAGGAGGCTGAAATTCCCTGGGGCAGCCTTGCAGAGGGAACAAAAAGCCCACTTGTTTTCTGTGCAAACCTAGCAGGAGAATGTGGCCTTTGCAGAAAGGAAAGGGATGCTAGGAAACAGCAAGGAGTGATGGCTGAGTGGGGTCTAATCTCTTGCCCAAAACTGGCTCTGCTGGTGCGAGCTGACACTTTCCTGGTACTGAAGCAGCTATCACAAGGGAAGAGATCAGCCCTCGGTGTAGACAAGCCCCAGTCTCATGTTAAAGGGAGGGAGTAGGGGAGCTGGAGCTCCTTGAGGTGGCCAGGGCCAGCTGAGGTGGAGAGCAACCCTTGAGGGGGATTGCTTTCATAGAGGAAGACTGAAACTAGGGGAAATCTGAAGGGCAGTGACAGAGACTTGTTTTCTTTTGGAAAAAGTGGGCTGAACAGATAAACTGTAGAGACAGACAGACTTTGGAGTTAGCTTTCCGAAAGGCCTGTGGCTGCCTGGCGTCTTTGCTTGGTGAATGGGGCTGTTGTCTCTCTCGGTGGGGACCGCTAGCTTAATGATGCAGCATTGTGAGCCCCGGCAGGAGAGTGAACACCATGAGGCCCATTAGGGCTGGGAAAATCCACGTCCCATTAGCAGCCATTGGGGGGAAAAAATAATAACAGAAAAAATCAGCCTGGCTCTCAGCTGCTATGAGGTGCAGCTTGCCTTATATAACAACGCTGACCCCGTCTGCCCATTCCATTTGCTTTTCCCAAAGGTTTTTAATGGGATGTAGACTAATCGGCTTCATGAGATTCAGTAGATAGTAACCCTCTATCTGGGGATTAAAAGACTGGCCCCCAAATTACCTAATTACTGCTACTGTGTGATGAACACAGGCTGTATCTGTGAGCTGTGGCTCAGTACAAGTCTCGTTCCTTTGCTTTGTGATCACTCCACAGCTAATAGGGTTTTCTGGTGCCTTTATTTTGAGGTGCCCATCTTGAAGGCACTCCTGTGGAGTCTCAAAGTTGGAGGTAGCACAACTCAGCATGATTCAACACCAGGTCCTTTTTAATATGCTCAGGTTGAATTCAGCCAGTACTGATGTCACCCAAAACTGTAGGCTGCCTTTGAAAATGGGGGCTTTTCCTAGGCAGTATGGAAATACAAAGTCCCAACTAGCAGCCTCTGCTCCTTGCTGTATGTGCCTTGCACAGGATACTGGAGAAATTTTTCACAATATTGAGATAAGTGTCTCTCTTTTGCTCCCTTGAATTGGAGAAGACTGTTCCACATCATGTACATGAGACATTTTACTCATACACAGCTCCATTTCCACTTTAAACCTAGTAAGTGATGTGTTCCATGGAAATGTCCCATGCTCAGGATGTGTGAGGAGGGAGACTAAGACCCTGGATGATTTTAGTTTAATTTACTGCTGCTGAGGAGTAACAGTGATCAGGGTTGTGGAGAATAGGACTTGCCAACAGGGACATGGGCAGGTGATGCAACAGTTGGTTGTTGTCAAAACCGGGTTTCTGTTTGTGACACTTTAAACCTCACCTATTTCCTGGTTAGGCAGTGCTGGACTCCTATTTAACTGCTGCTGTTGCTGAGGAGTGATAGCTGCCAGTGCTGCCAGACAGGGACTCTGCAGGTAACATGGCTCTTGGCACAGAAGAGGGCCCAAAGGTGCTGCCTGTGACCGGGAGACTTCCAGAGTCAGCTCAGCTGTACTGATGACATGCCCCAGTTCCCAGTACCTGTTAGTAACCTCTGGGACATGAGAGGCCTTGACCCAAAGGGAGCTACTGAAAGAGGACATGGTGGGCCAGGGCCAGGTCTTGGGCTGCAGGAAGCACCAGTGCTTCTCCCTAAGGCTGGGATGATGGCAGCCTGGCCTGGCTGAGACGCTTGCAGAGGCAAGCAATGTACAAACTGAAAAGGATCAGATACAGGGACTGTGTCTGTGATCACAGCTTAATGCTGGGTCAGAAGCATAGCTGCTGCTATATTTTAGCTTCTGAAACCTTTGTGGTTTATTTCTGGAGCATCTCCCTCTGCCCTCTCACCCTCCATAAAGTAGTGTGCCAGAACAAATGAGAGGAGCAAAGGATGAGCCTGTCTTGTCCAGCAGGACTGGTAGGGGCTAAGAAAAATGTTTTCACCCTAGCAGCTCCCCTGCCCCACCATGGAGCTTGCTGGAGCATAACCACCCTAGAAAAGAGGATGGTTACACTATGTCATTAGGTCAGCTGAGGGCAGCCGTTTGGCAGTGACTCTGGATTGCAGCTCTTGCTGCGTTTTGCCTCCCAAGTCTCATCTCTGGCATGCAACGACTGCTGTTTGGAAAGCCAGTTTTGTGCTGCTTTCTTCACGTGTCTCCCCAGCACAGAGACAGCCCAGCAGGTCTCTGCAGGGCCGGTGGAAAGACAGACATCTCAGAGTGGAAAAGAGCAGGTGGGAAGATGATTTAAAATTAGGACCCTGCAAATGGTGATTGGTGATTTGCTCCCTTCTCTGGCCAGCTCCTGACTTTCCATCCTGGTGCTGCACGTTATTGCTTGTAAGTGCTCAGCTCCCAGAATCAATATTGCCCAGCTGGGGACCATAACCGTGAAACAGGCTGGGAGAAATTGCTGGAATTGGCTGCAGGAGCAAGTGTGTGTCTCATTGTCTCTCCCCCTCATACCTGCTCCCTCACTCTTTCTCTCTCTTTGAGAGCTGCCTTTCTGTATAGACTCTGCTTTGCTGCTGTTCCCGCTGGGGGAAGCTCACGGCAGGGTTGGAGTGGATGCGGTCAGAGAGGAGTGTGTTGAGGGGTGGTCTGACGGGTGGGAGAGAGCAAATGAGTTATTACTCGCAGGGCGAATGTTTCCAAGCAAGCTAATGTGTGCTAATGCATGAGTGCTTCCCAGGAGGTGTGCAGCCAGGCAGGGGCAGCGGGCAGCTGATGTTCAGAGAGCACTTGGGATTTAATTTGCATTCTGATTATCTTTGCCCTGCTGGCCTGAGCCCTTGCAAGTAAATCCTCCCCCTAATCCCCCTCCGGAGAGGTGTAAAGAGCAGTGAGGTGGTGTCAATTGCAAGTACTTAATGGCATTGATATTGCCTGTCTGCAGCAGCAAGGCTTTTGGCCCATTGATCTCCATAAGGACTAGCAACCGGGGAAGCCACGGCATAGACGGACCATAAGCATCTTCAGCACCTTGCCATTTAGCCGTGCTGAAATCTGCAGCCAAAAAGACGACGTCTTTGCTATAGCTGTCACAGCTTATGGCGTTGGTGGAAGACTGCTACTTCAGAGGTGACCAGCACAGTCTGGCTTGATTGTGCTTGGTTGCCCAAGCCCACAGCGCCTGTGTGGCTTTCAGTCCGGAGATCTAGGACAGCCAGCTTGTCAAGGATGTCTTGCGTTTTTATCCGTGCTAAGGTACCAACAGTAGACGGCCCATTAGCAAAAGTAGTTTATTAGGGAAAGATCAATAGAGCAGCGGTGCTTTGCATGTATCATTCACCTTTGTAACCAGCTCACAAATCTATCTGTTGCTTCCCTAGTTGGCAGCAGGCAGACCCAACTGTTCTTGGCACTGTGGCTTACACATACTGGGCAAAGCCAAGATCCTGTGTTTAAGCTCAGCATTTTATGTTTAAAAGTACAAATTAAGGTTGCTCTTACTGTTGGTTTTGGTTTTTTTTCAGCTTGAAGACTTGAACTTCCCAGAAATCAAGCGTAAGAAGCAAGATGAAAGCAAGGAGGAAGATAAGAAGGAATTCAAGGACCTTTTTGAGCTCGACAGTGACTCTGATGAGGAGAATGTTGGATTCTCTATAAAAGGTATGGGGCTGGGGCTGGGCATGCCTTCTTCGTGTCCAGAATTCCATATGATGTGGGTCAGTACAGCCCTGCCCTCAGGGGGATGCATGGTGGCCATGTTCAGAAAAAAAGATAGACGGCTAGGGAGAGAGAGCACAGGATGATGATGCCTTTTGGAGGCTTTTTAAAGTGACAGAGGTGGTTGGGAGGCTTTTGTCTTTCTCTCCCTCTCCTACTTTGTCAATCCAGCTCATTTAAAAGCCTTAGTGCTGCATTAGTCTTTTTCTGTACATAACCCATACTCACTCCTCCCCTTGGCACCTTTCTTTTGTCACAGACACTGACCTCAACACTATAGCCCAAGAACCAAGGGATGTTTGGCTGAACACAGACCCTGCTTTCAAAGGTGTCAAAGCAGCAGCCATGATTCATACTGTGATTCCCAAAGAGTGAGTTCACCTCCTTGTGCTTACAACCTGTGCAGGTTCTGGGCTGAAGTCTCACCTTAGAGAACATAAGTGTTTGCGGTCTTCTTGTGCCATGAGTGGAGGTGCAGAAATCCATGTTTTGTTTCTGCACCTATAAAAGAGGAATAAGAGTGTTGTTCTACCTGACGGCATGCTGGATCTTTGCTATATACGTCATTGCAAACAATAGCTATCATAGGGGCTGGCTAGGAGAACAAGGATCTTTGATGGAAGAATGGTTATCCTCTCTTTTCATGCACTTCTGATTTATTTATTTTATAGTGCCTGACGTTGCAAGTATTCTTGACAAGCCAAGAAAGTCTAGAGCCTCTAGAGAAAATGGGGTGATGTCACTCTCTGGCTGTGACCACGAGGGGGCCACAGTAAATTGTGGAACCTGCTGGAGAAGTTCACCACATAGTTTGAGGAAAAATTCAGGTGTTCTTTTTGTAATTTGAAATGTTTGGAATATCACAGGTTATCTAAATGCATTGTCATTCGTATAGTAGGGCGACTTGCAGGAATTCGGAGTTTTCTTGTGTGGAGATTTAACGTATGGATAAAGTCCTAGTCTGTTGTGCACATTGTAAGGTGTGAGGATAAATCTTGAGACTTACAACAGATCCAGTGGGCGTTGTCTCCCTCACAGGCATCTGTGACACAGGAGGAAGAAAAGGTTGGAAAACTCTTGTTTGATAGTTTGAGGTTGACGTCAGTGGATTTGTAGGTGACCTGGCAGAGAATGGGAGAGCAAAAGCGAGCACGTGGCCCACCAAGGTACTAAGAGATCAGTGTGCCACCAAAATGATTTGCTGAGAGAAATCCTTGAGATGCGGGGTTGTCCTGCCTGCCAGATGAGTCAATGCCTTAGAAGAATCCGAGTGGCTTTTAAAAAGGCAGGGATAACTGCAATTCAGAAGGCAAGTTGCTGGGAGCCAGGGAAACCCAGGGCCTCTTCCTGTGCCTCCCAGGAGCTGACTGTATGTACACTTGGGAGGTTTCTTGGACTGATGGACTCCTGGATGTACGTTGGGATGCTAATGAGGCAGGTCTGGTGAACGTTACTGATGATACAGCTGTCTGTCTGGCACCTAACGTATGCAGCTTCTACCTTGTTTCTGGTGCTTGCCTGCTCGCTGGAGAAATCTGCTGATTTGCAATCTACTTGTTAGGCACAGGTTTAACCCCCCTGCCTGTGCGTGTGCTTGTGACATCTGTCCAGTGAGGTTCTTTGGCAGCTTTAAGGGGCTGATATATATCGTGAAGAGAGTGCAAATGAGGACTAAGGTCCATGTGATATCAAAGGGGGGCTCTCCCTGCTCTGTTTGTAGAGTCCCACAGCTGCAGTATCTAGTCTTCGGTGTCAGGAATGGGTCTTGTCTTCCAGCATTCCTGGGTCAGCTGCCTCTCCATAGCCTTTGTTCTTAGTAGGGTGTTTTCTGGAGGGAGGGAATAGGCCCTGAAGGCAGCTTCCATCTCGAGGAGCAACAGTGCCCAGCCCTACCAGGGATCCTGAGGCGTTGGGTGGGGACAGCAGAGCACTGGGTCTGTGCTGTAGCAGAGGGTGAAGTCCCCTCCAGGCAATGGTGTGACTCTGCAGTGGGAAAGGGAGAGGGACCAGGGAGGCTGGGAAAAGCGTCTGTGTCTTGGGAGACGCACACAATGAGCTCTTGTTCTTACTCTGTGTGGGGTGTGAGATGTTCCCAGCCGTGCTCTGCATTCAGCAACTGTCAGGGCTGGCTGCAGATGGAAGTCAGAGAAGCCAGTGCTTCAATTTGCTGCAATTCCCTGTCTTTGTGGCCATTGTTCTCCCGGGTGGCCAGATGCAAGGGAATTTGGGAGGCCCTGCAGCTGCTGTGACCTGTGTATTTGCTTTTTTACCTGTGAGATTTGAAGGCATGACAATCTCCTCTCTTCAAAAAAGACAAAAGGAGAGTCTGGGATAATGGAAGGTCTTTGGCTTATCTTGAATCAGCCTCAGACTACTTCCAAGAGAGACGTGTTGAGTAGCTGGTGGCAGAAATCTAGGCAGGGAGATAAGACTGCCCTGGATGGACCTTCTGGGAGAGGAAAACAAGAAATATGTCTAGAAGAAATATAGATGAGAATGCCCAGTGATGCTGACCACCTTAAAAAGTGATAGGGAGAGACCTGATCCAAGACAGGTTGGTGCTATGAAAGTAACTGAGATGTTGCGAGGGTCTGGGAAGCTTGTCAGAGCAGATCAGCCCTTCTGACCTAACACTACTTCCAGATTGTGGGCAGGAAGAGATGGGGCTGGTGGGTTACACCCCCTCTGCTCAGGGAATGGAAGCACGGACATGGTTTGGGCATGTCAAGACAATGTGGGAAAAGAATAGGAGGCTTACTGGAAAGGTCAGCCATACCCAGAGACGTCCGTGCTCTTGTCATTAGCAAGGCTTAGCAGCAGCACCCAAAACTCTGAAGGGAGTTCTTACTGGAAGGAGCCAGTTCGAGAGTCCTGGGAACATGTAGGTCTCTGCAAATAAAGGGGAGGGAGGGAAGGACTTCTGGAAAGGAAGGAATTCTGTGCCAGAAAAGTCCTAGCTAGATAGTTGCAGTGGTCTGTTGCTGTAATTCATCCTCTTATGCAACCCCTTGGGTTAAATCTGTGAGGATGGTTGCCCTGGTCTGGAAAATGCTCTTCCCCCAGATGATTACTACATAAAAGTCTGGGTTTCAGGACCTGCTGCTAGTGCAGCATCATTGTGGCTTTCTGGTGGGATGCTGGCTATGGAGGCGTAGTGAAAATGGCTCCCATCTCTCACCAACCACAGCATTTGGCTTGGCAGAATCTTTCCTGTGTTGACAGGACGTTCTTCTTCCGATTAGTAGTTGTTTTGGCCTGTTATGTCCCAAACCAAATTCACAAGAGTGGAAAATTGCCTGCTAAAAGCCAGGAAATCATCAGTTTTCTGTTATTTAGCTGCTGTTCAAAGCCCCCCTCATGTTTTCTTTTGATTTAATTTAAGTATTTTATCAGTGAAATGTTGATTTCAGTTTGCACTGTCCCTAATCTCTCTGGAAGAGGGTAGGCCTGCAAAGCAGCTGGAGTTCTTGGGTTAACCATTGCTAGCCAAAACATCTTGCTCATTAACTAACTTCTACCTCAGAGACCTTTGTATTTCTCACAGCAGAGCAGGCTTCTGAAGAGATCTTTCCAATCCCAGGCAGGGAGTGAATGGCACGTTTTTCCCAGACTCGGGGGGGTTGGGGAGCTCCCTATTCTCACAGTTTGCCATTACTAGTTCCTGGGTGGGCCAAGGGCTGGTGATGAAAACCGTCCCTGCACATGGGAGGGGGGTAAGGTGCAGATGCTCCAGCAGCACTGGTGCAGTTGTGCACCTTCCCTTCTGTTCTGAGCATCGTCCCCCTCTTGTCCACCCCCACCTCCACCGTTTTCAGCTGTGCTGTAGCAGGAAAAGGAGATTTGCTGCATCCAGCCCCAGGCACTGCTGCAGGAAATGGCTGCCAGCAGTTTGGTGTTGGCAGCTCTCACAGCCCTTGGCCCCAGCGTGCTGCTCCCAGATGGGAACCACCCGCCCCTGCTCTCTTCCCACTGGGGATCAGGAGCTGCAGCAGCATCTGGCAGAGGCACCTCCTCCCAAACCCTCCCGGAGGAGCATCCCTGGAGCATCCCTTGAGCAGGCAAGGAGGGGCCACTTGAATAGGAAGCATCCTAGATTGCCTGGAAAGGAGAAACTGCAGCATGGGCTGGGGAGCAAATTCAGATGGGGTAGGTTTCTGTGGGGAGAATCAGTGTGGGTATAAGACTGTGGCAGTGGATTCTCACAGGGCAGATGCTCCTGGAGGGATCCTTGGAGTGATTCAGAGATGGGAAGCAGCTCCAGCCAGGTGTTACAGCCTTGAATCCTTCTGCCCTTCAGCTCCAGGGCTGCACTCTAATTGCATCGTTGAGGAGAGGGATAACGAGCAGGTGCATAAAGATGCAGGTGCAAGCTAAACACCTCTGGTGCTGTCACAGTATATGGAGATACCAGGGAAGAGGAAAAAGTATGTTCGGAGCAGGGGAGGCTACAGGGCAGTCTGCAGCTTGGAGATGTTCTGAACTGAGGACTGCAGAGAGACCATTTCGTTTCATATTCACTGCTGAATCTGCTGGTTCCCTGATTACACCTGATCCTCGTTGTTATTGCGACTTCCACTGTATCCTCTGGTAACACAGTAAGACACGGCACAACTTTAACACAGACAATATTTGAAAAAAGCATTTTGTTTTCCTCTTTTTTTTCCTTAAGCCTGCTGCCCACTGAACTCACTGATCAGCCTCCTGTGCTTGCTGCAGCCATCAGCCTGCTTTAATGGACCATGTATGATCCAGGCACAAACCTGTCTTTTAGGCCTCTCTTCTTCTGAGTCCTAACCCCGGGTTTGCATCGGGCCAGAGATGAAAGGCTGATAGCAGGCCATCTGCTCCCCTTGGCCCAGACCTCCTTCCTCACCCTTCAGGTCCTGCAGGACCCAGCAGTAGTTAAGCTTTCTGATCCTTTCTTACCTTAACCTTAGCAGCCTCACAGCAGCCAAAACTGTGATAAGCCATTTATCTTTGACAGCAGCAGCCTTTTCCCTAGCTCTGTAAGCTTTGCAGGTCTTCAGTCTCTTCTTTCCTGAGTGCCAACCCTGACTTCAGCCTTTGCTGTAGGCCACAGGACCCCGGTAGAAACCTCCCACCCATCTGAATTTTCATTTTCACTTCTCAGACCTTGTGAATCCAACGACGAGTGAATGAATGAATGAATCTGTTTTGAATCCTAGCGAGACTAGCAATAGCAAGCATTTCTGTGTCGGGTGTCATGTTCATAGAAGTCTCACTGAGTTTTTTTTGTGGTGTGAGCCCCTTGCTCTGTCAGTACCAGCACTTCTGTTTATTTTAGAGGTTCCTGAAAGAACAGAGAGTGGTGGGCAGTTCTTTTGATTTCCATCAGTAAGTTCATCAGCACAGATCCATATCTGCTCCTTTCAGAACCTGGAAGCTAGGAGCACTGGTTAGCTCCCTGTCAGCGCATCTTGTGTCACACTGAGAGACCTCAACCAGGATCCAGGTTTGGTGGGGGGGTGCTGCTGCAGAGCCTGCTGAGGAGGAAGAAGTCCCTGCTCAGTGAGTCAGTATGAAAAAATTGGGTGTAGTAATTGGGGCAGAAGAGGGAGGAGTGTCTCAAAACAGTTGGAGTGGAGTTCGAGACAGGACTTTGAGTTCCCGTGTCCAGGATCCCAGCACAGTGATCCTTCTAACGAGGTGACGCTGCCTATCTCTGGTTGCTTTGTTTTGGTCTGCCCCTGGCTGTGGTGCAGCCACAGCAGGGAATAAATTGCAAGCAGTGTATTGATGGATGCAGGAGACATGGCTGCACAGGAAAAGGAAGGAAAGTGAAGGATCTGCAATCGTTTTTCTAATCTTGTGGATCCAAAGGGAGATTCCCCCTACCTTGTGCAGGTGGAGCTGAAAGCTGCCTGCTCATATCAGCAACATTGCTCCCCCCTGACATCCCCCCCAAGGGGGCAAACAGTTCCATCACATCGAGTCAAACTGTCCTCTGGAATGGAGAGAGCGTTTGGCAGGCAGGAGGCTCTCTGCAGGGTCTGAAGAGGGGAGAGAAACAAGTTTGCACATTTTGGGAACCCCCTAGCAGACAAGGGCAGAAAGAGGCAGAAGACAGGGAAGAAAGAGCGTGGATTTGATCAATCTGTGTGTCGCCAGTGGGGGTGGGGAAGTTCATGCGTTGCTCTCATTTACCAGCTGACAGATCTCGGGGAGGAAAGGCGGCTGCTCCTGGAAATTATTAATGGCTTAGAAAGAGGTGCTGGGCTGCCTCGTCATGAGGCAATTAAAGGCGAGAAGGGAGTGTGGCTGCAGCATCTCTCCAGGCCGGGCTGTAATGAGTGATCTGTCCACATTAGGTGTTGGTCTGCCTCTAATGAACTTGAACAGGTTTCTTCATTTATCCCTCACGTAATCATATTACATCAATTTAATGCCAGACTGGTGGGGGCCGGGGGTGTGGAAGGAGAGGTCAGACATTTTCATTTCCTAGCAGAATTATCACAGCCCTTCTCAGTGGCAAAATTCCTGCTGTGGGCTGTCAGCTTGAGGATGCAGAGGAAGAGGGGAGAAGCACGAGTTAACTGGAGCACCCTAAGCACTGTCTTCTGGAGCCTTGCTGACTCACTTCTGCCTCAGGAGATGGAAGCCCGAGTTCTGGGTGAAGGCTGTTTTGGGGCCTCTGTGTGGGTACATCAGTGGAAGGGGAGGCAGGGGGCTGGCGAAGTTTGGTGAATTCCTCTTAGTGGCCGTGCTGCCTGTGTCGTAGCACATAGGAATGACCCAAGGGCCCGATACCCAATTCCTGCCCACAGCTGGTTTCTCTGCACACTCCAGCTGAGCTGGTAGCTGGATCCGTCGGTGCTTTCGCTAGTGCTGCTTGATGGATGAGAGCGTGCCCCTCGGTTGTTGCCTGAGCTGCTCAGGTGCCCATCAATATGATGTGGTGCAGTGAACAGGACTGCAATCCATCTCCCGTGGAGCGGGTGCTCTCCGCATGGCTGCGGGCGCCCGAGAGAGCCCCGTCCATGAGATGTAGCTTCCGATCCCTTGGGGGGCAATTGCACAGAGGCTGCACGCTGGCAGAGCTGACAGATGGGTGAAAGCAGAGCGAGCAGGGTGATGACAGGGAGCTGGGGATGCTAGCAGCCAGCTTATTAATGGCTCTGTATCCAGTTCAGTGAGTAACATAGGTCAGCTGCTGAGGAGGGAGGATGGGGCAAAAAATAGATGCCACGGTGGGGCCCAAGAGTCATAATGTGAGAAAGACGTACAGCCAGTTTCCAAGCAGAGTCTGAAGTGTGAATAAATAGCTTCTTCAGCAGTTTTGTAAGCAAGGGCAGGCAAGCTGCAGCACTGGTAGCTGGATGGAGGCAAAAAGAAGTGGGTGGTTGGGCTCTGTCTGTACAGAATTTGTATTCTGTCATTTAAATGCCTGGTGACTCACACTGTCCAGAGGAGGAGAGGGCAGAAGCACTTCTCCACTGAAGTGAACTCAACATCAGTAAAAGAAGTCTGGTTCCAGAGGCTTGGGGGCAGATGGTTTTCCTGTAGACCAAGCACCCAGAGGCTCTTCATACTTCCTCTGAGGCTCCCTTGGGGCTGGCTAGCCATCTGCAGAGGGAATTTGAAGCGTTATCTGCTCCTAGACCTTTTTGTTGTGACTGACAGAGGGAATAACACTAAGAGAGTTTTACAAGGATGCCCTGAACCGGAGAGTCTGCCCCTGTTTTCAGTTACACATAACTGTGGAGGGGTGGAGGTGGGTATATGCAGACACTCTTTCTCAGTAGAACCAGCCCTTCTGTGGTCTCAACTGGGTGACTTATTCCTTTTCCTTTCTCTTGTCTGTTCAGTAGGCCCGTTTCTTATCACTGTACTCTTCTGTCTGGCTGCCTCTCTGAGCTTTCATGTCTAAGCAGGGCAGACAGGTTCATGACGGACGCTTGGGTGCAGTGCTGGTGGTGCTCCATAAATACCAGGTAGCAGCAAATCCTGGGCTTTAGCGGTAAAACCCTGCTATGGGCTTCTGAGGGGATTTCTCTGACTCTGTGTCCTGGACTCTAGCAGGCGCCTCTGAAATGAAATGCATCCTTCTCTGGGCCTCTTGTGTGGCTTTTGGAGAAATATGGTAAATTTTCCCTTTAGTGTGTGTAGGACCGTACTCCTGAGGATGAATGTTGGGGTGGTGGTACTTTGCCCTTTGCATATACTGCCCGCGTGTATGCTTGTGTGCTGCTCTTTATGTTTCCATTTACATTGTAAAAATACTTGCAGGTAAAACCAAAGCCAAGCAGGAGTCAGATGACAGTTCAGAAGCAAGCAGCAAGGACTATGGCGAGGATGATGATGATGAAGAAGGGAAGTATGAAATCGAGGAGGACGAGGAAGAATTGGAAGAAGACAGTGACTCAGATGGTAAGTTGAGCGAAGGGGAAGGGGATTATTGACAGCACTGGTAACTGAGGGCTCCTGCATCCTGGGGGCTCCCCTACGAAGGAACTGTCTCTTCTTTTCTTGCTGTGCTGAGCTATCGGGTGTCAGGAGGGACTTTTACACACCCTGGACAGGGAGACCTGCCAGTTGTGAGTTTATTCTGAGAGAAGAGCGAAAGGGTTAAGGTTTTTGTGGGCCTTGCTCTAACAAGCCACCAGTCCCTTTCATCTCTTTTTCAGGGGCCTCCTGCAGAGAGGCTCAAACAAACTCTTGAAGTGCAGCCCACCCCAACAGGGTACAGAAACCTTGCTGCAAGGCTCTCCGCAGGTTACAGATGCACTGGGGTGTGCAGGGTGCACTTCACTTTTCATCTGAGCAGTGCCGGGGGTACGAGGTGCTGCACAGGGGTAACCCTTTAGTTGCTGCTTCTCAGCAGCTCCTCCCAGGATAGGACTGGGTGGGAGATCCTGTCCAAGCCCTGAATTCACCTGGGGGTTTGACACTGGAAGAGCAGTATTTGCTGGTATGTGTACAGACCCTGACTGGCTTCGATCTGTGCATGCTCCTGATCGCTTCTGCCAGTTAGTAGCTGCTGCCCAGAGACAGAACCAGTAGTCTTACTGGTGAGTGGTTGTCAGCGTGCAAGGCTCCCAGTTCAGCGTGCCCCTAGCCAGCTAGACCAACAGCTGTCTAAATGGCTGCTGAGAAGGTGCCAGCTCTGTCCCCAGACACCAAGCCAGGCTTTGTTGCAGCTGAGGAGAGACTGCCTTCCCCTTCTGTCCCTTGAACGGAGCCACGGCCAGCCAGAGCTCCTGCTCAGCACCCCAGCAGCGTGCAGCTCCCCGTGCTCGGCTCCGTCTTGCCGGCGCCTGCCAAGTCGCTCGGCTCACTGAGCAGACGGAAGCTGGGCCTGCCAGCAGCTCTGGCTGCTGGGGTGTTCCTTTGCTGGTTTTTGTGTGCCACTTGCTTAGGCCTTTGTATGAGAGTGCCAAGCCTCTGCTCCTCAGCGTGCCACTGGGTGTGATGTGTGGTTGTGGGGAACGGCCACAAAAGCTCCTGTGTGCAGGCTTTCTTTCCTAGTTTGGGGAGCAGGAAGGGGGAAGGAGTCCAAGTGAGAGCAAAATCTGACTGATTTAGCATGGCAGATGGCTGTGGCTTGGCATGCACACACCCAAACCTCGGCGCCGAGAATAGATGGGTATTATTTGATGCATGTTCTGACAATGCTGTTAAGGATAAAGAGGGGAGAGTTTTCCCTCTCTGCCTACTGGAGCACTCAGACAAGCTGAAGGAAAAACACCCTTCCTTGGTGTCTGGGGGAGCAGGAACTCTGATCCTCCCTTCCTTCACCTCTCATGGCAGCTTCCTTCGCTTTGGGCTGTAGGAGCATGGCGTAGAGCCAGCGGCCTCTTAGTGCCTGGATGCTGGCGTGTAGCAGCAGTGACATTCGGGTCTGGGTGCTCTTGGCCTGTGGCACTTTTTCAGCCATCGGTCAGGCAGGGCAGACAGGCAGATCCGCCCCTCCCAAGTCTTAACCTCTGTGTGCTGAGTGTTCCTGTTGTGCTTTTTACCAAAAGCACACGTGCGTGCAGCCTGGTCAGGTATCGGACCAGCAAGGAGCTTGTGTCTGTGACAGCTTCCCACACCCCAGCAGGCCAGAGCCCTGGGGGAGAGCTCTGCAGGTGGTCAGTGCCCTGGAGAGGCACTTCTGTGGTCCTGATGCTCCGGGGTCACCAGTCTGGGGAGACGTGAACTGCAGTGAGCATCCAGCCCATGATCTGGGCAGCCAGAGATTGCTTTTTGCCCCTTTTTGGAGAGTAGGCTGGACTGGCAGAGCCTGGCAGCTGAGGAGGGGGAGAGGCAGCCAGGTCCCAGGGCTGCTGCCGCCCTCCACAACCTGCGAGAGGCTGTGGGTATAAGATCAGAGGTGGGAATTGGTGCTGAGCAGATGCTTTGCTGGTAGAGCCTAAGAAAGAAGGGCTGCAGGGCTGCCTTTGGAAGCAAGGTGTAGGAAGCTCAAGCCACACTTCAGGAGTGAAAGGGCAGGGGGAATGGGGACAAGTACCGTCCTGCACAGCCCCTAGAAACCAGGTCTCACTTGTGCTCCCTGCTGTTAAATTACCAGTTCAAACAGGAGGGAGCTCGGGGCTGGTTTTGCATTTGTGAGTCTCACCATTACCTGTGACAGCTCCTTTCTGTCAGCTCTTAATGCCCAGCCTGACATCTCTAGTGAGGAAGACTGACCCGAGCTGTGAGGGCTGAAGGCTTGGAGGCGCTGCCTGTCTCGTGCCTGCCCCTCGGTTCTTACTTTGTGTTTTTGCCTCAGGTGTATCAGTTCGTTAGGGCTCCTCTCCTGTCGCCCCAAGTACTTCAGAGCCAGCGCTGTACCGCACACCCCGCAGCGCTCTCCTACTGCTATCTGGGAGCTGCAGTGGCGCCAATGAATTAATGAGTGTCTGGGATTAATTAGCAATGAGTTGCCTCGACTCGCCTCGCTCTCAGTAAAGCAGGCTTTACACCTCTCGCTCTTTCCACCCACAGAGGATGGCGAAGCAGCCGCTCGGGTTTCCCGAGGGTCACAGAGGCAGAGGAGCTGCACTGGTGGGATGTCGCGGTCTGACCTCGAACAGCTAGCCCAAGGAGAAGAGGACATTGTGGAGGACTTGGCTTTCTCCGATGATGACTGAGGGCCCCCACAGCCCCCCCTCCATGCTTAGCCCTTTCAGACCTGCTGCGTACCGGATCACCCAGTCTCCAGCACCCGCTGCTGGGTCTCAGAGAGGTGGTAAGAGCTGGGGAGCATGGAGGGTGGGAGGCCAGTCCCAGGTGCCACCAAGGACTTCTCAGTGACACGGCAGAGATGCTACTCGGACTTTCAAGCTTTTTCTAACAGTTATGATTTTAGTAACAGTAAAATTGTGGTCACGTCAAGGCCAGTAAAACTGTTCAGTAGAGCTAATAAAAAGCCCTCATTAAAATCTGCTGCTTTAAATAGCACAGGGTTCAGTTTCAGCTCCTGCTGAAGCATAAGTGAACTGACCAAGGGAAGGACAAGTTCTTTTGTCCAAGGGTCCTCCTGTCTGTTTGGCCAACTACCCACGTCACCCCATATCTTGCTCTGGGCCCCTCACCAAACCCTCCCTTTTGCCAGGAAGTTCTTCAGGATTGCATGGAGTGTTTGAGAGCTTTGTATCTTCACTGCAAATGGAAGCCTTTTTCAGTAGCATCAGAGGCAGCTCAGTCAGTTCACTCAAGCTGGCTGTAAGTAGCTAAAGAAGTTAACTTTAAGTGCCTTAGGCTATGGAAAGGGCAGGCGGAACGGGAGGTTGTACAGGCAGGAAGGCGTAAGAAGCAAAACTAATAATGTAGGAAACACATACTTTCATTTTGTGATAGCCGTTGGCTTTGCATGGGATACATTTGCTTAGCGAAAACAAAGGACAACTCTGAGCCCATGCTTTGTCACACACCTATTGTTACCCATCGAGACATGAAGTCACCTCTTTCTAAGGCCAGTCCCAGCTGCTGATGGTGGTGGTGAACACAGGTTTGTTCTGAGTCCTGAAACCAGCAGTGACAATTGCAGGGCTGTCTTGGGCACCCAGCCTTTCTTTATTGCCTCAAAGCCACTGCACCACCTGGGCAGCCTCTGGGTGCAGCTCACTGCGTGTCGCCCTGCCGGAGCGGTGCTTGGGGGAGGACAGTGTGTAGCTCAGGGTGGGTAAGGGCAATTTGTGATCTGCTGGGAAAATAGAAACAGCTTCTCTCTTGAGAGCACTGTTAGTTTGCAGGACTGGCGGCTAGGAAACATATTTCTTTGGCAAATAAACTGGTAATAGAAGGTATTTGCTGAGAGAGGTAGGAAAAGTTAAGTATTCTTAGAACGTAACTGACAGAATCGCTGCTGAAAATCAACTGTGCCTTTTGAGAGCATTGTTATGTGTTAATGCTGATTTTCTGGAAAGAAGATAAAGGACTAGGGATAAATATGATCTTCATTCTCCTCTGCCACCATTCAGTGAGGTCAGTAGCTGCCTGCCAGCGCTAGGCTGGCCAAGCTACCTGCACAGACATGGTCACCTCTGCCTTCTGCAGTGCCTGCGTCGTCCCTGCCAGGCATCCTTACTCCTGCACACCACAAGAGCACAAGATGGTTTTTCAAAAAAAACATTTTAAAAGAAAAACTTCTTTCCTTTTTTTTTTTTTAAGTTCTATTTTCATGGAGTCAGAAGAACCACAGCTCAGAGAACACTGCATTATTGCAGATAAAAACCCAAATGTACTGTAGCCTGGCTGGTGGTCTTGCTCTCACCCACCTGTGTGAGTGATAACTCAGTGTACATAACGAGGTAATTATGTTCTTCCTGTCCGACACTGAGTGCTGCTCCCTTCCTGCTTCCAGACATCATTACTGCACAGGTAATTACTGCTCTAGGACAGGGTTGTGGGGTGTTTGCTTCATTCAGTTCTTTTTGGAACAGGAATAGGGATAGAGAAAGCTTCTTTTTCCCAGCTGGGGTTAATCATGACACCTGCCCTTCCTAGACATGCACCCAGATACCCTTTGTCCTGTAAGGGGCAGGAACCAACCTTGGACATTACTAATTATTTGGGTCTTATTAACATCACTATTATTATCCTTTATAGCCCACACTGAGGGGGCCAAAGCACCTGCTGCTTCATTGGGGTTTGGGAGGGCTCAAGCCTGAGGTTCACAGTTCCACGGGGGAGCCTGGGCCCTGACTGCCAAGATGAGAAGGCGGCGGCTCTAACTTACCTTTTCTTCCAAAAGAGAAAGGAGTTGCTGCTGCTTCTTTCTCTAACTTGGCTGGGCAGTGCTGTCTGCCTTTGGGCAGCTGTGACCCAACCCTCAAATCAGCTTTTAGGCCAGAAATGTACCAGCTCCAACGCACCAAGAGTTACCAGCAGCAAAGGGCCCGGCCCCAGAGCACACCCCGGGAGGAAAGGAGACAGCTTGGGTAAAGCAACCATTTGCAAGGAGCTCAGGAAGCTAGGTACCATTTGTAAATTAAGTGTTTTTCTTTTTTATTTAAATTGATTGCTGGAAAGCATTTTTATCATGATGTGATGGATAATGACTTTTTTTTTTTTTTTTTTTTTTACAATATAAAGACGCTAATGTACCACCAAGCTATTTTGTAAGAAAAACGGTAGCACGTGCAACGTTTAAACAAAAAAAAAAAAAAAAAAAGAGGGAGGGGGGGAGAGAGAAAAGTACCACATGTGATTGTTGTTCACAACTGTACAAGTCACAGGAGGTCACCCCCAGGAGTTACCATCATTCACAGTAGTAAAAACTCCACCCATTGTTTGTAGCCTGAATTCCCCCAGCATCCCTCCCCCTCCTCTGGGAACGCACAGGTATCTGTCTCATGGTCCACAGCAGGCCAGAATGTGCAACTACATCCACCTCTGTAACAAGGCTTTAAAAAGAACAAAAACAACCCATGAACAAAAAAAACCCACCCCAACTGTATAAATGAGTCTGTTGTACAAGTGAAGGAGAGAGGGGGCCACACTGAAATGCGGCCTGTGACCCTTCATCCAGCTGAAGCACACACTTCTTTTCTTCTCTTTAAAACAAAACATCTAATGAAAAAAAAAAAAAAACAAAACAAAACAACAACAAACCTCTGCAGGGCTGGAGCAGGGCAGAGTCTGTTCTGGGTGTGTGCTGAAAGGGACAAGGTGCCAGGGACACGGGCAGCCCCTAGCCTGGGGGCCAGCACTGAGCCGCCTGTGCCCTACCATCCACACTGAAGTAAACATGGACCGGAACTTGCCTTTTTTTTTTTTTTTTTTTTTTTTCTTCTTCTTCTTTTTGTCTGTCTTTGGTATTGTTTTCAAAGTTGCTAGAGATGCATAGACACCTGAATGAGGAACTGAGTACAGTTTCCAGGGAGGAGGAGATAGGTGGGAAGGTGGTTGGGTTCATTTTTGATGGGTTTTTTTGCTCAGGGGTGCTGAGTACCATTGGGAGGAGCAGTGCCTGTTCCCCTTCCCTGCTCGGAGTCACACCCAGAAGTTCCTGAAAGCCATGTTTCTTTGAAGGCAAAGAAAAGCGTTCGTTCCCTGTCCGCGGCGCTGCAGCTCAGACTGGTGAGCGAGAAGGGGTGTGAAAGGGAATGGGAACGCTGCTGCCATCCTCTAGAACCGTTTTCTTTCTCTTCACTCGCGTTGTCTCAGTACATCTTTGGATAGTTTTCTTTCCTTCCCTTTTTACAGTTTTTAAAACTTCTGTGTGTTGTGTTTTGTTTTTAAACAAAAAGCAAACGCATCCAAAAAAATTAAAAACCTCCCTTCCTCGCTCCTGCGTCTCACGCTGCTGAGGGAGGCTCTCCTGGTCTCTCAAAATGCATTACCTTCAGTTCGTTCAACTGACTCTCCGTTCCAGCAGCAGTCAGAGCTGTCCCGCAGTTAGGAGGGAGGTTTCGTGGTGTCGTTGATCCCGGCAATGACGGTGGGGTTTCCGTTCTCCTGCTTTGGTGAGATGCGGCTGGCGGCGGGCAGGCCGCTGCTGAAGGGGGAGGCCACGCTGCCCGTGGAGGACGGCCGGAGCTCGGCGGGGGGCAGGTCCCGCTCTGGGGGCCGTAAACCAGGAGGTTGCAGTGGGAAGGCCATGGGGAAGCCCGCCATGTACAGAACTCTGCCCACTCTCTTGGCGACCTAGTCAAAAAAAAAAAAAGAGAAGGAAATAAATGTGGGGGGCGGGGCGGACAACAAGGGATGAGGCTGCCCCCAGACTCTTCAGAAACCACAGAAGCTGCATTTTCACGCGGCGAGCCCAGGTTCTGTACTCCCTGGTGAACTGCAGACAGAAGAGCCAGGTTACGCCGGTTGAACGAAGAGCTCACCTTGCCAATCCGCCACAAAATCCCCAACCCCTCGGTGACTGACTCACCAGGAAAGGTTTCCTCCTCTCTCTTTTTTTCTAAAGGACTCTGGTACGCACTCGTGCTCCCTAGCTCTGTTTCACCGGGCGCATCAGTGCCGTGGCCTTGGAGCTGCCCGGCCTGCCCTCCATCCCAGCTCAGGGCCTGCGCTGCGCTCTCTGGGCCGGCCGCGATGGAGGCCCTGCGGCGGCGCGGGCTGCAAGAAGCGCGCAACCCACAGCTGAACCTGCTCCAGCCTCGGAGCTGAACTAATCGGGTCTCGCCGCCTCCTCGGGGGGCTCTGGAGGCTCGCAGCCTGGTCACCTGGCTGGCTAAGGCTGGTGCTCTTCATCCTTCCTGGAGCCCAGCTCACCCCCTCCATGAGCGGCCCCTCCCAGGCCATCGCCGCTCCCCGGGGCTGGTGCCTCGGGCGGAGAGGGCTGCCTGATTCTTACCACTGCGGTATGGATGGCCCATTTGACAGAACTCTTCTGCTCTCCTTTTGCTACCCCAGCCCAGGGTACTGCACAGCACACTGTCCGCTTCTGAAGGGCATGAATCACTCTTAAGGGGGGTGGGCTGAGGGAGGGATAAAATAATCCGGCTACAGGGTGGCTGCTGTTAACTGCACAGGGAAGTGCAAGCCTGCAGCCTCTCCCTTCTGCAGTACCCAAGAAAACTCTCCTGAAGCAGTTCTCACCTCCCAGCAAGGGCCAAAGGCCCCACAACTTTCCAGCACCTACACAGCTGTTTCACATTTAAGCTTAAACAAAAACACAGGCTTGTGTTCAAACCAGACAACTGCGGCATTATTCAGTTAGCGACATCGGGACTTTGCTCCCCACTTACTCCCCGCCCCCCCCAATGCCTTATTATAGAACTTTAAACACTATTGATTAAATCGAAGCAGGGTTTTTCTAGTTTCAGCCCGTATCTCATATTCCCCCACCAAATCCGATCTAAGAATGTCTGTGAGCTGTTTGGCGTTCTCTGTTTTTTAAGAAACATAAGAGTTTTATTTCCTACTGAATTGACCCACAGGGAACAATTGCCCACAGAACCTTTTTATTAGACCCCTCATAAACAGTGAGGGCTGTAGGGAAAGTAGTAAAGTTGCTCTTATTGTTTTAACATAATGTAACAAATGTATAGCTTGTGGGTGAGAGAAACTACGCCAGAATAGTGACTATCTGTGCAACCCATGTATGTGCACATGCACATTACTGTCATGATTGTTTGCATGACATAATCCCCTAGGGAATACAATAGAACAGCCTGTTCTTGACGTGTCAGAAGCTATTTTCTGATCGTTAAATGGAAAAAAAAAAAAAAAAAAAAAAAAAAAAACAAAACAGCTAGCAGAGATATGTTCTAGGTTTGAGTCCAACCCAGGGGAAGTAGAGGCAACTGAAATGGAAGTCACCATGACTGCCAGCTAGGGGAGACAGGAGAAGAGCAAGGCAATTTTAGGAAAGCAGACCTCTACAGGCAGAGACTTGGGAGCCAGGTCATAGAGGGGAAAAAAGGTATTTTTGAGAAGCAGCAGCATCGCTGTAAGGGCGCAGCAGCAACCTAGTCGGTTGAGGAGGAAATAAAATCCCCTAAACTTGACTAACTCGGAGGCAAATACGCTTTCTACTTCCCGTGGCTCAAAATACAAGTGAATCGCACAGTCCGGAGCGGGGGGCGCGGGGTGGGAGGGGGTGGCACGGCCCATGAGCAAGACCAGTAAGCTCTAACTAGCAAGAGATAAAAAACGTTACAGAAGTCTATTACTAGCACAGCAGAGAAGGGAAAGAGCTGGTCCATTACTCACTGGGGAGGGAAAGTAATCAACAGATGATGCTGAGAGACATCGAATGCATTTGTGCTTCAAGTCTCGCTAAGAAGGAGAACCACCAAGAGCCATCGAGTTACAAGGAAAATGAGCAGCAAAAAACCTTCTATCCATTCTAGATAAAAAGAGATAACTGGTTCCTGAGATGGTTTTACCCTGTTCTTTAGGTACATCGGGATGACTATTTTCAACTGATTTGAAACCATCTCCCTTGCCTCACCTGTTCACAGGTTTTTGTCTTTCCTGGCCAGTATTTGTGGGAACAGCCTAACGTGTCTTTTCTAGCAGAAGCTGGTCCATTTTAGGAATTTCCCACTGCCTCCCTGTTACTCCTTCCCACCACTTGTCCTGAACTATTGGCTTCTGCCCCTGGGCACTGAATACTGTCCGTGTTTTCTTCCTGAAACAGTTATGTGACCGGCTCCGGGTCAGGATATGGAACATTTTGGAGGACAGGTCAAGCTTTCTTGAAACCAGAATTACAAATAAATAAATGAACAATTATTGCCTCATAAATTATATTCAATAAACCACGTTGCTTGACAGCCCTAGTCCTGTCAAGGGAACAACAAAGGGACGACTTTAAAGCGTGCTGCGTGCTACTACAGAGGAGACTGACCAACCTGTGACCGTATCTTCAGCGCAGGTCCGAGCTTCAGCCCCATATTGTTCAGTAAGTGCTCTTCTGTCAGGAGGGGCAGGGTCTCGCCATCAATAGCCTGCTCTCGGAATACCTGGAAGAAACCAGAACACAGGTCCAGGCTTAGAAATGCCAGGGACATACCTGGTGCACTCATCTCGCCACTGCACATACTGCTGTGGGAAAGGGAGACCCCGAGAGCCTCGAGGGTGAAGTGGGGCCATGGCGATACACCAGAGGTACGCACAGTCCTGCATCCACAGCCAGGAGCCAACAAAGAAAAGGAGACACATGTGGGAACGTGAATTAGGGCTGGTTGGGCCAGTTTAGATAAAGCAAAACATTTCTTTTATTTTTCTTAATGTTGGAATGGGGCGTGAAGTTTTTTTTCTCTGGTTTAGCAACCAAAACAGCTGACCTAAGTGCAACATTGTGAGTAAGCCCAGCTGACAGCAGATGACAGCAGATTTGAGAGAGAAGTGACATGCCCAGGGGCCCTATCCCAACTCCAAAAAGGGCAGAGGATGTAGGAGAAAAGATAATCTAAATTTTGGCAAATCCTAGGTCACTCACACTTGTGTGGCTATTTGGAAAAAGTTGACCCAGTAGACTTCAAAAGTATTTGCATTCTTCAGTGAGGCATATGCAATTGAAAAGGAGGAACTTGCTTGTTCATGCATTTCCTTCTCAAAGCTGCCAATTTCCAAAATAGTCTCCAGGCAAAAATACATAAACAGATCTGTGGAGCACACGCTGCAGGTTAGATGGATTCATGTGCAGCACTCAGTTTTGCACTTTTTGTCTTTTTCTCATTTTTTTATTTTTATTCCTGTCTCCTCCTTTGCCTGTGCTATGTTACCGCCATCCCTGGAACACTGGAGCAGCTGGAGAGCGCGGTCCTCATGCTGCTCGGCAGTGACCCCCAATACCCCGAACACCAACTGGGATCAGGGAGGAGGAGCCCTCCTCACCGTTCTATTTTCGCACTAGGCCCTTTCTTTTTCCCCCAACATATTCAGCAACATGCACTAATAAATACTGCAGTGCCACTGTATTGCCTGAGGTAGCCAAGCGGTACCACGAAACGTGGCACAATCCTACTGAGTCAACTGCCGTGGCCTTTCAGACAGTTCCCATCAGCAATACAGCACGTCTTGCCCCTCTCCCAGTTAGCTGAGTAAAGCAGAACCTGGTGATGTGCCCACATATAATCACAGAAATGGCAGCAGGGCTAGTACCGTCATAAAATGGCAGTTTCACATGAACACATTCTAATACACCCAGCCATGCAAAACGATCCCGTTCTAACACATTCTTAAGGACAGGAAAAAAAAATACTTTGTTTTGCCTCTCTCTAGTTCAAATGACAGGGTCATGCAAAAGTTTTCCACCTAATATGTACTGTGTTACAAAGGTTAAGATCTGGATACGCTGTCTTATTGCTTCATTCTTCATCTGTAGAGCGGGGCTACACTTCCACCCGCCTCCTCGGGGTGTTTATGCTGGACATACAGGCTCAATCCTCCCCCAGTAAACTGCCCCCAGTCGGTAATTAGGCCAGCAGGTTCCCCTCGGTTCTGGGCGGTGCCAGTCAGGTGCCCGGGTTTCCTCACTAACCGCATCTCCACCCCACCGCGTTTTTTCACACCCCAGCCCATGCTGGTCACTCCCCCAGATGACCAGTCTGTGGGGCCGGATCCCGCCGCCTCCCCGGGCAGCAGGCTGTGCACAGCACTGTTATTACTAACACTGCTGCAAGGGAGGGGGCTTCACTTTACTCCAACGGCTTCTTTTTCAGCAGCACTCCGGAGCCCAGAGCCATCCCTCTGGAGGGTGGCGGTGCCTGTTAGAGCCAAGGCAGCTGAGCTGCTGCAAGTGGTTTTTATTGCTGGACTCCACCAGCAAAGCTGCTCATGACTGCAGCATGTGTTTCTGCTCTTTGACCTAGCAAAACTTACTATACCAATTTCTTTTCCTTCCTCTGAGGCCAATGTGGCCGGGAGCCAAAAGCCTCCCTTTGCTCGGCACTAAAACCCTTCACAAAAAGCCTTAATTTGAGAAAGGATCCCCCTTGGGTGTTCTGCAGGTCTTGATCCACTGAAGGGACAAAGCTGAATATTGTCAAGAGCTGAAATCGGGCATGGCAACTTTTGTTTTTGCTGAAGTTTTCTTCTTTGTCTGAAACATGTTTCTAAATGCACAGCATACCACCAAACTCTTGCTGGGTTTTCCTGGCAGGAGAAGCCTGCAGACCAGTGCCAGACCTCCCCGGCAGCTGTGGTTTTGGAGAAGAGAACACAGACAGCTCTGCAGTTCAGAGCCACGGAGCTGGGTCGCCCTCGAACACTGGCATTTTCACATAGTAAAAAACCTGTTAAGCATATAACCAGAGTGCATAAAAACGCATCATCCCTTAAGCCACATACCCCCTACATAATGCAACATAGCAAGGCCACGACAGGAGGCTGTTTGCAGCAGCTCCCATTATCGTAAAACATTCTGTTTGCAAGGCACCAAGAAGATTGCTGAACCTTTGTCTCAGCAAGCTATTGATTCCTTCCCCACTGGTACACCAGGAGCTGGCATGGAAGGTGTAAATGGATGATCCGCGCGGTGGCTGTGTTAAAGGTTCCTGCACATTTCCTACTGGCCTAGTTCAGAAGCTTCCAAGCAACTCCGATCTTCATTCCCCGGCGCAGGAATGCAGACACTGCTCCACCACCCGTGCACCCCACGCTGTTTGGGGTGGGGGATAACAGAGAACACGAGTAGCTGTATCTCTTGGGTTTGGAGCCTTTTGCCTGAGCTCTGCTCAACACAGATGTACGCTCCTGAACCCGTCATCTGTCCCCTCACCATCCTCACTAAACCCAGCCCCTGAACTCCCCTCTACACGCTCAGACCTGCTGCTTCTCGCTCCCATAAACACCCATCCATCCACCACCTTTTTGTAACCAGTGCCCTTTCCATAATGAGAAACCGACCCTCCTCTCTTCCACACACCCGGTCACCCTGATCCACCCCCAAACACAACCCAAATCTCCGTCGTTCCTCTTTGGAAATACACCCCCCCCATCTCTGTAACAAGCATTCCCATTCCTAAGCGCTGCCTCTCGCCTGCACGCACAGCTCTTTGCTCCAAAGAAGCACTGGGTTTACAGGTGGTTTTCACAAAGCCTGTTGTGATGGGATTAACATCACGGTTAGGGGGCAAGGAAGGACAGAATTGTGGATTGAACACGTTACCCTGTCGCCTGAGCAAGAAGGGGGAGGTGTGGGGCAATTACAGGTTTCCACTTCCCCATCCCTTCTGGAGGGATGCAAAAGCACGCCCCTCACCCCACAGCACGCTACACATCAGCAGGACCTGAAGGAAATCACTTCCCTCGAGCCAGGCACGCACGCTGCTCTCCTCACAGGCGGTCCCAGCAGGAACAGGGGTGCTGAGCTTCACCCTTCTCAAAATGGCCGGGAGCGAACAGAAGTTCTGGGAGAGGACACTTGCCTAACACAACGAACAGAGGGCGAGACAGCAAGGGCCGAAGGCGGGGGGGGAGGTGGCAGATTTGGGGAAATCAGATTTCAGCCAGCCTGGATGGCAGAGCAGAGCTTTGCCCTCCTTAGCTGCCAGGCAGGGAAGCTCCTCTCTTGAACTGGCCTGTGCGGAAAGCTCCGTTCCTGCTCTCCTTCCTCCCTTTCAAGACCTGTTCTCAGCCTAGGATGTGTCTCTGCTGAAAGGCTGGATTGTCCTGAACTCTGGCCTTTTGCCTCTCTATCTCTGCCACTTTCAGTCCCTCCCTTCTAAGCACACTATATCCCCTTTACAAGGCTGTCCCAGACAGCTCAGGAATCCGGGCCTTCGCAGTTGGGGCGTTCTCTCAATGGGGCATTTATAATGGACTCCAGCAGATGCGGAAGCAAAAAACACAGGGTTGGTTTTTGTATTGCACCTCACGCTCTCACACTGAGCAGGCTTTATGAAGCCCCCGTTAGTGACGGATATTTCAACTCTGCTATAATGAGCTTAAAAATCACAGTCGCCACCGCTCTACGGCGTAAGCACAGAGGTTTCTTCGACGCTCATGCAGGCAGGGTCCCTCGCAGCCCCACTCTGCCCTCACAACGCTCTGGGTTGGTCAGCGAGGGGACGCAGCACCTCCCGCCAGGCTGGCTGGCCCGGCAAGCTGCCCCCCCCCCCCCCCCCCCCCCCCCCCCCCCCCGGAGCCAGGGACTACCTGGCAGCACATCCCTCGGGGCAGCAGCTCCCCAGCGAGCTTCTAAAAGCACGAGCCTGACAGTGAGGGACGAGTGACACTAAGCCACTGACCAACCGATCAACCCGCAACTCAGGTGCTCCCTCCTAACCCTGCCCCTGTTCCCATCCTCTCCTCACTGCTATCCACCTGCAAGGCCCATCACACACCTTCTTGGGGTCTTCACTGGCAGTGAGTAGCTATTTAGCAATCCACTAGAAAAAAAAAAAAAAAACACAAAAGCCTTGCAGGGCTCTGAGATACCCCTTCTCCTAGGAGAACGGAGCAAGTAAAATACAGACAGATCGGAGGGAGAGAACGGGCTTGCAGGGAGGACGTTCCTCCCATGATGTTCTTGAGGCTGTTACAAGATTTACCTGAGTGTACTCGGTGCAGCCGGACAAGTTGGACACAAAGCTGCACACATCCTCCACCGTCCATTTGCTGATGTCTTCCAGCGCAGGGCTTTCCTCACCATCCAGAAACAGACCTCCCATGGTGCCTGGATTGTTTGGAGTCGGGGGGGGTAGGAAGGAGGGGAGGAGAAAGAAACATAAATCATTAAAATCCCACACGGACAACAACTAGCCTGCAATCTGAATATTTTTCTCCAGCCACACATTCATCTTTAATGACCTGTCAATTAAAGCACTGGGCAGGGTCAATTCATAGGCCTCTTCCTCCTGGAGGTCCCCAGCTTAGAAAGGGGGGCAGGGGAAAGGAAAAATCCTAGCTAATGCATTTCATGTGTTTAATGTCCTTCAGCTGCAGGGAAGAAATAGGGGGAGGGGAGAGAAAAGAAAAAACCCTGAAGGAGTGTTTCTCCACACGCACCGCAAAGCGGAAAACTCTGACTGCCCTGTGGGTTTCTTCCCCCCAGCCCTTCCCCTGGCTACGTGCTCCGAATGATAACTGGCCCCGGACCTCTCCCTGGTGGCCCGCTGCCTTGCTGGAGCGTGAATCACTGGAGAACGTCTTGCTCTTTCAAAGCGTTCATTTGCAATCCACCCTCAGCCTGAAACATCCATCGGCTCGCTCTGCCCCAAAATACACTGCCCTCGGGTGCGCTGCAGGAGCTGGGCGGCTCCTGGCCGAGCGCCTGGCGGGTGGCAGGATGACCCCTGCCAGCCCCCGCGACACTCTCGAGACAGCGCAGCTCGGTGCGAGCCGGTATGTCAATTCTCCGAAACGCAACAGCGGTTCAGGTCCCAGCCCTGTCAGCAGAGACGAAGGTGATGGGTTCCAAAAGGGTGGAAGAGAGCTGCCCCCCCCCCCCCGCTGCCCTGTGTCGCCAGAGCCTGACAGCACGGGATGTGCACGCAGGGAGAAAACCCGACTGGAGCTGAGAGAGGAGCTGGAGGAGAGGCACTGAGAATAAGAAATGCCAGCCAGGTAACTCATATCTACTGTGGTGTGCAAAGGGAAAAATGTAAAAACAAGTAATGAAGAAACCTAGTTCCAGAAAACACCACTTTGGGGGTGGGGGGGTGGGGGGGGAAAGAAAAAAAAAGAGAGGGAAAAAAAAAAGATTTAACAAATTGTTAATCTGCGGAACCCACTGCTGCATGATATAATTTAGACCATGAGATCAAGAAGATATTTATAAGGATGTCAACATCCATGGTTAGAGCAGGTAGAGAAAGTGTTTACGAGGGGTATAAACTGCTATGATTCAGGCCACAAAGCAAGAAATTATCAGAAAAAAATATTTCTCCCAGGGGTCTATCATGACAAAATTATCTGTCCTGTAGGCCCAAGATTTTTCCCTGCGGCATTTGATCAGTACCACAGACACAACCCCTTGCTGTGACTCCTTTGCTCCTGTCCACAGCAGGTCAGATAGCATTTCTGCCAGGAATGACAGGATGAAAACGGGATGCAGCCAACTCATGGTGGGGAGCACAAGCCCAGAGAATGGGGAGCGGCCAGTTCCCTGGGGGAAGGCACCAGGTCAGCGGCACGAGGCGCAGAAAGAGCAAAAGGCAAAGCCACCAGCACAGTCCGAGGTTAACAGGAAAAGGGCAGGATGTAGAGAGGAAGTCATCATGCCAATAAGATGCTTTTAAAACAACAGCAGTCTGACAAGCAGCAGCCAGATGCTGGGTAATCATTTCCACCCCATTTCCGCTCCCAACTTCCTGCTTCCCTCCCCAGCCTCACCCTCCGCACGGCTCCTGCAGCCACACCACTGCTTCCCCTCCCGGGAAGACTTTTCACACCTCCTTCACACCCTTAGTCTCTCCCACAATCTTTCCTTCTTGCCGGCACAGGCCGCTCTCCCCTCCAGCCTCAGCACCAGGCTTGCACCACGCTCTGCTCGCCGCTCCCGGGACCTGCCAAGCGCGGAGAGCTCGTTGCCCCCCGCCCCGCCACCCTGGGCCAGCCAGCTCCTCACCCTCCTCTTCGCGCCCCTTCTTTTTCCAGCGAGAGAAACTTCAAATACTTTTGTGTGTCTGATAACAGCTGCAGAGAAAACGATCAGCTTTCCTGCGAGCTAGGCGCCCGTCAGCACGGGAGGTGGAGGCAGAGGCCGTCGCCAAAGAGCCAGTGAGCACTTTCCTTCCCCCTCGCCACCGCCAGCTATCAGACAGACAGATGGACACGAGCCCTCATTCTCATTCCTATTGCATTCTGTTTTCCAGGAGACAAACTCACAGTCGCTTATGTTAAAATTCACAAAACACTCAAATGGCTGAGGGCTTTTTTTTTTTTTTTTTTTTTTCCTTTTTTGCCATTTTGAGGGAGGGTTTTTCTTTCTCAGGGTGGGGGGTAATTCTCTTTCTCCTTTTTGGAAGAGTGGCTGCAGCTTGGTAAATAGAGGAAGTGAAACTGAACTCAATTATTCCAGGCACAGTCAATGCTCAGGCGAGACACCTCCATCTGCAGCCAGAGCAAGCGTCTCTGAGGGGATCTGACTGTAACAGCCAACTGCTTTAAAATTAGGTACTTCCTTATTCCAAAAGCAAGCCAAGGATTGAATTGCAGCAACACGGTGCTTGGGAATGAATTCTCCCATCACCAGCCAGCCAGCCTCATCCTCAGGGTTTAACCTCAGCCTGCATGGAGAGGGTCATGTGCACCTCGCCAGGTCCCCCCCGGTGTGGGCAGAGACTTGGCCCAGATGTTGCCTTCACAGCTGGCAGGGAGGAGGGGGAAGGTGTAAGGCTTCCCTCCGGTCCCTCTCCTGCACACGTGCTTGCAATCCTGGAACTGCACTGAACGTGGGATCGCTTGCAGGGTTACTGACACCGCCAGCAGAGCTGGGCTAGCAACCGCTTCTCCTCCAGAAGCCTTTCTCCTCCGTGGTTTTCCTTCCTTTGTCTCTTCGTGCCCCCAGAAGAAAGGGAGGGAGAGGTCAAGATGCACACACAGTAAGCCTGCTGTGTCCAAGACTGAGGGCAAGACGGGCCCGCTGTATGGGAAGAAGAAATACTTTCCACATACCCACACACAGAGAAATAGAATACGGCCAAAATATTTATCTCTGAGAGTTTGTTTTCCCTTCCCGTTTATACCAGGGAAAGAGGGACTAACTGGTGGAAATGTTCTTGGGAGGGGAAAGGCAAATATCAATACTCTGGGTTCGGGCCTCTTAGCAGTTTCTGTGCCACAGAACTTAAAAGCTAGAAGGTGGAAACCTAATCCCACTGAAGTTAGTGGCAAAACACCTCTATTCCCTGCAGAAAAGCCCCAAATCCCACAGTGCCTGCAGAAGAGCTCGGCCCTAGTAGCTCCAAAGACTCAGTTGCCGTTCTGTGCACTCAGCACCCCTGAAGCCAGGGTTGTGGAGCCTGGTGTTCGGGTGCCCCCCCCCGCCCTTCTGCTCCCACCTCAGCTCTGTCACCGGTCTGAAGTCACCAGGTGCAGAACAACCCCAGGAAGCACCTCCGAAGGATGACCCGGTTGCAGACTACACTGGTCCCTCCAGTCTCAGCGTGTTTCTAATTTGCAACTAGTACAGGACCAGCCCTCAGCACGCTGCCTCCAGTCACTGGCCCTTCCTAATTTTCAAGTCCCTAGAGCAAAAGGGCTCCTGTCCTTCATCTCATCCCTCCTCGGGATGATACTGCACCCTCTGCTCCACCTCTGTGCATGGCTGCACCCACTCACCACTGCTCTGGCAGTTTGGACAATGATAACAAATAGGTGCCAAGTGGCTAGAAGGGACGCACCTTCTATTATAATAATGACATGTCACCAGATCCTGCTGGACTGCGAGGATGCATAAAGGGCAGCATCTATTCCCTGCCAGGCCTCCTCTGTCTTGCTCTATGATAAATGATGGTCCGAGAGACTGGTAATGGATTACAGAGCATTTCACCAGATGGGACCCAGCGTGTAGGGACTGAAAAGAATCCATCGTCCCAGGCCAGTGTCTTGCAGACAGGTGCCCATGTAAAAGCCCTCACCGCCCATGCCGCAATCCATTTATAATTTCCCTCCCTCCTCCTGGTATCCAGCTGCTTCAGAGGAGAAGCCAAAGGCTGAACGGGTCCGGGAGAACAACCCTTCTGGCCACCCCAGTAAGGGAAACCTCTGCTGCAAATCCAGCAGCCAGGCTGCAACGGGGCTGCCTCTGCTGCATGGGAACACACGAGTTTTCGCTCCTGGCATCCCAGGAGACAATTCAGGTGCCAACTGGGAGACCAGTGCACAAAGCAAACCCGCTCAGAAGTCAGCCCACCTATGGGTTTAATCAGTTTTGCTACCACTCTCAAACCCCTCTCCCGTTCTTCCCTGTGCACGCACCCCCTCCTCCCCGCACACCGGAGGGGGCTTGGGTCACGGAGAGGCACTGGAAGGCTTGCGTTAATTGCTCTCCAGACTACAGATCGATAGAAGAATTTTAGCCTCCTGCACACTCCATCCTTCACCTTTTCCAAAGGACGGGGCTGGAGGAGGGCGGTGGGAGGAGGAGGGGAGCAAGGCTGCTGAAACCTTGATGAGATGAGGTCATCGAGCAGCCGCCAGATCCCCAGAAGGCAGCTCAGGGATTCGACCCAGCTCTGGCTGCCTCATCGATATTCTTCCCAGTAGGGACAGAAAACAGCACTCTGCCTCCAAAGGAGGAACCTCCCCTGGCTGGAAGACCAGAGGAACTGCCTGAAACAGTGATCATTTTCAGGCAGCCACTTCTCTCCTCTCCTCCCTCCGGCTCTTCCTTCCCGCCTGCCATGTTACCTGCCCTGTTTAGGTGGTTATTTTACCGCAGCAGCCTCCAGTGGACAGCACAACATCGGGACCAGCCAGGCCGAAAGAGCAGTCCTCGTGCAAAAAGAGGATTATGGAAATTATATGGCGCTGGGGGAGAGGGGGGTGCAGTTCTGTCTGTCTGTCTTCAGGTGGTTTGTGTTCCCCAAGGGCCCAAGTAACGCATTTTTCACTGGCGCACGTTACCCCAGCACACCCCATGGTCCCCGCAGCATTTGGATCAATACAGCCCTCAATATTTCAGTTGCTGAAGTCCCAGCTCCCCCATCTACCTGCTGTGCTGCATCAAACAAGATGCCCGTATTTCCCAAGGCTGTTTCAGGTCAGAGCTTTTGCTAGGGAGCCGTACAGTGCCTACCACAGCAGGGCCTGAACTCAGCGCTGCTGTCCCACAAACAGGCAACATGAACAGCCACGACAGTGTGTGAAGCTAGCCGAGAGGAAAAGAGCCCTCAGGAAAAGACCTACAGCACCAGAACAGGCTCCACAAATCAGAAGCGCCTGAAAACTGGGCAGTGAAACACAGTCCTGCTCTTTGCCGAGGCCTCAAGACACGATGGTGATATAAATTCGAAGTGATAATAATAAATGGCCTATTACAGTAACTCGCACATTGCTGGGGGAGGGAGGAAACCCGTCTCCAATCCAGGCCTCCCTGCAGAGCCTCACACAAGTGATGAGCACCACAGAGCCGTGCGTTTCCCTTTTTAATGGCCAGGAGAAAAAGGCTCCTGCGAGGAAGCCTCAGCAGCCCAAGGCAGCAGGAATATTTATCATGTTGGCCACCTGCCTGTCATAGAAAAATCGCTTCCTCCTTCCTGGTTGGAAGGCAGCTCTAATGAGTGATGGGCAGCTGCGTTCACAACCGCGGCAGCTCTTTGCATAGAAAACAGTAAGCCTCCGCGACCCACATGCCATGCCCCCCCCTTTCTCCCTCCTCCATGTGGCAGGAGGTCCTACCTCCTGCTAATTGCTCAGCCAAGTAATTAGATGAGGCGGATTTGGGCTCTCGGCTAGGCTAGCGGGGCTGCCACCCTGCTCTGCCTCCAGGAGACCCCGGGGCAGAGCAGCTACCAGGGTTGGAAACCCCACTTGGTACTCAGTGCTCCCTTCTGTCTCCAGCTGTGCCTGCCTTTGCTGCCCACCTCCACAGCCCTCGGGGACCAGAGAGCTGGCAATGCCCTCCCTGCCCGCCTGTCCCATCCAACAGGCACCGGTCCAGCTATACCAGTGCCTGAGAGACTGAGAAACACACCACAGGCAGGGGAAAGAGCCCATCTGCCTCTGCCCTAGCAAAGGGGCACAGCAGTGCTAAACTCGGACACCTCCAAGGGCATGGGGCAGCCAAGATGTCTAAGTCACTGCTGGAGAAACCCTCTGACACCCCATCCCAAAGGTGCTGTCCCATATGTTACCCTGGGAACGTCCCAGATATGACACAGCAGGGAGGAAAATGCTGCAGCCTTAATCCTTTCATTTCCCTCGCCTCAAACCATGGCAGTGCACAGAGGGAGAACCAAGCACGGGGGAACCAGCCAGCCCCCCTCCAGCCCTGCACCTCTCCCTGAAGAACAGCCTGGGAAGCTCCCCTTCCCCTCCTCTGTTCTGCTGTATCTGGGTGTTTCACTCCAAACTGGCTCCTCCAGTTCTCACTCCCTGGAAATCACAGGAGCGCAGCCCAACAGCCACCCTTCCAGATACAATATTTCTGGCCCTTTACCTTGTAGGGCAGCACCTTTTGGCCTGTCATAATTTTTGCTGCCTTTCCCTGAATAATTTACTGGCGTCTGTCCCGAGACATGACTCCCAGGGAAGGCCCAGGCAACTGCAAGATCCCTGAAGTCCATCATATCGGGATCTCCTTTCTCATGTACTTTGTCCCTGCTGACTCTAGACTTGCTGTACTGCAAATGGAGTCGTTTATATTAATTAAAAGAAGGTGCTTGGTTCCCTGCAGAGAAAAAAGAACCACAACCACACTGCAAAAGAAGAAGAGTCCCACTTTTAGCATGCTGCAAAACATGTCACTGCTCCAGCCAGTAACTCAGTGACAGGCCCTCGTGCACTCACCTGCATGGAAGTACGGGCTCATCGTGTAAGGGAATCCGAAGGGCAGCGGCTGAGGTGGTGGGATGGAGGCTGGCGGGAGATACTTCACCTCATTTTTGTTGATGCCTGGGCCAAGCAAATGGCTGGGGGATTCGGCGCTCGAGGAGCTGCAGGGGGCATTTTGGCCAGCAGCCGCTTCACCCAGCTCCTTGGCCCCTTCACAGACTTTGCCCGTCTCTTTGCACTCCTTGAGCTCAGCGGCCGAGCTGCTGCTCTCAGCCTTCAGGCTCTCGGGCTTCTCGTCGCTCACATCCGCGTCGCTCTCAGAGTCCTTCATCTCCTCGTCGTTACAGTCTGGTGCCCCATCGCGCGCCCGGGGCTCCGCCAGCTCCTTGGCCTCGCTCAGCCCCTGCGGCTCGGCGCGGTGGTGTGCCGATTTCCGACTGCCCCGCCGGGGCTGCTCCTTGGGCGGCGTGGCACTGCTGGGGACGCTGGGGTTGAGGGACAGCAGGGGAGTGTTGTTGTGCCGCAGGACCAGCATGGCGTTCCTCCGGGAGAGCTCCTCCCGCAGCGGGTGGCCCTCGGGGATGTCGTGCACGTTGCGCAGGGCCGGGTGGTCGGGGGGCAAGCCGGGATGCAGGCTCAGCGGGTCACCAGCCAGTAGCCTTTGCCTGTGGAGATTCTCCAGCTCCTTCTGACGGATGATCTCGGCCGACATCTCCAACCTAAATTGGGAGAGGCAAAGAGGGAACGGTCGGTGGGGGGGAGCTCTGCGAGCAACTTGCTGAACCAGAGCTTGCGGGATCAAGGTGTCACTTCCACACCCGCACACCGTTCCCATTGGTGTCACTTGGACACCGCTCTGTCGCCTGTGCACAGCTCGCCCAACGCAGCAGCCCACATAGCCTGCTGCTAGGAAAGGGAAGGAAAAATCCAACCCAAGCCCGGGCAGGCTAACCCTCTACACTCTTTACCTTGCCAGGTTTTGCTTTCGTAGCATCTCTTGCTGCCGTGCAAACATCTCTGCTTGTGCCGGCTGCAGGAACCCGTAACCTGGGGACAGGGAGGACAGTGATATGGAGTTATCAATCTCAGCACTGAGTCTTTGCTAACTCAGGGCCAGCTCCTCAGAGGGCTAACGGAGCAGGAAAGAGCAGCTGAGAACCGCCTTTCTGTTCTAGAGCCCATCCACTCCCTCACTCCCAAGGCAGTGCAGTCAGCTGCTGAAACGTGGGATCAGGGAGGCCGGTGGGGATTAAAAGAGAGAGCAGCCAAGGCGACCAGCTCCCCTCACTGTGAAACAAGGGTGAAGTCAGCACAGCAGGAATGGGGAAACACAGAAAATGTGTCTGGGCTGTTTGGCTAAAGGACAGCTTGTCACAGCCTGCACCTTTGCTCTATACCCACTTCCCCCGGCTGATGGCAAGCATCTCCTACGCACTCACCTGGTGTCTGGCAGAGCGCCGAGGGCACCCCGAGGAAAGGAGGTCTCAAGTGGGGTCCCAGAGCAATATGGGGTGCATTCTGGGGTGAAAGCAGAGGTGGCGGGTGGGATATCTCCCTGCAGAAATCAGAAAATAAATTCCTGTTGAAAATCCGGAGGCTCCACCTGCAATGCCCAGAGGGCCCTGGCTCAGGAAGAAGCTCCTTTCTGCAGATGACCTGCACTGTGTACCAGAGGCTGTTCTGAGAAAGCAAGCTGCCTCTTCACCCATACGCAAAACTTTTAAAAGGGAGAGAAGAATGAGAAGAAGGAGAACCAGAAAGGGAAGAAAGCAGCCAGGACTCCAAAGGTCCCACATACTTCCCACCTTGATATGTTTGATTCTGTGGCCTTTCAGCTGGGCTGTTGAAATGGGGTTTGGCTGCCCAGGGCTAGATAGCAAAGGCAAGGCTGAAAATGCTGCACCTGCCTGTCCCCTTAGCAAGCTTGGGTTTTTATCTCAACTACCTTGCAACTGAAAAGGCATTCTGTATTTTGGGAGCTGGGGAGATTTGAAGGCAGCACTGGTATGCCTTGCAAAAAAAAAAAAAAAAAAAAAAAAAAAAAATCACTGTCCTAGCTGGGACAAGGGGTGATCTTTAATTTTAGAGAATAGCTGTAAGCAAAGCAGAGAAAGACAGGAGAGATGGGGAGAGGGACGTGAGCAGGAAGTGCCCTGGGGTCAGTGGAAGGCAATACTACTGGAGAAGGGTGGGTGATGCTGGCTAGAATGGCTAGAGCAGATGTAAGGTGGCAAGGAAACTGGAAAAGGCAGGTTTGAGGGGTGGGGAAGAGGACAATGACTGGAAGTAAGGCAGGTAGCCCTGGCAGGGAGGGGTGGGGGAGGGAAAAAAAAAAGGAAGGCAAGGAAAAAAAAAAAAAAGGCAGGAAGGGAATAAGAGCCAAGGTCTCTTCCATTAGTCAAATCTGCCCTGGGAGCCTGCAAGCAAATCTCTGCTTTCCGGCTGCACGTCTCTTAATTCCTTTTGATGGCCACTTACAACATTATTACCTTCACCAGGGCATCTAGAGGCAAAGCCAAGTGCTGTGCCGTTTATTTTCATTTTACAATATCTCCCTATAAAATCTGCTTCAGGAGAAACTGGAGGGCAAGAGAAAGGGAGCAAGAAGGTGCCTGTGACTTTGCAACAAACAGACCATAGGCACAACCACGCTCCCCCTTTCAGAGGGGGGCTGGCATGGGAGCGTGGGATAACGTGAGAATTCCAGCCACCACGGCTCATGAAAAGCCAGACAAGGGCTCTTTGGGGATGAGGTGGGCATGGAAACGATTCCTGTCCTTTCCCTACATCTTGTGGTGTAGTTTAATCCTCACGCTGTGCAACTGCCCCTAACAAAACACTGCCACACGCTCAGCCACAGCGCAGAACGGGCTGAGATTCCCCTCAGAAATTCTTCCTTCTCCCCACCCCTTGCCCATCTGCCTGTCTTTGCCTCCCCCCTTCCCGTCTGTCTCTACTCCCCTTCTCCCCTTCCCCTGGCTGTCTCCGTCTCTCCTTTCCTCCTCCTTCCTCCCCTAGCTCTCCTCTAAACTAATTGCACAGCTCGCTGTGTCTGGAGGAGAGCCACAGATCGATCCGTCGCTGTTGAAATGTTAATGCTAATCGTATAACCGCTCCGCCAGCACCTCGCACTTCAGTGGCAGCTCCAATTAATCTCAGGTAACGCAGCGCGTGACCTTCGGCTCAGCGCCGGGGCAGCAGCCAAGCGATGCTTATGTAATTACACCATGAAGTGTGTAATCACCTGCCCTAATCCCCGAGGCCTCACAATTAGCCGAGGCCTCGGTCGCTGGGCTGCCAAGTGCTTTGCCACCCCGGACAGCCTGCAGATGAATAACGGACAATTAAAGCGGCATGACGGGGGCTAGGAGGTGTCCGTTCGATCGTAATTAGCTGTAATCATGGGGAGACGAGCCTGGCAGACGTGCTGTTCGTTTTATAAGAAGCAATTTAGGAAATCAAGTCGCTTTTAACCATTCCATGGCCAGGCAAACAGCGGCCATGCCCTCCCTGCCTTTTATATATGCAGAAAAAGAGGATCCTGTACGAGAGAGAATGCACAGAAGCCCCAGGTGCAGGCTGCACACAGAGAGCCCAGAAGGAAATGCTAAAAACAAAGAGAGCTTCTTGATTTTAGCCAAGAGGAGACAATCTGTGCCCAGGAAGCATACTGCTTGATGGAGATCAGGACTGGGCACTGGGAAAATAAAAGGTTCTCCCTTTGAAGGCAGCCCAGTGTTAATCAGAGGCTATTTTTATGCTTTAACATTGCACTACAGAGCCTAACTCTGATCCCCAAGTAAATCACATTGGCTCAAGACCTCGCAGTTCATTCCCTCTCTGTCCCCTCATCAGAGCTGTGCAGCTTCCTTGCCTGTGGGGGCCAGTGATCCGTGCCCCACGTGGGGACAGGGGGACAGCAGGACGAAGCAATCACCGCAGGACCTGACCACGCTGCCACGCACACGGCCGAGCAGCCTGCGGCGGCTGGGAAGGGGCTGGAGGTAGTTGTAAGAGGGGCTGTAAGAAACACGACTTCGAACGTGAGAGGTCAGCTGCTGCTTATGTTACACACACAGGGAGACGTTTGCACGTGCTGTCACCACGCAGAGATGCCAGAGCTGATTTGCTGGAGCTCTCTGTGTAGGGCAGAGCTGCTGGGTGAGGCCAGATAAACGGGATCAGCCAAAGGTCCCACGACCAGCACTGTTACACGCGGAGTTTGTGGCTTCAAGTCAGAGAAGGGAAGCTGCACCAGGCCAAACACAAAGGGGTCATCGCACCCTCTCCTGACACCAGCGTCACCCCAGCCGTAGAAAACTCAGACAGAAAGCAGCAACGCTCACAAATATTTGGGGGACGAGGGACTCTCCTCCCTGCAGGGAGACTGATACTCGCCAGCTCATGCTGCAGAGCCCCCGCGGGGCAGTGCCCCACGCCGCCCGCGTTACCAGGAAGGACAGACGCTTTCTGCCGTCCCACAGACCCAGCCGGGGAGCCGGCCAGGGCCTGCCGCTGCTCCCTTCCAGCCCACCCGCCCGATCCTTGGCACGGGAGGCAGGGAGGGAGGGAGTATGACCAGGCCGTGTCCTGGCACAGAGCTGGGAAGCCCGCCCAGGCTGCCGGGTACAGATACAACCAATTGCTTGGAAATGAACTGGCAACCCTGGAGTAAAAAGCCCCAGAGACCTTAACAAAGGCTACTGTGCTTTTAGACAGACGTGCACCAAAACACAAATCCTTGCATCCTTTCTCAGGTACATATCAGCCTTCAACCCCTCATTAATTTTCTTCCTCCTCTTCTTCCACCTCTCAGAGTAAGAGCTGAATTACAGTCCCATACTCCGAGAATGTGAATTTAGCCCTTGGCAATTACATCTGATAAGCCTCGTCCTTACCTTGCAGAGAGCAATTCTGTGTTACTGCGTATTCCTCCCCCCACCCCCTTTTTTTTTTTTTTCCCTAATATGCCAGCTGGAGGCTTGTGAGCAGGGTATTAGGGGATTTGCACTGCATGCTGCTAAATTTGATATGTCCTTTAACAGGAGACAAATGGTTCACAAGGCTTAAAAAGTATCGACTTTTCTTTAACAATAAGCACTAATGGCCTTCAAATAATCAATATTTAAAGTCATTATGGGGTTACACATTATACTGTTAAAACCAAGCCTTTCACTTTAACCCCATCATATCCTCCCAAGCCCTGAGCAGTGCTCCCCCCTGACTCACTCCAAGCTCAAAAGGAAGGCTTGGAGCACAGGCTGTGACTGGAGATGTGAGAGGGTCAGGAAATGCAGATTGAAACTGGCAAGGCATGGAAATAAATTTAGAATGGATGGAAGAAGGGGGAAAAAAAAGAATGCATGAAAGCTCTGCTTTCTTCTGCTTTGCATTTGATAGGAAGAGACACTTTAAACCTGAGGTAATAGGCAAGCAGCGCACAGCTCCTTGCTCGTTTGCCATCCGCAGACACTGTCTGTGCCAGGAAGGGAAAATAAATAAAATGAAAGGGCTTTCTAAAAATGGTGTTTGGGATTTCCAGGCAGAGACAGATACATTCTAGGGCAGCAACGAGGCCTGGACACAGACAGGGTCTGGTTTATGCTGCCAGGGGAAATCACTCCCTCAAAATCCAAACTGGTGCTAAAACCAAATTAGTTAAATCAGGTCAAGCTCTTTGGCCTTTGCTCTGCGTAACATTCAGCCAGCTGGGATCTGCTGAGGAATCCTCCCAGTGCAAAAATCTGAGAGAGATACAATATAGAGAACAGAGGGAGGGATGTGAGGCTGGGGTAGGTAAGATGCCGAAAGAGAATGTGTCCAGAAGACAGGAGAAATGTGCCCAAAGAGCCAGGAGTGAAAAGGAAAGCCTCCACAATGCAGGGGGGAGGAATTAAGTGGTAAAAGAAAAAATGGTAGCAGCAGCAGATGGAAAGAATGCAATCCAAAAAACCTTGCTGGGTATTTCAGGCACATCTTTGCACAGAAAAAGGCCTCTGGCTGATGCACAATGTTTGTCAGCTTTCTGCAACGGAAGGGCAGCAAGTGCATCTCAGACTCTGCGGCTCCCGCTCCCAGAACGCTCCAGCCAAAGGGCTCGGCTGCCCGGGACCCCAGCAGATCAGGATGCTGACGGCATCTCACGCAGGCAGTATTTCTTGCTGCTTGGCATTCCTCCTGCCTTCACCCCATAATTGTCCATGGTCCTGGAAGATGAATTGTGTCCCTAATGCTTCTTACACACAGTACCGGAGAGCTGAATGCTACTACCAAAGTACCTGCCTCAGCACTTGCCCTCTCTCTGGCTGGGATCTGCCTTCTCGCCCTCCTGTGAGCCAGGGGCAGTTCTCCCTCACAGACCCCGTGCCACACACTGTACGCATGTGAACAAGCTCCTGGCAACTCGTAACATAGAACTGATGCATCATATTTAGCCAACAAGCTTCACCACACCGATCACACTGTTAAGCAGCTCGTCCAGCCTAGTCTGAGTGCCCCTGCAATGACTTCTATTTGCACTGTATAAATGTTTTTTTCCCTAAAGGGGGTGAACGCAAGTGTTCCCGAGGCTTCGCATGCTGTGAAAGGCAGTCTGCTCAGTCCAAAGTTGGGAATACAATCAGGAGTGCATTCTGCATGTACCAGGAGATGAGCATCCTGGGTAAGAACATGCCAGGCTAAACGACCCCAGCAAAACCAAGTACACTGCCAATGAATTTTGGAGTCAAGATCTAAGGATTAGGAGCCAAGCAACTCTGCATCTCTGCAGGGCACAGCCACCTGCCATTTTTGCAGGAGACAGAGCAGTTTGGAGATGGGAAGTACTCCAGGCTGGAGTAGTTACAATGACACCTTTTAGTTGTACCCTTTCCTCTTCCAAGTCTTTTTATAACACCGAACTCAACAATCTTTTCAAACAAACTACCAGGTCCTGGCACTCTATAATCCAAGTCTAAATCAATCTAGAGAAGGATCTAGGAAACCAAAACCATGAAACCAAATGGATTCTCAAGCCTGCAGCTTGAGTCTACTTCTGGCAAGACATATCAGTTTTACTTTTTTTGACAGATGAGGAAGCTAGAGCAAAGAGGTGAAGGGACCACTACTCCGCTAAAAGGATCTGGTCCGTGAAAATCCATATTCAGTGTGTCTGAGTGCACACATGTGTGTATCACCCCCTTCAGAGCCAGTACCCACCTGCCTGCCTTGTGTATCATTAAACCTACCAGCCTGTTTCTGGCCCGCAAAGATGGATGCTAACTAGTTGACAAATGTCTGAACACACCTACCTTCCCAAGTGTTCCCTAGCTCAGTCTCACCACCCACATCTTCACACCTGGAAACTGGAAAACTGTATATATAGTTCCCTATAATATACATATATATATATATATATATAGTTCCCACTAGCGAGCAAAAGTCTCTGCATTCCTGTCTCTGCAAAAACAGCAGTACTGCCCTGATAAATAAAACTGGGTCACCAGTATGAGTTTTCCCCCCTTGCTTTGCCAGACATAATGGCTGAAGTCTGGAGTGGCTAATTATTCTTGCCCACAAAGCTGCTGCACTTGAGAGCTGACCTGATCCCCACAGATCTCCCGATAGGAAGCTGAAATGGAATTTTAACACCATGCCAAACAGTTCACATCCCCCTGCATCATGCATTATTACTTCTGCTCCTGGGAAAGGAGATGCCGTAAATCTACCTACAGTTTGCCTACGTACATGAGCCAGCTTCCTCCATTGCCTTCTCCTCTGTCAGTGTCTACCTCAACCTTTTAAAATTTCTATACCTTCATAATAAAGGTGCACAGAGGCTGCTTTGATTTACCCTGTTGACAAAAACTATGGCAGCCAAGTACAAAACCCAAGGCTAACAGCAACAGGGAGAACGGAAGGGAGAAATTAACCCATACAGAGCTTTACTGCTTTACAATAGGTGGCCACAGCTTCCTCTGGCATACCTACAAATGTCTGTGGTGCTTTGGCAAAACAGCAAGAAACAGTTTGCAGGCGACAGCTCCAACCAGGCCGTTTCTGAGCGGGAGCAGAGTGATACCTGCTGACCCTCAGTGACACTCAGGTGGCTGCAGACCTCTAGGGAGCAATCACCATCACGTGAACTGATGTCAAGCAGACTTACCAAGTCATGGCTAAGGGGCACAGCTGTAGCTCCCCTCTTCCCAGCAGGACTCCCCAGCTCTGCTAACTGAGGATTATCACACCTGAGAGCCTGGCCAAGCAGGCAAGCCACACAGGGCCTTCTCACACCTTCCCTGTGGGAGTAGATGGCTGCAGAAAAAACAGGAGGTCTGGTCTGCCGTGCCTTGGCATGGGAGGAGGAGGCAGCACAAGACATGCCAGGCCAGGCCCACCATGGTGGTGTTTCACATGGCTTGTCTCAAAGCTCCGTGGAGAACCGCAGCATGTACGGTCTGAGGCAGGAGCAGTGTGGGAAAACAAAACCAGGGCTGATAACGTGCTATGAGGCTTGGTTCAGTCTGCAAACTCCTGGGCAGAAACAAGACTTGAGGGTATGCAGCACAGAGAAAAAGACAGCTTCTTTGTTTTGTTCCCACCAACCCAGCCACAGGCTGGTCTTGCTTATAGGCAAATAACTAGACCTTTACAAGTGGATGCAAATATCCTTGCTCCGTGCAACGTGCCACATCATACTGCTCTTTGAACTGAGGTGCTCAAAGGCCTTCCCAAACATTAAGTACAACCTGTTTTCAAAATGAGAACCACTGTCAGCAAGGGAAACTGAGACACAGAGTGACTCCTGCAAACTTAATCCAAGGTCCCACAGATATTTCTTTCAACATCAAGGGCAGGTTTTGCCCCGTGTGTTCCCTTCTTCCACCTCACCTTGCCAGGATTTTCCTCTCACTTGTGCCAATGCAACTATTCATAGGGCTACCTGAAGAACTGAAGGAAGGTGAAAAGTAGTGGTCTTTTCCAACCATTAACTCCTGGCCTTCAGCCTCTGTCCCCTGACCTAGCGAACAACTTCTCTCTCCCTCCCATAACTGGGGAGAAACACTGGCCTTAACTTCAGTCCTCTCCTTAAACTGCCAGATAACACCCTCTTCCCAAAGGATTTAACCCTTCCTGGCCTAGCCCAGCTCCATTAGCTAGAACACCTGCCTGGCAGTGGCAATTATCTCTGGATTTGATACATATCTAAATCATTTTCAGTTTGCCCCTCCTATGTGCAGCACCCTCCCGTAAGCAACCTCCACCCTTCCGTACGTGCCTTTTCAGCCAGGCCTCCGGCTGGCCTGGCACTTCTCCAGGCCACACAGAGCTGGAGAAATTTTCCTGATGACTGGCTGCACTGAAACTCGTCTATCTCTGCATTCCTCACAGGTCTGCCTACAATCCACATGGACTGGGCTGGATTTTATTAGGTGGGTTAACCAAAGTACACCCTGTAAGAGAAAGGTTTACCAAGTCTGCCCAGCCCCTCCACACTGCAAACCCATCGGTCAGAAAGAAATAAAACGAGACAGGATCTCCAAGGCTATAAATGGGGGGAGCAATGACTTTGAACTCAGCACATACATACCCAGGCTATAGAACTACTGTTGCAGCCTGCTGCCTGCCCCCACCCCAAGATGAAAGCCAAAAAAGCCTAGGCACTAGAGCCTTTCACAGCTTGTCCTGTGATCACAGAACGGTTTGGGTTGGAAGGGACCTTAAAGATCATCAAGTTCCAACCCCCTGCCATGGGCACGGACACCTTCCACTAGATCAGGTACCCAAAGCCCTTGGGTGATACTCAAAGCCTTTGTGTCCCCACAGCTGCCAGGCCCTCTCCCACCTCTGCTACCCTTGACAGAAACGCATGCAGCTTTAATTTAATTTCATTCTGAAGTTCTTGATTGCGGAGGGAATGGCTTATGGCAGAGAGCAAGATAAATGAGCTAGAATTTCCTCGGCGGGGGGAAATCAGCTTCCCAGCGTTCCTATCAGTGGTAAGAGCAAGCTGTACCTCTTTCTTCCTCAAAAAAGAAAACGTACTCTCTCTGTTCCATCCTAGAGCATTTGTTCTCTCTCATTATCAGAAGATGCTATAAAATGCAAACTTAAACATCTTAACTTGCTCTGTGCCAAAGAGCAGGTTAGAGTCTCGCATCTGCTCTGGAGATCCGAGGCAGGACTGGGATTCTTCCACCAGCCAGCCAGTTGCCGAGCTGGATGCCTATGTGCAGGAGCACAAATCACCCCCCTCTGCATACAGACACCCCAGCATGCGGCAGGCACGCACGCCAAACCGCGCCTTTGCACCTGCATAATGCCCAAGGGAGACCTTAACGCGTTACCGGGTGCAAATCAAACCTCTGAGGCACGGCTACCCTCACGACACCCCTGCACACGCCTTGGGGTGCACATCGGTCCCAGAGCCCCCCCCCAACCCTCTCCGTAACACCCCCCCCAACCCCCCCCCACGCCCGCCGGAGCCAAACCCCGCCCCGGGGCGTGGGGGAGTCACGGCCGGCCCGGCCCCGGCCCCCGCCCCCGCGGTACCTCTCGGGGAAGTGGGTGTCCCTGTGCTGGGGGAGGCCCTGCTTCCTCCGCTGGCTGGAAGAGTTGCTGGCCGAGGGGATGTGCGCTTCCATCGCGCCGGGGTTGCGCGCCGCCGCCGCCACCTCTTGCCGCGCCCGGAGGAGATCTGGGGAGAGGGAAGGGATGAGCTGCTGCCCGTCACCCCGACGTGTGTGTGTGTGTGTGTGTGCCCCCCCCCCCCCCCCCCCTCCACACACACACCCACTCCCACCGCACCCACGGAGGCTCCCACCGCCCGCCCTCCGCCGCGGGGGCTGCTCCGGTTCCCGTCCTGTCCCGTTAAGCCCCCCCGGGTCGCAGCCTCCCGCCGCCGCGGTGCGGGCAAGCTGTCAAGATGCGGGGGGGGGGGGGGGGGGGGGGAGCAGGGCCGGCTCCGGTCCGTCCGTCCGTCCGTGTTCCCCCCGCCCCCCCCCCGCTCCCCTGCCCCGGGTACTCACTCACCCGGCAGAGCGGGCTCTTAGCGGGATCCGCCTCCGCCGCCAAGGGAGTTTGGCAGCGGAGGAAATTGTGCAACTACGGGAGGGGGTGGATTGCTGTTTAATTGCCTTCCTGTTGGCGGGAGGGAAGGAGGGAGGGAAAAAGGGAGGGAGGGAGGGAGACAAAAAGGAGAGGGAGGCTTTCCCGAGCCACCCGCCTGCCCCCGCACCCCCCTCTCCGTGGGCGCGTAGCCCCGGGCCGTGGCTCACCCCGCACCGGGGGCGGCACCTCCCGGTCCTCGGGCACCTGCCCCGACCCCGCCGTGCCCAGCGGGGAGGGGATGACCCGATCTGCTACCGCCAAGCCCCCCCCCCGACCCCTTGGGCACCGCCGATTTTAGCTCCCCACCCGGGACACCCGGCGGGGCAGGGTTCAGCCCCTTACCCCCCCCCCCCCCCCAAAAAAAAAAAAAATCCACGGTGGGATGCCCCGCTCTGCGCTGTAAAGCTTTCTGCACCCCCGCACCCCAGCATCTCCTGCTGCTGCGGAAAGCAGGGGATGGGGGGCTGTTCCCTGAGCGGCTGCAGAGCCCCGAGGGCTGTTTCCCTAAGCACACTGCACCCCCCACCCAAAGCAGCTCGCCCCTTGCTCACCTGGGCAAGGAGGGGGCGAGAGCTGGCCCGGACCTGCCTAGAGAAGCTCTGCTGTAGGAAGGGAAAGGGCTGGGCCACAGAGCAGATGAGGATGGGGTACAGAAAGGGGCCCCTTCCAGCACAGCAGTTTCATCAGACCATGGGGCTGCAGGTCAGAAGGAAATGCACCCCTCGTCAAACCCGCAGAACCTACAACCCAGGGGGACTGTGCAGGGACAGGTTATTCGTGTTTGTCCTCATTCCAGGGTGGGTGTCAGCGTAGGCAGAGCTGCCCACACAAGTGCCATGGGATGGACAATGCGGGCACGGCCGGGTACACCACAAGCACACGGCGACGGGGAGCACAGCGTACGCCAAGGAAGGGCAGGCAATGCAAGCAGAGCTGGCTTGCTATTGCACTTGCCTTCTTGGGGAACAACACTGCTGGACAGACCAAAGAGAAGGTCTGGTGACATGGGCACCCGTACCAGTTGTGCTGACAGAGGCTTTTTCCAGAGTGCTACTCTCTCACAGTGAAGCATCAGGAGTCCCTTAGTTCCTACACCCATTTGAAAACATCCTATACACAACTTGCTTATATCCCACAACAAAACCTCTGCTGCCGTTCTCATGATACACAGGAAATGCAGACACACAGATGCACATTTAGAGGAAACCTCCTTCATACACTCACTGTGTACCACTCTGCAAAAGGAAACCAAAACACAGCTGGGGAGAGGAGGAGAGGAAGATTTATCTTAATGAACACACCCGGGTCAGGATCAACTCGCATATTGAGATTGCAAAGCACTCCACATCCAGCAGCTTATTAGTCCTCTCCCCACAACTGATTCATAAAGCTAGGTTAATGTAAGAGTGTTGCATGACCCTGGTAACGATACATCTCCTTGCCTTGCTTTATACCACCATGCTGTCTTCCTTTGGTTCTGGAAATCCCAGCCATCCATATTCCTGCCCAGCCCAGCTTGAGCTTCACACCAATCCCTTTATCAAATATTGTGGTGATGGTCAGGGCATGGTGGGACTGCAAGTTGGAGTGGTAACGCTTACACAGCTGCTATTTTTGCTGGCAGTAAGAGGACATTGGTACCTGAACATTTCTAGCCACATTCATTCACACACAGTTGCTGTCCCCACACCCCCAGCTGAGGGGGCTAACATTAAATGTACAATTCTGAACTGCAAAAGTGTGTACAAAATAGTGAAACGACAAACCCCATCAGATCACATCAAAAGCCTAGAGAATTCTCCGAGCCAGGGACCATGCACCTTTAATGTTTATAAATTAATTATCTGAAAAACCCAGGTCACTCCTTATTGCCACGGTGCCTGTAATTTAGAAGTCTGGCATGCAGCCAGTTCCAGAAGCCGCATTGATCCCGAATGACCGCAACAACCCCCTCCCACGCACACTCTCTCCTCTACTCTCTCTCCCCCCCTCCTTCCCTCTCCTGCGCCCCTACCCCCTCGAACAGGCCCCCCCGACGAGGATCTGTTATTTACAATCCTGCACTCTGACAGTTGGGAAATCAGATTGACTGACAGTGGGACGCTGGCGGATGGAGGTTCCAGGCACGCAGACGGACTGAATTCAGAATGTGGGATGAATGCCACTGGGAGAATGGGGGTGGAAGGGGGGGGGGGGGGGAGGTTTGAAAAGCAATTAAAAAAAAAAGATTTCTAAATTATTAACATTTTTTAAATTATTAATGTTATTGGTGCCTCCATGTGAGCCCGCAGATAAACTGCGCTTTGTACTGGCACTAATAATTTATAGCCCAACCAGAGCCCTGTGGTGTGGAGACAATCCAAAATACACGAAGTTTTGTCTTGTCAATGTTACACGAGAGAGTCTGTCTGTGCCGACTCCTCTTCTCCCCCTGCTCACCCCAAAACCTCAGTGTGACCCCTCACCTAACAAATGCTGATGAGACAATTTAATCATAATAAGAAAAAAATACATCAGGCTTTTAATGTAATGAGCCCCTTTGCTCATTTCATGGGGGGAGAAGGGGGCGATACCAGCTGTTGTGCAGCACAAGCTCTGCCGGGATGTGCCTGTTCCGCGTGTCCGGCAGCCGTCCGGTGCCCAGGGGAAGTGGTTTATCGTGACTGTCTGTCACAATACCGGTATCCATACCACATTTCATGCTGAGGACATGCTCTGTTGTGTTCCACACTGTCTACACATGCATGTCACAGCTGAATATTTGCACGTCTGCATGGGTTACCCTTTTGTGCACAATGCATGTACACACCATCCTCTCGCATACTGCGCTTGAGTTCACTGCATGTATGTGTGGGAGCTCCAGCCCCACGGCGTGTGGCTTTGCCCCATACCTATGGATCATACTTGCCAGAGCTCTGCAGCTCTGTAAGTGCCTAGGACAGCCAAACACCTCGCACAGAAACTCGTGCCATGTTCACTAGTGTGCCTCAGTGCAGGTTTATGCCATGCCTTTGCTGAGAAGCAAATCCTTACTCTGCAGCAAAAGGAATCGCCGTCTTGCCCCCAGAGAAGCCAATCAAATCAAACAGAGTGGAAAAGAAGACAGCCTCTTCATTAACCTAACAAGCAGCCCTGGGGATTTACACTCTAGACAGGAAATTCTCCTCCAGCTCTTGCTGGATGCTTCGCTGATGTCGCTTGAGCTCCTTCCCTGAATCACCCAGGCAGGTACGTGTCAGCCCTCCACACCCTGGCTAGGAAGCAGCACAGGGGCTACAGGTTCCTGCGCAGCACTGCTTCCCAGTGATGCTACAGCTCTCTGCCTCCAAGACCAGAAAAACATCCCCTCTTCCCTCTCCCTGGCTCTGCCTGATCCAGACAGCTGAGCCCGTGCCTGTATCAGAGGACTCGGGTACAAAGCACAGCTTTACTCTGGACCAAGCCTAGCCAGTGCCAGGCAGGCTCTGCTCGCCCGAGGGAAGGTGAAGTGAGCTGAGGAGCCTTTTTTAGGCTGTGGAGGGATGCTTGTGGCTCCTGCGCTCTGCCAAGTGGTTCCCAGGGTAGAACCTGTAACTGCCTGGTGCCCCCTTTAGGCACAGCACAGGGTGCTGCAGCCAAGCTGGATTTAGCCAGCTTCCTCCACAATCAAGGCAAAACCTTCCAGTAATCCTTCAATTCAAGTGGGAGCCATTAGATGCTGGTACTGCAGGACCCTCATCCCCTCAGGACACCACTTCAGTGCCAGGACAAGGCAGCAACACTGGACAATGGTACTTGTTAATGAGGACGCTGCTTCAGGACCAGGTTTTTGGATTTTCCTCTCCTTGCATTAACATAACCGCACAAGCGCCAGCCTCCTTTTAAAGGACAGAATGGCAGCATCTTCCCTTCAACATAGATATCTGTGCAGAAATGCTCCTGTGCTGCTAAAGCCTAGAAACAGCAGACAGGCAGGTACAGAGGCACAATCTGCAGTACACACGACAGGCCTTAAATAAAGAAGGGCTGGGGTGTCCCGCAGCTATCCCTAGTGCCCAGATCAACCCCAGAGAACCACACCATCCCGGGAAGGTCTGGGCACAAATTCTTACTGCTGGAAGCTGGGACCTAGAGGGTCCTTAAGGTAATGCTCTGAGGAAGCTCTCACCAAGTGAGCATACATTGGGTATGGAAGAAGTTCTCTCGGCATCCCTTTCCCTCACTTTTCCACAGCAGATCTGGTTTTGGCTAGCGAAGGACCGATGTGGGCCACATCGTGATGCGAGCATAATTGCTTTCAATAGATGATACCATGGATGAATCTGTCCCACTGACTTCAGCATTTGCCTGCTAATCTCTCTTCACTGTAACTTAGCTTCATCTGCATATTTTAATTGTCCATAAAATCATAAGACATCTAATTCTCATTAAGGTGAAAGGTCTTTAACACCAATTTATGCTATGTCTGTGTGTAGCAACTATTGCACAAACTTCCTAAACCTAGCGCTATCGATGCTTAACTAAATCCTGAAACAACATCTTGCTGTTTCAGATCCCATCAGTGAATGGCAGGAGTATCTGGCAGTGCCTACATCTCACAAGCCCTCTGCATTATGCCAGCACTCATTCCCCTTGCTCCACACTATGACCCAAATAAGACTCACACCACAGATTCTGAATATTCAGATTGACATGAACTCTTGAAACTAAGAAAAGGACCTCCCCCACCACCACTGCAAAATACACAGTAGTGATGTTGCAGCTAATCTACTCCAGTAAACAAATGCGTAGCCTCCCCCCGCAATAGCTACAGGAGGTATTAGCATTTATAGATGGCTGAAGGTAGATGCTCCCACAGAGATAGTGGGAGAAACGGTCTGTAGGACACTCTTTAGCACCACCTGTATTCACTGCATGACAAATATGCAACGTTGCAGCCCATAAATCCTCCTCACGTGCACATAGAGGTTAAGGACATCTTACAAGACTTATCCCGAATGGCAAAGCGAGCCCCTTCTTCTCCCATTTACAAGAGCCTGTACCTCCATGGCTGGGCACTGCCATGCTGTTGGCCAGCTGATAGAGACGTTGTTGCTGCTGCTCTTCAAACGTGCCGTGTTCATTCAGTGCTGACATCATGCGTCTATAGTGCTCCTCTGGGGTCATCTGAGTCACCGAGTCCTCAAGCAGAGGCGTGTGGGAGTTTTCTGAAGAGCAGAAAGATTTGGTCTTTTTTTCCAGAGAGAAATACAGTGGAAAATCACATAAGTATAGGGACAGCGCAAAAGAAAAAGAAAGGGGAATAGAGGGATTCTAACACAATTTCCCACAACTCTCTAGCATACCCACTGAACTTGATGTACCAAGCTTCCAAATGCAGCTACGACTTGCTAAACAGCATCCAAAACCTCCAAAGATGGGCACACTTATATACAGAAAAGTCTACAGCTTTAATTGCCACAGCACCCAAAAACACTCATTAGCAACTCTCCCACCCTCCACCTCCCTCCCCCCAAAGCAACAAGCATTGCATTATAGTAACTCAAAATTACCAGCAAGCTCTCTACACCCAAGGTGGCAAAGAGGACAGGCAGGATGAAAGAGTTCACGGAGTTCTCATCCTTTCATCTTAGGGGACGTGATTTTTTTTTTCCAACTAATACCTGATCAGACATGCACCTCTCTCCTTTCTGAACACCCGCAAGGACACAACAATGTGAGAGATGTTCAAGCATCCAGTGCAGGTGATGCTGACAACCGCTCAACAGACGGTGATGACAGTCTACCTGCCCAGCTCTTGGAGGGAAGTCACAAAAGCAGGTTGATTCAGACCTGTACATATGGCTAAGCACCCTGAGGCCATTAAAATTACACCCAACATGCCTACCTCTCCATCTTCCCAGAACCACTGCACAGCCCAGGAGGGAGGCGCTTTGAGGAAGGCCCTGCCTGCTCCCTGGGCAGTAGGGATCCCAGTCTAACAGTCAGGGAGATAAAACCACCAAGGCTTTCTGTTTACTGTAAGCAGAACTCAAGAGTAATTACCCTTCTCTGCCTTGTTGGTGGCTGCTCTAACACTATTTTATCTTGGATCTTCCCCACAGGCAAAACCTTTTCATTACTGGAGAGGAACTCCCAGTAACAATCTTAGAAGTCAGAAGGGAAGGGAGGGAGCGGGAAAGGCTCCCCCCATGCTGCAGTCACAAGACCACCTCTGCGTTCAGTGAACGACAAGACCACCCTCCCGTGTGCCCCAGATTCGTGCTCCTTCATCCACCCTACTTGGCAGCCAGAGTCCTTCAAGGATCACAGCAGGTGGCTCTGCTGCCAGACTGGCTCCAAACTTAAGGGGGTGGCTCTGAGCACAGGCCACTTTACACCAATATCAGCACCGTGATGAATATGCAGGCACTGGACATCTTGCTGGGAAAAGAGCTGTGGATCTCTCTCCTGTGAGAGAAATGCCCTTAAGCAAGCTATCAGCAAAGGTACCCTATGGCAAACAAGTCCAAGAGACAGAGTACCTGTAAAATGTGGCCCTGCCACAGCAGCTTAGGGACTGGGTCACTTCTGCTTCAGCCAAAATGAGAGGCCATTAGTGGCAAGTGCTGCCTGCCACCAAACTCGTTACACAACCAAGGGGCTCAGATTTTGCGGATGCAACCTTCACATGTCATAGTGAAGCCATCTCCACCTCAGAACATAAGAGGAGCTAATAATAATAAAGAGCCTAAGATGCACAAAGTTTCAATAAAAAAGGGTTGCATCACAGGCTCCCAAGGCGCTCTTCCTCTGCAAAAGGGAAATTACATCAGTCCCCTCCAAGTCAGGTCAGCTCCATCCAGCTCAGCAAGGATTCTCAATCAGCATAACAATCTGTGGCCGTATCTGCAACCACTGATCTCTGCCCCAGCGACATGCATCTGCATCTCAGGGACCACAGGTTTCCTTCGTAAATCACAGGTTCGTGGCCTGCTTCAGGCTAGCTGCTCTCAGGAGCTGGGTGCCCCCCCTGTGCTCTGTGTCACACTTCGCAACCAGACCCGAAAGCTGCATAAGCCGACAGCCGTGCCCTGCCTGCTCCCTCCCACTCCCTGCCTCCGGTACCCAAGCCTGCAAGACACCAGTGGGAAGAGCAGAGGGGTGGGGGGCAGAGGTCCCCCCGCTTCCACCTCCCCTTCCCACCGGGTCACTCTGTGGGCCAGATTCCCACATCCCCCTCCGCACCCTTGCCGCTCCTGCCACCTCCCCCAGGCACACAGAAGCGCACCAGCTATTTCGCTTCCCTTCTGATGATCTTAACCAAAGGTCTAAGAAGCAAAGCCACATGCCACAGATCTGATTTAGAAAAATACCAAATTCCTCCCCCCGCCATAGCTGTGTCATTAGAGGAAAAAAAAAGGAAGGGAGGAGGGATTTAATAACACTTAATTACCATAAACCCTATCTGATCAGCCACAGAGCAGATTTCAGGTGTAAGGAGGGGAGAGAGAATGGGGGGTGGCAAGTGGAGGCTAAGAGGAGGATGGAGTCCAGGGAAAGGTTCGATTTCCACACTTCAAACTTGGAAGACTTCACATGACTCAGCCAGCGATAATTCCAGCTTTGCTGAAGCTTTGCTGTCTGCTTTTGTCATTACCGGGGGGTAATGCGGGAGACTGATCTCGCCAAATCTCTTCCAGCTGCCAGGTGTGAAACGGACTCTGGCACAGTCACGGGGAAGGCACAGTCGAGGCAGGCATCTGCTGGCCCTCACGCTCCCCAGCATGCCTCCCCGAGCCCAGGGGAGCCCACCTCTCCCACCACCCCTCTGTTCGCCCAAGCCAAGAAGACCCCACCTCTCCCACCCTCCCCCAACACTGCAGGGCCTCAGTGGTAGCAACCCCAGGGAATTCAGGCCCTCTGAGGACGCAGGTTTTCTGCTCAGCCTGAAGGACCTGTCATTGCTGCACAACCTTTTCACCAAGTTTTTACAAGGCTCGTCCTCCCCAGGCAATCCCAGCCTGTCTGTCTCCTCTCCTTTGCTACAGCAAACCCCTGACAGGCCGAGGCTGCCTTTACCAAACCACAGAGAAGCTTAAGGAGCCTGCTGCAAAAGCATCTCAGCCCGGGTTCAAAGCCAGGTCTTAGACAGTAGCTCTAGGGCCTTTGCTGCCTGAGCTGTCACTTGCCAGGGCAGAGGGGGCAGCTACCAAACCAATCAACAAAATAGATACCTTCCCCCTCCACCAAAGAAGAGGAACATATTGACAGAGGCTGGATCTGAATTGCCCAACTGTAGTCCAGCTCCAATTCTGGTCTACTTCATTAAATAAAGATGCAAAAAAAATTTATTTTGTTTTAAATAATCTGCAATAGCAAAGCAAAGAGAATGGCAGAAGGAGCAGCATATGAGCTCATCAGCCCACACCAGGGGGCAAGTGCAATATTGTTCCCTATGTATGTTTTCCAGCACTTGGTCCAGCCTAGTTTCAAATCTTCCCAACTGATGAGGCCTCTACCAGATTTATTTTTTTCAGCAGTTCAAATAGGAACCAAAATACTCTTACTGACTTTCTCTTTTTGCAATCGTTCAGTTTTATTTCATGTCTCAAGGTATCGGAGAAGCAGATCTCCAGACAGGCTGTTGCAGCAGCAGCGAGGGTTTTACTTGGGGAATTGTCTCCCGGGGAGAAAGCTTCCTCCGTGACCTGCCAGCACAGCCCTCGCTCCGAGCCTCTGATATGCTCGCATTTCCATATTAGACGCGAGAACGTTCTGCTCTGTTTGACAGCAGCACTGGCGCGGCCCTGTTTCCACTGAGATAGGGCTCTCTTTTGATCTCTGGTGTGCACACTGCGAGCATCGGGGAGGGGGGAAGGGAAGGTTACTGCTTCCCCGCTGGAAGGGTTTCCAGCCCTACAGGTGTTTTTTCACTCAGTCAGAGAGAAGGAGTGATTTACTTGGCTGCCTCTGTTCTCCTTGCCTTGTCAGGCGCAGCCACAGCAGCACGAGATGTGCCGCGGGCACGGGGTCACTTCTCCTCTTCAAAAGGCTGTTTCGGAGACAATGCAGCTGTGCCCCGAGCAAGAGCTGCATCCAGGGCCAGCGTGCATGGGGAGGGGGAGAGTGCCCACCTTGGGCTGTACAGCACCACAGGAGAGTGCGAAAGGCAGAGGACCAGCACCCACAGAAGGCACACCACCAGCTGGAGAAAAAGGAAGGGTGCGTGCCAGGGAGACGCTGCAGACCTGGCTCCTACCAGGGGACAGCACAGGGCTGCATGGGCTACAAAACTCCCGTCAGTCCTCGTTTCCCTTCCCACTCCTAAATCACAAACTGCACTCGCAGCATCTGGGGCCCAGCCAAGCCTGGGGCTCTGGCACAATCCCACACTTTCCAGCAGTACTCTACAGCAGCGGTCCCAGGTAACCAGCCGCTGGGGTCTGTTGCATTTGGAAATGGTTTGTCACACAACGCAGATCCTTCTGATACCCACCAGCTCCTTAGTACAGAGCTGGCAACACAGGGACCATTTCCCTCCCAGCCCTCCCCGGTACCCACGCCACCGGAGCGCTGCCTGACTGCCGGCACGGTGGATGGAGAGTCTCCTGGGAGCTCTCAGCTGCAAGGTGCTCTTGCTCTTTGGGGCTTAAGACACAGAAACACTGGCTATAGCTCCTCCTTTGGCCCCCCTTTTCATAGCAGGGGGTGGGTGGATAAAGGCCCCAAAAGCACAAAAGTTCTGCCCCTGTTCAGCCCCTCACTATTCTGATGTATTCTAGCATCAGCACAGCCTAGGCTTAAAATGCCTGCCACAGTGTTGGAGGGAACAGGGGCTCCTCAATGATCTAATATAATAAAAAACAGGTAACATGGGAAATGAGTAAAAGGCCCAACTCAGAATTTCCATTCTGTCTCACACTCTTTTAAAGGGCAGGGAAGGCCTTCTGAGAAAAAAAGTGAGAGCAGAAAATGAAAGTTTGCTTTTATTCAGAGCTTCCCAGGACTCCCTCTCTTACTGAGTTGGGGGAATCCCCGAGTCATTCAGAGTTAAGGAGCAGGATTTAGATCCTGAGTATGTACTGCAAAGCCAAGGGCTGCTTATCCACCTCACACTGCACTCAACCCACTCAAGTAAACAAAAATGGTGGGAAGGCCGGAGGAAAGAAACAGAATGGGATCGTTTGACCCTGCTGCTCCCATGGCAAAAACATCAACTCATACAAGTTCAGCCACTTTATTAGGGTGAATCCAAATGCAATCATTTGGCTTCAGATGGTTTGATTAAAGTTTAGCCCATTCTCAGCCAGGCCACGTAGGTTGCTGTTACCTGGATTCAGTTCCTAAGCATGCACTGTCTTGGAATTACAAAGGACACAGTCTCAGCAGAAATAGCAAAGATGATAGCAGGTGTATCAAGGGTGTTACAGGAGTCTCATGCCCCTATATAACAAATGCATTTCAGAATCTAAAGCAGCATCCTGCTGGAACTTACCTGCACATCTACTAGGAACATTTCAAGGATAAGAGGAATAGGGCAGATGAAAAAAATCAAGGAGAACAAGTAAAGAGTAGCAGTATATAGAGTTCCTCTCTATAGCTTTCCAAAAAGCCCAGTAAAAAGCTCAGGTGTTTCCACTCATATTAAAGAGTTAACAGGCAGGAGCAGGTTACATGAAATAAAAGATTTAGTACGTTCTTGGGTAGTGTTAGAAATATTATATTAAGTGACATTAGCATTCAACATCCTCTCAGAGTATGCTGCCTTTCAGATCATAATTTGGGGACAACGAGTCAAGAAGAGACAATACACAGGAATATTATGTGAAATCAGGATGCAGTATAGGTGCCTGCAATACATATTTGTATAGCATAATATAAGGTATGCAGTTTAAGAATGCTTCAGGACAAACTGCTGCAAAAAGTCCCCTCTGAGATTCCCTGGACTGGTTATTGAGAATATACACTTTGAAGAGTCTCAGCTGCTGGACTCCAAACCCATGAAACAGGATCTAGCTTCAGACAGCTACTCTGCTTTTATTTTTTTTCCATTTTTTTTAGTGGCCAAAGAGTACAGGTTAGGCACAGTGATCGAGATGGGTATTACTGACAGCTAATTAGTTTGAACTTTAGAACAAAGCCTTTAAGTGAATGGCCTGCAAAACCTCATTTACGCAACCTTGAGACAAACTCATTAACTGCAGGATCCATTACCCATTGCACTTCGCCAGTCATAAAGAAAGTTTAAAAATTATGTTTATAGAAAAGAACCATAAGACAAATCAGGAGATTAAAAAAAAAAAAAAATCCCTAAAAAGAGAAACCCTCTGCAGATTCCATCTCTACAGGAACAGTACCATAAATGCATAAGAAAGAACTAGGCAGCCCTATTCTCCCTGCTAGGCTTCTTTTTTTCCCTTTAAAGGAACAGATGCCAGCATGATCAGCCTGTGTGTATCTTTTATATCAAACATGTAATCAAGACATTCTGCCTGAAAAGTAGAAACACCCCTAAAATTCACCTCAAAAGCTGCAGCTTGCCTTTTTAATCATAAAGCAATTATTCTAATTAAGAGGCAATCCCTTTCGCACACTGCAAGCTTCCCCCCGATTACATAAAGAAAGCACAGTGCACTGGTAGCCTCCTTCATGCACCCTCAGTGCCGGATACTTGCAGCTCCCACACCACCGCCTCTCGCAACCCTCCCTTCCCTCCCTCCTTAATTTCAATTAAGTTCCACTCTTAAGAAGGGAGAAGAAAGGGGAAGGGGATGGGGGAGGCAGAAGCAGCACTTACCCTTTGGGGACTCACTTCTGGCTTTCTTGCTTTCTAAAGGACACTCACTGCTGCTGTTGGGAGAACATACTCTTCTCTTGCCTAAAATTTCATCTAGAAAAGAGATGAGAAACCTGAGTATCAGATAAGGTTGTACTTTCCTCTTTGCAGAAGAAACCAGAGAGACTTTGGTATTTTGCTTCTCTCTCACACACACAGACACACATACGCACACATATATTACAAGCAGAGGAAAAAAAAAAATGAAAGTAAGAAAAATCATCATCTTGAGAGCCTTGATCTGCTTTCCTAATCACGCAGTCCAAAAGCACATAATGACTATTCACACACTGATCAATGCAACGTTTTAAAGCTATAAATTCTGAATCCAGTTGATTTCCTTACTGAGTTTCATCATTTGTTCTGTTGCCTTTTGTCCCCCTGGTGTTTCCACTCCTTTCATGCCCTGATGCAAAGCAACTGGGGGAGAGAAAGGGGAGGAAAAAAACAACACAAAAAAAAAAAGCACAACAGATCTCTGAATCTTCCTACCACAGTATCTCTCTCTCTCTCTCTCTCTCTCTCTCTCTCTCTCTCTCTCTCTCTCAATCTCTCTCCCCCCCCTTCCCCCCCTCCTCCTTCAAAACCTCAAGGTCCTTAGCAATCTTCCCCCTCTAGATTGTATGGAAACACTCAAGCCTTTTGCATTACTGCATCCCTACAAACCAACGCAAAATATCTAATATACAATTACAGCATCCCCGAACAGATTTAAAATCAATATTCTCCCATAATAATGCTGGGGAAACTGAAAGCATGATGTTGCATATGGGCAGGAAGGAAGAGACTGTTTGTCACTGCAAGCACCAAATTCTCATCTATCAAGGGCTTGTTAAAGATGCAGCATCTTAAAAGAAAAAAAAAAATCTCACAAACAAGCACCATATTTGAGTGAGTATACGTTGCATCTGCCTGTGAGTCAACGTGCATGCAAAGCTGCTGCAATTTGCCCAAAGTATCTTAGTTAAGAAAGGTTACAAACCCCCTTGGTGCTATTTATAAGAACAACAAAATTATTTATGTTCCAGGAGACATTTTAAGCCAAGCAACTGTCCCTCATGCCCAGAATCACTCCACATCACTTATGAATTTAGCTAAGCAAGCCCAGGTTCCTGCCTTGGCATCGTATTTATCAAGAGATCCAGAGCAGAGATCTGTGGCTGCCACAGGCTGAGCAGTGCTGAGAGCAGACAGTTAACGTGCCGAGGGCAGAGCCTGCCAGGCAATGCCTTTATCCAAAGAGCAATTCTGGAACTCTGCAAAGTTACAAGTGGCATTTCAAGGTTTTAAAGAGCACAAGCTGCCTCCGATCTTATCTTGCCATGACCCTGTCACCCAGCCTGTTAACAAAACTGGCACTCAGAGACAACTGCAGAGGCTTGCAACCATCCATAACCAAAAGCAAAATAAATATAATAAAACAGTGGCAACTGGAAAGCAGATGGGGAGGGATAGAGCCAGCCAGTGACAGCACTTAAGTTTTCTCAGCACTTCACATCCCAGGTGTTGAGTCAGCCGTTCCATACAATTTGAATTTTATCAATCCTCCTGCCTCAGTTTACCCTTTAAATAACTTCTCCAAAGCCACAGACAGCATCAGCTTGCCAAGCCAGCATCAAAGCTAGGAAGTACCTGGCCACACAGCACAAATACAGTCACAAGCTCCCTCCCCACGGAATGCATCATTCTTCATGTTGATTTTCCTGGAAATGTTAGTCTGATGCTGCAAACCCTCAGCGCTGGAGGTCAAGATCATATATCCTCCTCAGAAGTGTTCTCATCCGGGATTTGTGGCTTTGAAACAACAAAAGTCCCGTTGCTCTGCTCGCCCCTCCCAGCCTGGACAGAAGGCAGCAAAACCCAACAGGGCTTATTCTTATGTACTTCAGGCAGAAGAGACTCCATGGAAGAGCTGGTGACAGAAGCACCAGTTACATGTGACAGCAGTTAGAATATGAGCAGTAAAGATTCCCTGATTTCACAACTCTGCCAAGGCACCTCATTACCCTCCTATCACTCCTTCTCTCTTGCTGTTCCGCTCCCACCCCCGTGCGCCCATCTGCCAGCAGACATTCGCTCCGACTCGCGCCGTGCCCTGCTATTCCCACACACGTCAGCAGGACAGGTTGCAAGTCCCATCTCTCTCCCAGCCGGCTGCGCTTGGGCAAGGGAAGACCAAGATCGCGCAGGAACTCTGAAGCGGCACCGACTCCACCAGCCCCTGCTCCACCAGCCCCCAAAACACCCACTGCTCGGCGCACACACACACACACACCCCCCACGCCAGCGAGCTGGCAGCCGCCTGCACAGCCGGGTGCCACAGCCCGATGCCTCAGCGGCGTGCCACCGGTGACGGGGCCCGATGTCTTGCAGTCGAGATTTGAACTCGGCCCTGCAGAGAGATCCCACATCGGTGTATTAACCTTGAGGGGGCTCTGCAGCATTTTCCTTCCAGCATCTCAGGTTCACACTGTACCAAAGCAACAAATCCCACACACTGAGTTTGTATTTGGGTTGTCCCCCAGCAGTTTTTATGGCAGTCAGATCACAGAATGAAAATTTTCCCTTTTTTTTTCTTTGTTTAAGGCAAAGTCCTGGGATGCATCAGACTGCCACTGTCCCCAGAAGTATGGGGACTAAATCAACAAGATAAACGGTAAGCAAGGAGAAGGGAATAATTATCATCAGTAGCCAGTATAGAGGCACGAAGATCTAATAATCCACCCCAAATTTCCTGAGTCAGTAGGAGAGCACAAGACTGAATAGCAATCTTTCAAATTCCAGCCCAGCATTGTGAGAAGTCACATTCCCTCTTAGTTTTCTTAGCTGCAAAGCATGGAAGAGGCACATCACATCTTCATTAGGTACTTAATAAACTCACAAATTCTGGGGTACAACTTAAACAGCAATGTGTTTGTATTACAGCACCAATCCTTCCCTCTTTACAACTCAAACCGTAGGCACAGCTTTGGCATACCACTTAACACCTGCTAAACATGTGCCCTTTTACAGGACCCTATACTCTAAATTCACCCCTTTATGTCCACATGCCATTCATCCAACGCTTCTCTGCACTCACACACAAAGAACCAGGACCATGGTTGAAGGCACTGGGATGGGAGCATCCACAGCCCATCTCCCCCTGACTTCGCAGCAGCAAAACCAAATATGTTTTGCAAATGAGTTGGCAGTGTAGCTTCTGGATGTCTTACCACCCGCACAAAGACAGGTTGTGCATTTAGAATATGTTGCTAGTCATTGACCAGAAAGCCAACAGACAGCTCAGCCCATGCACCTGCAAAAGACAACACTCCACCTCAGAAAGAGGATAGGGAGGGATGGTTGTGGGGTTTTTTTTTGTGGTTCCCCAAAATCTCTGCTTTTGCCTCCTCTCTCCTGCCTTCTACAAAGCATTTCAGTTGAAAGGAAGCCAAATCAGGGTAGTTTTTAATACTAAAGCTAAAAATGAGAGACAATATCAGTAGAACTGCAATGTTATAAAGCTAGGCCAGGCAATAATACGGGTAAGGAGTGCTAGAGGAAGCCCCAGGCATTCTGTTCACTAACTGCCACCAGGGCAACACAGCCCTGACCACACCACAACCCTTCCACAGGTCCTGCATTAAATTCAGGGCTTCTGCGAGCCTGACAGGGCAGTACAGAACAGATCCAGAGATGTTTTGCAAACAAAGTAAAAGATTTTCCCCAAAGATCTAGAAATCCAAGTGGATTTTGGCCCACCTCTTTCCATGGGAAGAGGAAGTCCAGTACTCACCTGCTGCACTTCTACAGTGAAATATGAATAGAGACAGGCCAGGAAAGTAGGTCAGCTGGAGGAGGACAGCACTTCTGCCTCCACACAGAAATATCACCCAATGGCTTTGCAACCATAAAGAGAAAGGATGCGGGTACGACACCATAAAACAAGCTTGTGTAGAAGCCAGGGCAATGTGGGTTTTATTTAATCACAGCCCTCTTTGGGCTTGAGACACACTGATTAGAGGCCATGGGTGGAAATGCCACCTGGAAGTAACGGTGCTTTGTACTTCTGCACTGCCTCTAATCCTCAGGCTCCCAGGTGACTTAGCACAGTCACCAACACATCCAAGAATCTCAAGCCTCATTATCTGATTTGAAGAGAGGACTTGGGAGCCTAAATCAGCTGGGAAGATTAGAAAACCTATCCCTAGGTTTCCCCAGAGAGGAGGGACTTCACCTCCACTCTTTACACATGAATCCGTGGCAGGGAAGGTGCTCCCAGGACACACATTGCATCCACAGCAGGGTGAGAACTGAGCCCACGTCCCAGCGACTGAGCACAGGGCTTCACCTGGAGAAGGAAAACGAACACATAGGAGGTGCTCACAAAATTTTTGTCCTCTCAGTGTTGTTAAATGGGTGGATGGGAGAGAAAGTCTGATTGCAGCTGAGGGATTGTAACAAGCTTTTCTGTGCTGTGTTATGCTACAGCACAACGGGAAGAGATCAGGACCTATCTCACACTCCCTATCCATATCATTGGTTTTGCTCTGAAAGCTTCTTGGATCCAGAAATCCTGAGTAAACAGAGAACCGAGCCAACGTACATGGGAAATCATCCAGGCTCAAATAGCCAACATCTAGTGAGAAAAAAGTCCTTTTTTCACCTCCTTTCACATTATTTTAAGAAGAGGAAAACATCCTCCCTTGCTTTTAACTCCCCCATCAAACTTAAACCCTGGAGATGACAATTCCCACTGACCAGTCTGAAATGTCTTGGCAGCATCTCAGTTTATTCAGCTCTCCCCTTTCCTTTGGCACAAACAGCCTACCACCAGAGGAGCTGCTCTGCTCAAACAACTCTGGTGCTCCAGCCCTGCTGCTCAGTCTGTTCCAGTGCCGAATGTGACAGGTTTGCAGAGACCCTGGAGACTTACTTCCCCAGCCATGGGCTTGTGCCTTTGTAAGAAGCTGCACCAGCTTGCCGAGTCCCAGCAGGCCCAGAGCTGCTCTCAACAAAGGCTGGCGGACGAGAGGCCACGCAGTAGGCTGCACACAGCAGCGTGGAATCTGGCT